GAATTAGGTTGAGACCGGAAGGAGATTCCTAGTAAATAGCTTCTTGTAACAAGTATCATGAATTACATAGCCGACTCGGAAGACTAGGTTATGGTTTGTGTAATCTTTATTGTTTTCCACAAATCTTAATGGGTTCTGAGCTATTTAAATCCATAACTAGGAATAGAGTGGGTTGATGGTAAGGAATACAACTAATATAACTCGGAAGAGAGTATTGGTGAGGTAAGGGAAAACGATTATCAACATGTTAGGTAATTAGAATTAACAAGCTAGAAGGATTTGGGTGGGATTAGCTAGGTGAAATCGGTGCCCTAGTGCTTTATCATCTTTGTTTTCATCTTTTACATTATTTCCTTAATCTCAATTATTTTGTTTGCTTAATTAGATTTTAATCATCATAATTCTCTTTTCGTTTAATTCAAATATAATTAGAAATCAATCACTCTAGTATTTAATAGATTACTTGATCCCTGTTGGAACGATACTCTACTTACTGAGCGATATTGTCCACTTGCAATTAATCACATCAAATTTTGGCGCCGTTGCCGGGGATTGACTTAATCTGTTAATATTAGTGCGCTTTATTTTCTAGTTATATTTTGAATATTTAATCAGTTTTTTTTATTTTTTTTATTATTTTTATTTTTTATTTCAGGTACTTTTTAGTTCAACTTGAAAAAAATTATTTCAAAGGTCATTGATTAGCTTATGAATGCTATTAACATTATTAAGATTCTGAAATGTATTTTAAAAACAATTGTGCAGTAGAAAACGGACACACCACATAAAATAATAATACGTTGAACTATAATAATAATACCACATGAATTAGTCTGTAGGTTTTTATTTTCAAACACTGTAGCAGTAATTTCCCAAACGTTAGCAACAAATTATAAACATATAAATGTACCAACAATATTTAAAGCAGTTGAAATTGTATAGACAACATGAAAGCTTCAAACTGCATCTACCCAAAATAAATCATAATTTTCATTTTGAAAATCCAATACAAATGCGAAAGGTTCAGTCAAAGAGTTAAAAGATATTAAAGCAATAGCAGTACGGGAAGAAAACAAATGTAATCTACAAAGGCTTTAGATTGTTGTGAAAAATAATAGTTTTCCTCTTTCCGTAAAGCCAAATACAAAACATTTATATTATAAATGACTTTTAAACAAATTAGAAAGTTTTAAGGTACAATGAAATTTAAGAAAACAAAATAATAGGTAAGTAAAAGGAAAATAAATAATAAGTAAGAAGGTGAGTTTGGTACGGTGAAGTACGTCAAAGATGCTGTTCTAAAGTCTTTGTAGCCTCCCTACGTGTAGGTACTGACGGTCTACAAGACTCCAAGATACGACCCCTTGTACACAAACTCAAGATCCGCTATGAGCACGTTCATAGACAGATCCAAGTCACATAACCATTGCCCAAAATAATAATAATATAAAGTAGAGAATATATGTAAAAGTTGGAAAGGAGAGAATTAGAATGTGTATGTGATATTCTGATAGTGTATTGTGGTTCTTGTGTGTGTATCAAATGTAAAGGAGGAGTGACCTTTTATAGGCATCCGAAACATGTAACCTTCACCAACCATAGAAGTTCACCAACCAAAAAATTAAGGCATTCACCAACCAGAAATAAAGCCTGAATATTAAATATTTATAACCCCCATAATAAATAAAATAAAAAATTCAAAATAATTAAATAAATAAAACGGTTAAATTTTTAAAACCTTTTAAAATTCCAACATGAGCAGCATAGCATGGGCTTGATAAGTTTTCCCTTCTAGCTGTAACTGCTAACTAGTTTGAGTGCCTTTTATGTAGTTCCAAACTCGTGGTAAACGTTGGAGACATTTTTGTTTTTGTAAAGTAGTTGGGGTACAATTTCATTCCTGTATGCTTTCTGCTTTGCGAGATCCATTTATGAAGAGACAAAATATTGAAAGCTTACATCCATTATTTCCCCCTTTTCATTCCTTCATATTGCCTTTTGTTCTTCTCCATCTGGTAAAACCAAACAAGGTATGGGATTTGTTACAAGGTGCACACAAAAGTACATGAATGAAACATTTTCCGGCCAGCAACTAGGTCCTACATCAGCTGTAGTTCAAATTTTCAAGCTTCAGCAGTGCAAATACGATGACCACATGTTACTTGCGAGGCTAAATTTCATCCTCGAATTGACCACTTTCAACACGACACAATAAAATGGACGTGGTTCAGATGTATAATTAGCGAGTTAAAGTTGACCATTCATTGATGTGAATCTAAATTGTCGTACAAAAATAGATAATAAATTGAACCCATAGCATCATTTGTGTGTGTGAGAGAAATCCTCATCTCCTTCTAATTTAGACTATCACTTATACTAAAAAGAAAAAATTCTCTTTCATCGTCCGAAAAATAGTCACTTCATGGCATAATTTCACACAGCCTTTAAAAGAGGAAAAGGCAATAAAAATTGTGTAAATGTATATACCAATGTCAGAAGTGGGATTTGAACCCACGCCCTCGTTAGAGGACCAGAACTTGAGTCTGGCGCCTTAGACCACTCGGCCATCCTGACTGTTGTTCAATTCGCCATACAAAATATATTTAACGTAATGAAATTTGTCAATAATAACCTCATAGCATAAACTCCAAAATGGAAATGGATTGAGGCCTTTTCAATTTATTTCATCATTATTATTTTACTTTTTATGTCAGAAGGCTTTCTCAAGCTTGCACTTATAGAAAAATAACAGGCCTTACAACTTGCAGAGAAGAAATTCATGAAGCCCTTGTTTGCACTTCTAACAATAAATATAGGGAGCTGATTTTCCCTATCTTTTTTTTGTCTACTTATATTCCCTTGTATGTTATAGTAAAAAGTATTAAAAATAAATAAAAGGGAGTAAGTGGGCAAAATGGGAGTGAAAAAATCAGCACCCTAATAGATGTAATTTTAGTGCTTTCTTGAAGCACCATGTTTGTTGATTTTATTGGACACAACTAGATATCTAAACGGTCTTTAATTTGTCTAGTTTTTTTTTTACAAGGATAATCTATGGATAAAGACTTGAAAAATAAACGATTTAGATCGTTCAAATAAAATTCGTAGTACCTTCCAAAGGGTGTCCCTAAACCCACATATTTTATAAAAATGCAATGAAAATTTATTAGCCCAACATTAAAAAAGATAACAAAGGACAAAGATTGTACAATATATATATATATATATATATATATATATATATATATACAGTCCCCGTCTATTGAGGGACACCCTTTAGGGTACCCAATGAATTTTTTTCCAACGATCCAAACCATCTATTTTTTAAGTTTACATTCATAAATCATCCTTGCAAAAAATTAGACAAATCGGAAACCGTTTAGACATCCAATTGTATCCTACAAAATCAATGAACACGGTGCTTCAAGAAAGTACTAAAATAAAAGGATATCTATTATAAATTTGAAGAAGGGTATCTACTTATCCCAATCGTAGTATGAGCAGAAGATGTCCTATCTCCCTTTTTTTCTTCTTCCATTCTCTCTAATGATGTTCTTTCACCTACTTCAATTGACAAAAAATATTCCTACTTGCATCTATTGAAAGGGTTAAGTGAGAGAAAAGTCCATTGTATGGTGACGATTGCTAGCAAAGGAGATCGACAAGTGAGGGACCATTTTCGCTATCCTATAGGACCAAGGCAATCATCCCCCCACACATCACAATTCCGTCCACGAGCATTGAAGTAGGTAGTCTTGGCCAGAACTGCAAGCAAATAAAAGTCAACCTTGATCTGCTTGAAGAAGAACGAGAGAAGGCCATTGTTTGAGTTGCAGCTTATCAGCAATAACTGACGTCTTACTACAACAAAAAGGCCAAGATCAAACAATTTCAACCTACAGACCTTGTGCTTAGAAAAACTTTCATCACAGCACCAAGACAAGGGTCGAAGAAGATGAAGCTTAACTGGGAAGGCCCCTACGTGATCAGCCGGTCTGGGGGTAGAGGAAGTTATACCCTCGACACCTTAGAACGGAAGGAAGTTCCGAGATAATGGAATGGCCACCACCTTCGAAGGTGTTCTCCATGAAACTCCTCACTTACTAGCTTGGCCTCGAGCAGGCAATTGAACCTCCCTCACCTCCATTGAAGACAAGTTACTTTCAATGTTATCACACAGACATCAATATAAGTTTGAGCTTTTCTTTCAATGGAGTATCTTATGAGAGGTATCAACATGTCTTTGGACATAGGCCAAACGGGCTACTCTCATCTACATGTCTCCGGACACACACTTATGGGAGCTATCGACATGTCTTCGAACATAGGCTAAATGTGCCACTCTTATCTACATGTCTCCGAACATACACTTATGGAAGTTATCAACATGTCTCCAGACATAGGCCAAACGAGTCACTCTCGTTGACATGTCTCTGAACATACACTTATGGGAGCTATCGACATGTCTCTAGACATAGGCTAAATGACCCACTCCCAAGAGAGCAATCGACATGTCTCCAGATATGGGCCAAACGAGCCACTCTCACGAAAGCAATCGACATGTCTTCGGACATAGGCCAAACGGGCCACTCTCATCGATATGTCTCCAGACATAGGCCAGACGAGCCACTTAGAAAGATGCAATATGAATTGAAGTTTGAAAAACAACTGAAAATTCCATAGTAAAGTGGCCAACCAACCAAGTTCAACAAGAAAAAAGATGATCAACTAAAGATCACTTATTGAACAAGAAGTGAAAATACATACTTAAAAAATAATGAAGGAGTCTACGTCTACTAGGAGACCCTTGGCTGATTACCTCCTTAGTTGCCTCTTGATTAGCTACGTCGATGACCACCTCACTCTGCTCAACCTCAACCATCTGCTAGGCAGCCCCAGCTGGCAGCTCCTCCGTATCTGCCTTGACCTTATCAGCTAAGCCATTTTTGGCATCATCTTCCTCTACTGCAGCTTCATCACCATCTTTTCTTCAACTACTTCTACATCCACAACATTGATCTGCTCACTTTGAATAGGGGCACGTCAAGGTAAAGCAGCTCAGCATCTTCATTTTCAATAAGGTAACATGGAAAAACACCATTCCTGCAATCCAAGTATCCCAGCTTGTACGCATTAGCAGCAATCTCATGCTTGGACGCCTTTGCGACTTCAACATGGGTGTCAAACTTGATCAGTAGCTTGTCACAGTTTTTGGGCCAAAATGACATACATGTGTTCGAGGTGGAAGTAGGCCTCCTTGCATTCGAGTAAGGTAGCAGCAATAGACTTGAGCTCATTATCTTTTTAGCCAAGAGAACTCTTCAATGCATACATACTCTCCTTTATCTCAGGAGCAGATTAGGCACATGCTCATCCTCAACAGAGTTGTCACCAGCTCCCGAACTAGTAGTTCGCACGACTGAAAGACTCTTGGCTCCAGCAGACGACTCTCTACTCTCTTGACCAGAGCTTGCAATACTGAATCAGCTTCGCGCTTGACTGTTTGTGCCTTGGCAGACGAGTCTTGATTACTCGACAAGGGTACAGTCTTCTCAGTTTGATCCCCGGATCAAAGCAGACGACTCAAACCCTACTTCTCAACAACCTCCTTGCAGGGCACATCATGGGTTTTGAGCAGTCCCAGTGGAGACTTGTGCGGAATATCCCAGACCTCCTACATGCCATTGACCTTCTTACTATTTGCGTCGACGAGGTGCTTAATCCCGGCAGATGAAGAAACAACAATTCCTATGGGGATGTTCTCGACAGATGGGACCCCTCTCAAGGGAGACTTGCTCGTGGCAGAAGGAAGTCTTAGTTTTTTCTTTGTGGAGACACATCCCTCGATCGTGAGGTTGTAGCTTCATCTATGATAGATCTACTGCTAGCCTTCCTCTTCTCAAGGAGCTCGGTCTTGGACTTCTCCCGCTTAGCAAGCAGATCATTCGGGTCCTGGCCATAAAGTTTTCTTCTTTCAACATCTTCAACAAAGGGTAAACCAGCAACTTCCCTCTGACGCTCACTCAGCAACAAGCTCCAGCTCATGCCCTAATGTACTCTAGCCCAGCTTACCTCCGAGCCCAGCACGCGAGGCCTGTGCCTCACACCTCCAGCTCCAGCTTGTCTCCAAGCCCAGCATGCGACGCCTACCCCTTGCCATACTCCTTCACGTCTAGCTCTCCCACGCCACAACTGCAACAACTGCCACCTTGGCTGCTCCTCTTCTCCTCACTGCCCAAAATCAAATCAAAGAAAAAAAAATATTGGAAGGCTCAAGTTAATCTACCTTGGGGTGCACTCTTCTCCTTGAGGAGCGAAGCAATCTCCCAAGAATTCTCTCATTAACAGAAAATAAGGGAGGAGACTAAAGAAGTAAGGAGGAGCCTTATATTTAAAGCAATTGAGGTTCCTTGACCTACAAGGAGTCCCCAAGCCCATTCCAACTAGGAACCCAATTTCAAAAAATTAACAAGTCAAAGACCTCCTCCACTCAGGAGCCCAAGTCACAGAAGGAAGCCTAGTTGTAGTTGGACAACCCAACAATTAATTCACACCTCTTTCATGCCACCATGCGCCATGTAGAAGCTAGGGGGCATTTGTGGATGCAAATATTTACATATCCTAGGTCAAATAATTAATCCAATAAATTTGGGAATTATTTGACTAATTGGGGATTCTTGCCATAATTGGGGATTTGATTAATTCAATCTCTCTGAATTGAGGGAAAATAATTCCTTTCCATGTGTGGAATTATTCTTCTGAAACTCTAGCCTCCGAGGCTCCTATAAATACATGGCTACGCACAAGGTTTGAGGTACATATGAAACTCTGCAGAAATCCCTTCTCACAAACCTTAGCTGCCCCACACACACACACACTCTCTCTCTCTCTCTCTCTCTCCCTCTCTCACACACGCACAGGGCTCCAGCCACCTAGTTCTCCTCGAGAGAAATCTCCGTACACTTTGTTAGCTATTGTTTTTCCTATACACAATCGACCTAACTTAGGCATCAGATGACCTTTGACCAACACCTCCCCGGGTGTGGTCTTTTCACTCCGTGTTGTTTTGCAAAGAGAAAGAGAAGCGATGAGTAAGAAGGGATCTCGAGACAAATGTTCCCTAGGGAGGAAAATTGCTCCCACAATAATCGTCTTATTAATAGTTATATGCTTAAAGAAAATCCAAAGAATACAAAATAAAGAGAATTTAACATTTGAGGTTAGATTCGCTGGACTTTTACTCTTGCACACTCACATCCTAAATAGTTCATAGTCATAGGAGTATCCACTAGCATTTATAATTTGTAAAGAAGTGCATATATTATATGTACTCAATTGGTAGTGTAAGGAAAATCTTCCCAGTGAGTATTTCAATATCATTGATGCAGGTTATATACAATCTGTGTGGGTTACAAAGGTAAGAATTAGAGATTACAATTAATTACAACTTATCAGGGATTATAATCATCACAGCGCTAAGGCAATGAAGATGGAGATTTTCCAGAGAGATTCAAGGAGAGTTGACCGGCTGTGATTGCTTCACTACACCCCCCCCCCCCCCCCCCGCCGCAAACTGGACGAGCTTGGTTGGACTAGTTTGGATCGAAGAATATTGTGGCACGGTTTGGGAAGGGATTTGGTGAGAAGGTCAGCCACTTGATCAATGGGGGGGATGAAGCAAACCCGGTGATTGCCCAAGGCCACCTTTTCGCTAACGAAGTGATAATCGAGCTCGATATGTCTTGTGCGTGCGAAAAACCGGATTGGCAGCCAAGTAAGTGGCAGAGAGATTGTTACAATGAAGATGGATTGGGAATTGGAGTTGGACACCAAGTTCAACCAAAAGGGATGATAACCAAATGGTTTCGGCACATGCATGAGCTAAGGACCGGTACTAAGATTCTGTACGGGAGTGAGAAACAATGGGTTGCTTTTTGGAACACCATGAGATGAGGTTGCTACCCAAGTAGATTAGTAGCTAGTGGTAGAGCCTATGTTGCATGGACACGAGAACGCAACATGGAGACACGACGACACGGAAAATCTCAAAAAATTAGGACATGGATAGGGCTAGGACACGGAAATTAAAATAATAATTAATTCTCAATACTTCAATGTCACATAATTCCATAAAGCAAAACAAATAACTCATATAAAATACCAACACAAAAAACAAACAAAAAACAAAAACACATCAAAACATAGAAACGAAAAACATAAGACTTTTATTATTTGTTGTGTTTCTCTTCAAAAAAAACATAAGAAAAGAATCTTCACCTCACCACCAAGTCCAACTCTTCTATTGTTATGGACGGAAATAAGAAAAGAAAATAGAAAACATAAATAGAAGCATTTGAAAACAAAGGAAAAAAAATTGCAAAAAACACTCACCTTTGCAAAAGCTAGAGAAGAGAAGAGCTGCTGCAACAAAAAGAAATGAAGTGAAATGGCTGCTACTTTCGTGAGATTCATTTAGGTTTAAAAAAGTCTTTTTCCACTTTCAACCCATCTTTTTAAAAATATTTCAAATCAGTCCACTAAAGCTTCAAAAATCACGTTTAGACCCCTATTTTTATTTTTAAAATTTAAATCTGGTCCCTACCGTGTCTTGACAGTGTCGGAGCCGTGTCTTGACCATGTCCCAGCCGTTGACCGTGTCGGAGGCGTGTCGAGGGCGTGTCGGAGCCGTATCGGAGTGTCTGCGTGTCCGACACTCCGACACTCCAGCATTTTGGAGTGTCTGTGCAACATGGGGTAGAGCGGCGGGAATTTGGGCAACCGGCCCAATCAGCATCAGAGTACGCAGAGATGCGGGTTGAATGAGACTGAGGGCAAAGAGTTAAACCAAAATTGATGGTCCCTTTGAGGTAGCGTAATATACTCTTAACATCAATCATATGAGAAGAACAAGGTGCGCTAATGAATTGCGCAATAATGTTGACCGCAAAGGCCAAGTCTGGGCGAGTGATGGTTAAATATTGAAAACATCCCATGACTTCACTGTAAGCAGTGGGAGAAGATAGTAAGTCACCTTCAACAGTTGTGAGAGTGGTCTTGGCAGCAAGTGGCGTGGAAGTGGGTTTGCAGTCTAGCATTTGATGGCGTTGAAGGAGGTCATGCGCATATTTTTGTTGAGATAAGTGAAGGCAGTCATAGGAGTGATGAACATGGAGGCCCAAGAAATAAGTGAGAGGCCCAAGGTCTTTGATGTCAAAGGCATGGCCCAACGTAGTGATGAATTGGTGGAGAAGCCCAGAGTCGCCGCCAGTAAGCACGATGTCATCAACATATAGCAAGAGAAATAGTTGGTGAGTGCCATGATGATAAACACAAAAGGAAGCATCTGCCAGACTTTGTGTGAACCCAAAGGAGAGGAGAAATGTGCTAATGCGATGAAACCAAGCTCGAGGTGCTTGTTTGAGACCATATAGCGCTTTGTGAAGCTTGCAAACATAGTGGGGCCGGGCAAGATCCACAAAACCAAGGGGCTGAGTCCTGTAGACGTTCTCATTAAGAAAACCGTGTAGGAATGCATTTTTAACATCAAGTTGGCCAAGAGACCACCTGGCTAGACTGAGGATAGTACGGATAGTGGCGAGCTTGACGACCGAACTGAAGGTTTCAGTATAGTCAATACCCGGTTGTTGATGAAAACCCTTGGCAACCAAGCAAGCCTTGTAGGGCTCTAGACTACCATAAAGTGGCACTTGATGCGGAATACCCATTTATAACCAACTGGAGCGTGTAAGGGAGAGGGAGGAACCAAAGACCATGTGTTATTTTTAAGAAGAGCATTGATTTCATTAGTCATGGCTGAACGCCATTTAGCATGCTTGTTAGCCTGAGATAAACAAGTAGGTTCATGAGATTCAACAACAGAAATTAAGCCATGAGGAAGGGGATACCGAACAGTGCCGTCAGTTCTAGTTTTGGGTTGGAGAATGCCAGCACAAAGTCTTGTAGTCATTGGATGAGATGGTTGGGCTGCCGCGGGGGATGGAAGAGCAGCAGGGGTAGGCATTGATAAAGATCCGGTGCACTAGATGGAGGTAGCTAGTTGGATAGGAGAGAGGCGTGGGCTTGGAGAAGGATTGGGGTCTGGTGTGGGACCTAGGCCGAAAGTCACATGTGGGCCTGAAGGGAGGCTCGGGTCTGAAGTGAGGCGCGGGCTTGGAGAAGAAGGTTGTGGGTCACCAGAAGGAGGCTATGGGCCTGGAGAAGATGACGGGCCTGGAGAGGAAGGCAAGGAGATCAATGGTGGTGGTTGCCCAGCAGGGGCAAAAGGTGGAGGTTGAGCTGTGGTAGTAGTTGCAGGTAATTGAGCAGACAAACCATCTTGTGGAAATATGTCAAGTTCAACCGTGGCAGTTGGAGTAGATACCTGTGAATTCTTAAAAGGAAAATATAATTCATTAAATATAACATTACGGAAGACATAGACCCGACCAGTGGAAAACACATTCTAAGGATCGACTTTGACGTTTTTTGGGGACATAGGGACCAAGATGGGGAAAACAGGAACAACCAAAGACACAGAGGTAAGAATAGATAGGAGGACAGAAAAGAGTAAAGAATATGAAGTAACCCAATTGAGGACAGGGGTGGGGAGTAAATTGATTAAGTGAACGGCAGTGAGTGCAGCCTCAGCCCAAAACAATGAGGAACATTAGAGGTGACTAGAGGGTGCGGATCATGGTAACAATGTGATGGTGTTTGCATTTATCAAGGCCATTTTGTTGGGGCGTGTGGGGACAGGAAAAATATTTTTGGAGGCCATGAATGGTACAAAACTCAGTGAAGGCGTGATTGGTGTATTCGTAGCTATGAAAGTTTTGAATGTTTTGAAGTGAGTGAAAACCTCATGTTTGGGTTTCATAGGATAAATCTACGAATAGCAAGAAAAATCATCAGTAAATAATACATAATAACGGAAGCCACTCACAGGAGAAATAGATGACATCCACACATCAGAATGAACTATTGAAAATAAAGAGGTAGCATGATTTGGATTTGGAGAATATGGTAATTGGGTTGACTTACTAAGAGCACAACGCGTACAAAATTCCTTATTTAATCGAAATTGAGACCCTAAGTGAGGGTAAAGACGAGAGAGGATTAAAGAAGATAGGTGTCCAAGATGGTTGTGCCAAGTGGATGAGGAGGCGGTGACAAAGGCACGAGGGGTGGGAGAAACAGAAGGTGATGACAAGGTTAAGGGGTACAACCCATCCTTACAAGGGCCCTGAAAGAGAAGAGCACCAGTTTGTAAGTCATAAATGCAATAGAAAGAAGAAAAGATTATCATGGGTAAATTTAGCAATAGAAATAAGATTTTTTGTAAGATTAGGAACACCGAAGACATTACGAAGAGAAAATTGAAAGGGTCCAAGGGAAAGTGGAAGGTTACCAGTGTGGGAAATGGGTAGAGAATCACCATTGCCCATATAGACCGAGTTATTACCATTGTATGGTTGGGGTTGCTGAAGAGAAGGAATATTGCCTTTCATGTGATGGGTGGCACCTGTATCTGGATACCAAAGGGGATCTTAAGGCTGAATAGAGTGGGTATCAGCAAATGAGGGAAAAGAGTATGGGCCATTGTACTTGTGTGGACATTGGGCAGTTGGGTGCTGATTTGTGGAGCATGTGGGACACCAAATAGGTGATGGTGGGCCTAGTATGCCATGTTGGTTCCAATTGGGCCTGGGAGCTGGGTCACGAGTGGAAGTGGAACCGGTCCAAGGTTGATTCCAGGTGGGTGCGGCACCAGGAAGGCGTTGTTATGCCAACGATTTGGACCACCACATTGAGAACTTTCACAAGAGAAGCCGTGATACCCACCGTGACGACCACCACGAGAGCTACCACGCTGAGAAGAAGGGCCTTGCTGAGAGTTGGTGTGGCCTTGCGGGAGAAATGAGCGGATGTGTTGTGAGTGGTGATGAAGGCGATGGTGTTGCCTGTCGAGGACCTGGATGATTGGTTTTCAAAGACAAGCAACCGAGAGCGAAGATTAATGAAACTAGGGAGGATGGGTTGATTCAAGATGGTGGTGACAAGCATGGAGTAGTCCGAACCGAGGCCGCGTAGAAGGACAGTGATGAGGTCTTTGTCTAAGACTGGCTTGCTAATGGAGGAGAGAGCATCGGTGAGAGACTTCGCGGTATTGAGATATTCATCAATTGCTTGAGAACCTTTGGACATGTCATGAAGCTAAAATCTGAGACTGGATACACCAGCAAGGTTGCATTGGGCATAATGGTGTTGGAGGCACTCCCAGATGGCTTGAGTAGAGTCATGGCCCACTGTTAAAGAGAGAACAACAAGTGTAAGAGTGGTGGTAATATAACTACAACAAATTGATCATGTTGGTACCAAGTTTGAAAGGTAGGATTGGGATTGGTGACTGGTTGTGGTGGGAGGAGTGGATGGAGTTGTGGCAGTGGATGTGATAAATTCAGAGGGTTTGGGGTTGGACCCATCTATGAATTTCCATAGGTCATGGCCGATGAGAAATGGTTTGATTTGGCGAAGCCATAGGAGGTAATTGGAGGAGTTGAGCTTGAGAAAGTGACTGGTATTGGGGCCAGGAAGAGAAGCGACAGAGGAAGCAGAGGCAGAGGCCATGGGGATCGTAGAGAGAGAAACTTCAGAGGAAGAAAATGGAGGCTGATACCATGTAAGGAAAATCTTCCCAGTGAGTATTTCAGAAGAATAAGGGGGAACATGAAAATTTGACTCTCCAAAGGCTTCCCTTCTTGGTAAAGTTCCATCTTGGCTTTTCTTCGTCTTTTCCTATGTGAGCTTGTAAAGGTAAAGATCCTATTTAGGCAAAAGTTTAAGGCCAAAAGTCACTTTTGGTCCCTGTAGTTTGGCACTTCAACCACTTTTGACCCTGTAGTTTCAATTTCGTCACTTTTAACCCTGTAGTTTCATATTTGAAGCAATTCAAGGACATGTTAAATTTTCTGTTAATTTCTTTAACGGAGTAAACATGTGCCCCTCACGTGGAGGGGCAATTTTGTCACTCCAAAGCCCCAAGTAAAAGCTTGTCTCTACCCAACGTAAAACCAAGAATTTAGTATCTTTCTATTATGATTGTTAAATCTGATTGCTATTTCACAAAACATTTGAGTGTTTTTTTAGTCAAATCTGATTGCATTATACCCAAAACAGGGGTCTTACACTTGCAGCCAAAAAAGTATGTCTGATAACAAAAGAAGAATTCAAGGCCTGTTACAGTTATAGTAAAAGAAGAAAGTTCACAAAATATTGGCCAACAACCAGAAACTATTAAACTACGTTCAAAAGTAATGGCCAACTTCAGTTCACAAAATATTGGCCAACAACCAAAATAAGCAATTTCAGTTCACTTGGAATTTTTATTGTTTGTTGCTTTTCCTGGTGGGTTCCATCGGGCACTTGAACCTCCCATTTGCCTTGATAGTGGAGGCCTAATGCTAACTCCCATATGCCTTGGATTCACAGAACTAGCACCTCCCATTTGCATATTAAGAGTTGGTCTTGTATTCATTGATCTTGCACCGCCAATTTGTCTTTGATTCACAGAGCTTAAACTTCCAATTTGCATATTAGGAATAGGCCTTGGAGTGGGTATAAATAGAGGAGTTGGTCTTGGAGTGGGCATAAGAGGAGTTGGTCTTGAAGTGGGCACAAGAGGAGTTGGCCTTGGTGCATTTGGAGCATTTACATAACCCTTCCTAATCTGCATAGCCACACAAAATGTATATTAATATATATATATTTACATATAAATATATATTAGGAAAAATGAAAACACTTACAGGAAGCTTTTGTCTTTGCATCAGAGTGGTGTGCACATTCTCTTGAGTTGGCATAGGAGAAAAGGAGGCCACATCTGTAGCACCATTACTTCTCCTTTTCTTCAAAGAAGCTGGAAGTCCCCATCTTTTATCAATATAGGTTCCAGGTGGAGGGTCTTGGGGCTGATTAGAGCAATTCCTTTTGTTGTGGCCTTTTTTCCAACACTTGGTACATGTGACAGTGCCTTTTCTCTTGAGTTTAGTACCACTGGTATCAACAACCTTCTCCATTTCAGGGTCCTTTTTCCTACTCCTTTTTGGTCTCCCCGGTTGTTTTCTAACAATTGGAGGTAAGAGTTGTATTTGATTTGACTTTGGCCACATGTTAAAGCCCTTCACTGGATGAATCATTGGCTCATAAGCCTTCAAATAAGTGTCCTTAAGATAGCATGAAGCTACATAATCTTCTGGACAACCCCTATAAAGATATATGGCAGCAACGGCATGAATGCAAGGGATACCATTAAGATCCCATCTCATACAAGAGCATGTCTTCAATGCTATATTTACCACATGTTGATCATGTAAGTACTCTCCCACTTGATATTCAAATGCTCCAGCTGCTGTTGGCATACAATTCCTAGCCGAATGCATCTTTATCTTCTCCAATTTCTTTTGAATTTTAGGGCAAATGACCCCCTCATGTTTTGCCATAGCAATCCTCTTCACTTCTAACCTTTTCATTAGGTTACACCTTATCATTTCTAGCATGGTCAATATAGGTTTATCTCGGGCACCCAAGATGTAGCTGTTAAATGTTTCACACAAATTATTTAACAACATATCACATTTAGGGGCAGTGCTAAACCTATGTCTAGCCCACTTATTTAGATCTTTCCCCATCAACCAATTATAAGCATCACCATCCATCTCTTTCAGCTTATTCATCTCAACCTCAAAGTCATGGCAATCGGGAGCCCTAGCTGCACTCCATAAAAGATCTTTCAAACCCTTGCCCTTATACTTTTCCTTGAAGTTCCCATACATATGCCTAACACACCACCTATGTTGGGCTTGAGGCACAACAATATCAAAGGCTTTGTCCAACCCCTATATCAGGTATAAGCATAATCACATTTTAGTTGTTCTTGAATATATATTATATTAATAATCAATAAAACCATATGTTATTCATAAGTTTATTCGGAATAATAAATAATAAAGAATAAAATTAAACCATTATGCATGAATTATAAGCTCACCTTTTGTTGGTCTGATATGAATATCCATCCATGGTCTTCTACAGGACCAAGATCATCCATTAGCAACTCCAAAAACCAGCTCCATGTCTCCTTAGTTTCCAACTCCACAGCAGCATATGCAATAGGGTACATGTTATCATTGGCATCAACACCCACTGCAACAAGTAATTGACCTATGAAAGAAAGGAGTTAAACTCACATATTATTGAAAAATATCAATTAATATAAGTGGCTAATCTGAGTATTTATTCAAACCATTTGTTGTAGTTATTACCTGCAAAAGGACCCTTCAAATGACATCCATCCACTCCAATGATAGGTCTGCAGCCAGCCAGAAAGCCTTTTTTGCATGCATCAAGGCATACATAAAGTCTTTGCAAGTGCGGAGGAGGCTCCACCCTTATCTTCATTGTGCTTCCCACATTTGTTGCTTTCACCTCATCACAATACTCCCACAGCCTTGAGTATTGCTCCATGTAAGTCCCTTCTATTATTTTTTTGGCTTTCCTCTTAGCTCTAGAACATTGGCTATCTGAAACATTATATCCTAAGTCCCTCTTCACTGCCTTCTTAAGATTTTTAATCGTAATATCAGGCTCATCCATGATACGATCTATATACTTTTGAGCTATGTATACACAATTGACATGTGGGTTAGTAGGATTTCGGACGCAAATGTGTTTATCAATAAAGGTCTTGATCTGCAACGTTTCCTCTAGTTGCATATATGAAGCATGAAGCATCCAAGTGCAGTTTGTACATCTTGCAGTGATCCTCCTCTTATCATTTTTGACAAATTTTATTGAATAATTTCCCATCACTGCATAATTCTTAACAGCTGTCTTCAAGATCTCCTTGCTTCCAAATAACATTCCTTTCTCAAGCTTGGGATTATTCAAATCAGACTTACAGAACTCTGGATACTTCCTCTTCATTTCACCATCCTCATCTGAAGAGTGGTTAGGTGAGTTGAAAGCTTTTTCTGAGTTTGTATCCGAGTCTTCTTCATGATCAAAAGCCACAAAATCCTTAGGTAGATAGGTATTTCCTACTCTCCCAAAACTGGATTGCATATTTCCATCAAACAGGTTGTTGTCATCAATGGCAGCATCATTATCACTTTCATATATTTCTTTATCTGATTCATCACCACTGTCTTGAAGATCTCTTACTCTCCTCCTACCATCAACGTCACAGTCTTCTTCACTATCCTCTTCATCATCAACATTGACAGGTACCTTTATCCTATCTTCATTGTCAATATTATGTCCATACACAGGCACTTCTATTGTTCCCATGTTGTCATTACCCACTTCTTGTCCACCTTCAAAGGAAATTTGTGAAGCTTGATTAAAAATATCATCAAAATATTCATCTGGAACCTCATCAACTGCTTCGACATAAGGAAATCGTGGAGGGCCAGCATCTGAAAAATCAATGCCATGAAATTGAAAATATTGCTTTACTTTATGTGAATCAAAGCATTCAGAGCTATTAAATAACAAATGGCATGCATATTGCTTTACTTTATGCAAATAGCTGACCATTGTGTTTCCCAACCTCCCAATACACACACTATTTTATAAAATTTTCAACCATCATAGCAACAAAGCATAACTTTCCAAACCCAAAGTTGCATAACAAAACAAGGTCATTCAAATAAGAAAAACAAAACAAAACAAGGCCACAAAACAAAAGAATGGAATAAACAAAAGCGAGAACAGAGAAGAGTGCAACAACAAAGTTCTTGGGATTGCCATTGCCACCATTTTTGAAGATTGACATTCCCAAGCTCTTCAAGGGGAGCATCAATCAAGAATCTGGAAAAAAAAAAAAAAAAAAAAAAAAACAAAAAAAAAAAAAAGATGAAAAAAAAAGAGGGAGAGGTTGGATGAACAAGGAAAGTGCAGATTGGTTGGGGTGGCAACTGTTGATCCTATTGATGACTTTCTGATTAACTCCTTCCTTGGCCTACCCATTGAATGCCTTGCTGACCTCAATGCTATCATTTCCTTGTCTTAGTTCTTAGTGGTTTCAAGAGCGATAATCATTCCTTTTTCTATAGTGTAATATATATATATATATATATATATATATATAAAATCAACACTGAAAATCACGCTTTTTCTCTAAATTTCGAAAAAAATTACCCACTACATGGGTTGCGTACGGAATTTAAACTGATTCCTCTAATGATGATCATTAAAATTTATATATGTGAGTATTACATAGCCTGACACTAAAATGTAGATGAATTTGATTGTTTAACAAGTGATGATTACAAAAATCATAGCTATTTTATGTTTTTTTTTTCTTTTTCCTGTGTTGTTATCGTTCTCTTTCTGCAACTATATAAACATCATTTGCTTTCAGAAATGGCGTTGGAACCTACTAATTATATGCATTGAAACCTCAAATAAAAGAAAGTTGTAAAACAAATTCGCACAGAAAACTGAACCTTCAAAGATTTTGAGTTCACCTGGATTATTGAAGCCTCCATCGACTTCACCTCTGTTCTTCACCTCCATCGACTTCACCTCCCTAAACCTTATTGAAGTTCTGCTAGTCTTTTCGCACCCTCTCGTTGCACTTAATCAAAAACCCAGATGAATTTCACTAAATTTTTAAGAGCCCTAATCCTAATCTGCTTCAAAATGGCCAATTTCGCGCGCCCTAGGGAAGAGGAAGAGACAAGCTGCTTTGGACTGACAAAATTGCCCCTCCACGTGAGGGGCACATGTTTACTCCGTTAAAGAAATTAACAGAAATTTTAACATGTCCTTGAATTGCTTCAAATATGAAACTACAAGGTTAAAAGTGACGAAATTGAAACTACAGGGTCAAAAATGGTTGAAGTGTCAAACTACAGGGACCAAAAGTGACTTTTGGCCAAAGTTTAAAGGCTTTGGTTTCTTGGTGGCTCTTTTACCCATGCAAGTTGAGGTTTGATTGCTCGAGTTTGAATTTCAAGCAAATTTGGTTTGTTCACGAAAATGGGGTAATTAGTAAATTTTTTCTCCTTATCCATATGGTTGGCCTCAAGAAAGTGGGATTGGGTTTTGGTGCTCCCAAAATCTCGATATTTTTGAATTTTTAAAGGACCTTATGAACCTTTGTAACCATCCACACTATCTAGAACTCATAAGCAAGTCCCATGTATATATATAGCTTGAGCCCCACTTAAGCTTTTCAGCCAGTTTCATGTTTCATGTTAATGTGTCCTCATGTTCGGACCACGCCGTATTGGTTAGGGTGGGTAAGCTTGAGCGCCCTAGTAAATTGTATGAATTTAAAGTGATCTCTACATATTGCCGAATTAAAGTCTTGATTGGCATGGCACGAATATCAGTGCATGCGTAGGAAATTCTTGAGGTTACATGTGGTGTTTGATATGCCTGGGTGTGCCGGGGCTAAAGCTTCTCTTGCAGAAAATTGATGCAATCGGACTTGAATATGTTTAGACCTTCCCTATATTTTTTGGACCTAAACAAATCTCAACACTGACCTTGTAAAATGGTATAGATTTAATACAATTTGTATCCTATTCCTCTTATAACTCATAGCAATCTGCTACAACTTTGGAGCTTGATGAAATATCCAAGGATCTTAGCAAGTTTCAACATTTTAAGTTTGGGATCTCTCTCCACTCTTTGATTGGCTTTCCATTTTTGTTAGTTTTGAACTTCTGTTTTGGTTTTCATCTTTGAAGTAACGCAATTATTATGCTGTTAGGTTTTTCCTTTTGTAACAAAATAAATTTTAGGTTTAATTTCAATTTACTACCTTGACCTTTTCACCAAATGGCATGTAACAAAAAAAATTAGAGGAAGAAAAGGGTGAAGAGAAACCCTAGGAAATGAGTTTGCCATGCATGAAGGTGTGAGATTCAGATCTGGTCGTAGGATCTTTTAGGAAATGTTTACTAATAAAGAATCGAGATAAGCATGAATCAGAATAAAAAATAAACAGAAACATAGTTCCAATAATGAGAACCCATGGACCATATTCTTCTCCAATATGAGTTTTGCTTACATCCCGAATGAATTCAACCACTCATTAGAGCCATTGTTAACTATTGGTCGTTAAGGCATATTCTAAAATATCAATATATAGGAATCGGTAAACATGAATCAGGTCAGCATTCCAATTAAACTGTTTACTGACTGTCAAGAATCAAATGAAAAATAAAATCATTTTCCATTAAAACCGTTTACTATTTTGAAGAATAGGAATCAAAACCAATTTGATTACCAAAATACCCTTCTACAAAACAAATTTTATTTTGTTCAACTACTTATACAAGTTTTCAAATGACAAAACAAAAAACAAAAAAAATGACAACTTTTGTTACGTAATAATGAACCAACTTTATATATATATTGTGTTACAAATAGAATTTGATATTTGTAAAAATATAATATATTGTTATATGTTTAATTATTTACTTCCAATATATCTAAATATATAAATTTATAAAAATAAGTTAAAAATCCAACGGATTATTTATTGCATGCAACATTCTAGCAAAAATAAAGCATGAAATGTCATGTGACAAAATGGGTGCACACTAGCTGCTATTATTGTGCCTAAAAAAAATAGTTGTTGTCTTTCTGTAAAGGGGTATTGGGTTTTTTCATATATATAAAAAATATGACAGCAATTGGGGAAGGGAAAATCTTGTTCCGATTCACCCTTGCCCAATCCCACCTCCAATCTCAAGGATCAAATTTCCTCCATATCATAAATAAAGGAGTAATCCGGAATGAGATTCTCATTCTTTCCATTCTCATTCCCATTCCCATTCTTTCCAACCACTAGTTGTATGTGGATTCTAAATTCAAAGATCCAAATCACTTCGTGTTGGTCGAAGAAAGCTAAGTTAAGGCTCATCGATGAGTTGGGTGTGAAAACACATGTACGTTGCTTCATAAATGCCTAAAGGGGGGCGGGGGGTGGTGAGTGAATATGCAAATTTAAAATTATACACAACATAAGAAAATAAATAGACGTGCCAAGATTGATAAAATTAATTATTTAATATGACTTGTGCATCAAAATAAAAATTAAGTGATCACACAAAATTTTAACATAGTAAAACCCCACCTCTAGGGAAATGTTCACGGGACACCTTAGTCCAAAAATATTCCAATATAGAATGATGTGATTACAAGTACTCACACACTTATCCTAAACACATTCTAGAAAAAAGTTTACCGAAGCCAAAACACACTGTTGGTATGAAGTTATGTTCGCATTCCCTAGATCTTAATATAGGTTTAGAAGTATCATCTATTGTTTCTGTAAAATACATACATACATATATATATATATATACAGTCTCATTTTATTGAGGGATCCCTTAAATAAATTATTTGATAGACTCCCTCTAGGGTACCTTATAAATTTGTTTTTAACGATTCAAACCATCTATTTTTTGGGTATCCATTCATATATCATCTTTGCAAAAAAAAACAAGACAAATTGGAAACCGTTTAGACATCTAATTGTATCCTATAAAATCAATGAACACGGTACTTCAAGAAAGTACTAAAATTTCAATAATTTATTTGAGTGGTCAAATGATATCGGATTCAAGTGATTTTTTGTAGAGATGATCTTTGAATGAATATGTACAAAATGGACGTTTAGATTAGTGAAATACAATACGGTGTAGGCCCTATGAAGGTGTCCCTCAAATAAATTTATTTGAGGAATCCCTCAATAGAAGCTCTCTATATATATATGTTGTTGTCAAAATCACCTTATTAAATCAGAAGTTTACTTATGAAGAGACTTTGTTGATGTGAAAGTGAAAGTGATCTTTCCATGTTGTTGGTGACGACGGAGATGAGGGTGAGTCATAAAAGAAGGCTTTCAGGTGCTTCACAAACTCCTTGGGCTTTTCCAGGTTCACAGCATGTCCTGCGTTCTTGATAATCACCAGTTGAGCACTTTTCCCTACATGCCTAAGACAAACAAAATATATATGCACCAATGAAGAAATATTATCATTCAATATTATTTGTTTCAAGCTAATTAATATAAAGTCAAATTAACAATTTCTTTCTCGTTCGCATTTACGTACCTCTTTAATCTGTACCCTAGCTCCACCGGAAATATCTGGTCCTGTTGTCCCCATATTATCAATGTGGGCTGTTTAAAATGGAACAGTACCGTAATCATTGCTAATTAGTAAAATTAAGAGAGAGAGAGAGAGAGAGAGAGAGAGCTCTTTAGCGACACAAAACCCTAATGAAAACGTCATAAGTCATAAGGTAGACATGCATAAGGACTTTAAAGCAATGAAATTGCACTCTGAAATAGCTTCATGTGTAGGCAAGAATGGGAGAGACCATCACCTGTGTGATCTTGGGAAGATTAAACATTTTTCGCTCCGTGAGTATTGCCCGGATCAAGTCTCTCTTTTCTTCTACATAATCTGTACACATCACCTGTCAAAATACAGAAAATTAGTTATACTGAAGCATTTGCAGAGGGGAAATGGAGAGAGAGAGAGAGAGAGAGAGAAGATTTGAAGTACATGAATGAAATCCGTGAGAAAAAAAGAGGGCACGCTCTTTGCAGGCTTGAAAAATGAATAGCGCATCAATTCCTTTAGCTTCTCTGGAGTCTGAGGCAACAAAATGCTTGCAGCCTCATCCAAGTTCGATACCCTAAACAACCCTTCCTCCATATCCTTCGCCTCCAAGCACACCCCGGCACAACACAGCGCAACCCTCTCTACCATCCCCGGACACTGTAAGGCCACGTTGTACGCCACAAACCCACCATAGCTTATCCCCACCATGCTCATCTTTCCAACCCCGTGGGCCTCCATCAACCTTATTACACATTGCGCTTGGAAAGACTCTGAGCGTTCCACGCACGATGTGTAGGAGTGGCCGAAAAAGAGGAGGTCGGGCACGTACACGTTGAAATGGGGGGTAAAGTGTCGTAGATGCTCCCCGTATTGCCACATAGCATTGGCTCCGAAGCCGTGGAGGAGGAGGAGGGTCGGTTTGTAGGGTTTGTGGGATTTGGGCACCCAGCAATTCATGATGGTGCCATCACCTAGATTGGTTAAAACTGAGCGAAGGCCGGCGTTGGCGAAAGAATGCCGGTAAAACCAATCTATGGAAGCCGTAAGGCTGATGAATTTAGGAAGCTTAAGAGGAAACATATATATTTGACTGATCTTGAAAATTGAAGAATTAACGTAACGAAAATAAATTAATTTCAAAATTCACGAAAAACTTGCATGCATACGTACGTAGAGGATGGGGATGACACTGATCATAATGAATCTCTGCATGCATACGTCTATATACATATGCATATAACTAACTAACTAACTAACTAACTAACTAATGCTCTAGAATTTATGCTTTTTGGTCATGAGAGAGAACTAAATTAAGCTGAAAGCCCAGAGAGGCCAAACAGATTCTTCAAAACAAACGTGAATTTGGGCTATATAGATTATTTCAAGTATATATGCAACCATGAAAAGATAGGAAGGGAAAAAGGAGAATGACTAGAAAGTAGAAAAACTCCCCAAGTTTGTTTGGTCGAAAGATGTTGAAGCTGTAGATCCATTGGGCGTTTGTGTGTACGCAATTTTATCCGTTTGTTTTGTTCTTTCTTTGGATAATTAAAATTTAAAACTACTATTTATGTGTATGAACCATGTAATCCAGAGCTAATTGAACACTCATGAGTACTATTTTTGTGTTTTTAATTTTTAATTTTTTACATATAGGCGCACGTAACGTGAATCCGGAAAATTGAGATTTTATTAACTCTACATAAGAATATATTAAGGAAGTCCAAAACGGTGAGACATTGAAAATCCAAGAATGTCCTAAATAAACTTAAATGGTTTTAAAAAAAAATTAAAAAAAGAGAGTTGGTTGACAGAGAAATAGTTACAATTCTCCGCTGGGGAATAAACAAAAGAAATTTCACAAAATTACAAGATGGAAATCCCTTTCTTTTCCTTTTATAATGTTTTGCGTGTGGGACAAATAAAGTATGGCAGCTCTCAATTTCTCAAAAAGAGATGATATAAGCAAGCATCCATCACTTACATTGAGAGGCCTCTCAACGGTAGTCCAAAGCATGATTAATTACAAGAGAAACTAAATATGCACATAAGACTGACCAAAAACTTGTTGCAGCCGCTAAACAAAACATCAACCTCTTCCTCTTAATTTTCTTTGATACGAGTATTACACCGTATAATTGTTGTTTGCAGGGAATCAGCTCATCAGTTCCCTTAGTCTTTTTTCAGCAAGATTGGCAACCTTATTTTGAGGTTCAAGAACAAGGGCATGCTTGAAATCTGCAAATGCCAAAGGAAACAAATTGAGAAAGAAGCTAAACCAACCATAATTGTAAGTTTCTTTCTCCTTTTCTTTTTTTTTTTTTTTTTTTTTTTTTTTTTTTTTTGGGGGGTCAGCCACAGTTGTATGTTGCACATGTAATGTAATGCTAAGACAGGCAAACCTAAAATCTTGAACCATATCAGACATGGCATGACACAGCATGGCTAGTACAACGGAATATGAATAAGAATTATATGTGCTAGAGAAGTGAGAGTCAGTTCATCTTGTGCTAGGTTTATTTAAAACTCTTGGGGTTATTTTTTCGTTTAACGTCATTAGGGTTTCAAATTTTTTATGTTTAAAGCATTGTAACTTATCTTCCTTTTTAATAGGAAAAAGATAGCATCGCTTTCACAGTTTGTTCTTCTATTGGATTTTCATATATTCATTTCTTTCCAATATGGATTGTAAAGCAACATGAGATACTGTCTTGTTACTGAGATTAGATGAGACATTCGAAAAGACATCACTGATAACATCTTCACTTCTCAAACCTAACTCATGCTGTTCATTTCAACCACTCCTCGAACCAAGAGGGATGGGAACCCAAATGCTTCATCAACATGTACTTGTTTCTATAATCTTGATGAAGATGATAAAAGGTCAAAGGTCCAAGGTGTTCAAGTTCTGTAGCAATATATCCAATTGCTGGCCAGATTTTCAAAATCAAAACAAAAAGTTCTAAAACAATCTTTCTACGCAAAAACTAATCTTGTTCATAACTACTTATTGAAACAAAAATCAAGAGAAGTGCAGATGACTGAAGACAACTACCCCACAGCGTCATGAAACTCACTAGAATGGATCTAGCAATCCATGACTCAATGAAGTGGGAAGACTACATGACTGCATAAAGTAGTTCACCTTGATAATCATACAATTGAGCTCATGTGATGATAACCGGATACGTGAAACATCAGTGCAGGATTTCCAAACATTGAAGCAGCTCAGCACATACAAAAGAATATGAAATCAGAGTTCTAACCTTGAGCAGCATCCTTATAACAAAGAAGTGATTCTCTGGCTGTTCCCCGTCTCATATATGCCTTCACATTCTGCACAAATGTTGAAAAAAGAAGAAAGGATCACAAATAGTAAAAAACGAAGATGCCGTACAGGCTCAACGACACAATTTACATTCACATGTTCCAACTATATATATGTATCTGTTTGAACTAGAACGCAACGCTCATGGAGTAGAGATATTCAATAAATGGTCAGATCAGATAACACAAAATATGGCTTGTAATACCACAATGGTAGGTCAGTAACTAAATCTGTAAAGTTAAGAATCAAATTTAATCACCTAAATTGAATCTGGTATTTTTCATTCTATTTAATGGATGCTCCAGGCAACAGTAAGAGTTGAAGAGTAAAGAACCACAATCAAATCCCAGAAACAAATAAAACAATAATAATTGTTGCTCATCCAGTTTTGTACCTTACTCCACTGTAGAAATACTGTTGAAAAAAAGACGAGGAAGTTTCTAAATGACTTAGCGGTAAGCATCAGGAAGAGGTGTATTGAATTCCAAACTACCCATTTACTAACTGAATTATTGATTACATTAAGCATAACATGAACATTTTTGTAGTGCTTCGACCAATAGTTATAAAAACAATGAGTGTAAAAGATCTGCGTACTACAAAATGGCTTTATTACCTTTTTGTCAAGTGATATTGCCTTACTGCAATCCTCTTCAGCTTGCTGGAAGCTGCATGATTGAAATTGATAAGTGCATAGATGGAAACGCCAACAGAAAGATAAGTTGACAGACAGGTGAGCATTCATACCACCCTAATTCCAAGTAAGCAGCTGCCCGGTTGCAATAATAAGTTGCGCTCATCATGTTTAAATTTATAGCTTCAGTATAGTACTTGACAGCCTTATTCCATTGCCTTCCCTTAAATGCAGCATTTCCCTGGAAGAAAATTCATGAGTAAACATAGAAATTAAAAGAAAATAATAATACTAATTGATACAATGGTTCTACAATTTTTTTTCTGGTAGAAAATGAAAATTCAACAGAACTGGCCAAAATATTCTACAAATATAGAAATCAATAGGAGCCAAAAGGGGAAAAACTGAACACCCACTGAAGTTTGACCCATTGTATCACTTTCATTCTTAAATCTTTTTCTTTCTTTTTTGGGTGCCAAATTGCTCCTTAAACTTCACTTTTGTGTGTAAAACATCCCTGCCTGATCAATTCAGTCATATTTTCCATCAAAGTAGTCATGTGTAAGGCACATGACCACATTTTCAAAGAAATAATCATTCCTTTACGCCCTAACATTAATTATATGTATGAATGTTAAAATAACCTAATTATAAGAAAATAATAAATAAATAAATAATCTATCCTTTACTTTCTCTCTCTCTCCTTCCTATCTCTTCCTTCCACTAAGAATCAGATTAAGATCATCATTCACTAGGAAAATACAGAGTATAATAGAGCTCAAGACTGGGAAAAGGAAAGCATTAGCCAAGCTTATTTTATGTCAATTGCAAAAGTGATGTTGTGGAAAATAAAAGGTGCCACTAACAGGAGAGGACAAAAATTTAAACCCAATTTATTAGCATATAAACGTGGCAAGTACCAGTTATGCGGAGAATGCAATGGAAAACTGTCAGGGTAAAGATGACAAACAATATTGTAGAACACTAAGCATTGAAAACTTAGATAAGATCTTAAGGTTGAAGAAACCTTCTCTTTTAAGAGTTCTGAAACATCCAGGTTATCATTGGTATCTGGCAATGGCGATGAATGGGATGCAATGCTGACTTTCTCCTGAATTGAAGAGTACATATCCAAGACTGTATCGAGGAGAAATTTATCAACACTATGGAATGCGATGAATGAAATAGAGATGGGACTTTCTTTGTGCTTTCCTACTGGAATTGTAACCTGGAAATGTGCAAATATAATCATGAATAAATCAAAGCTACAGAGAAATATGAAGGCTGAAACTTTTAAAGTACTTAGTTACCTGACAGCACCCAGACATGCTGGCAATGCTTGATAATGCTAATGTTCTATCGTTGAACTCAGATGACTGTCTTTTCTTTGTATTTAGCTTTAATGGAGGATCTGCAACTGTGGGAATCACTAATATTCCATCATCCTGGGCAAGAGAAGGTAAAAAATAGAGATATAAAATGAGGTATTGTACATATAAACCATCAGGTAGAAAGAAATTGAACATGAATAACAACAAAGTAAAGTCAACTCAATCTTTTCATAAAATAATTTTGTTCAATTAGCGACATAACACAATTTGACATGCAGAAATGCAGGAGTATGTTGGAGCTGCAGATTGTTATTCCCCTCTTCTGGTTTCAGGATGGAGGAGGATATAAGAGAGCTCAGGTTGCTGGAGCTCAACATGCCACTAAAAGCAGACAGGAAGACTACAGCTAACTAACTAAATCATTATTTAAAACCTCTATATTGTCATCCATGATAAAACAAAAGAACAACTTACTTCTATATATTATAAGGATGGAGAAATTGTCACGTTACTAAAGTGTTAAACAGGGAACCGGGTTTTAACCATAGGTATCTCCAATTCTCCAACCCAGGCAATATAGGATAGAGACTAAGAGTATCCAAGATACATTCTAAAATTACCAAAAAAAACATTTATACCTTCTCTTTATTCAGCGAGACTTAATATTTCTCATCCCTAAAACCTAGACCAATACTTTGAACAATCAACTTATCAGAGATAATTTTCCAGCTCACTCCACATACACTACATTGAATGCCTAGGAGTTGTATTATTGACCTTTGCCCTTTGAGAAATTTTGCTTTAAATGTTCAACCCATTGCTAGGTGATGGAACATGATTTTATAAGCACCTGCCTTTCAGTTATGACCAAAAAGAGTACATTTTTGTTATGGGCAAAAAAAGTACCTTCATTTCAGTTTAAATTTCTCATTAAACAAAAACTACTCCAACAATGATGAGCAACACCCGTAAGTAGAATATATTTACAGAAAATGAAAACAAACTACAGCACCGAAGAATATCTCTATACACAGAGAGACAGTACAACAAGAAAAACAAAAGCATATTGTGCAGTTTACAATTGAATGACATTTAAAACGTTTCTAAGCTTACAAAAGCTTCTTTCTTGGGTGTCGCTTCATTAGAACTTAACACCAACGAAGTGGATAAATCTACAAAATATTAAACAAATAAAACAATTTGACGGGAGTAGGGATACCTTTAAGAGACTTTGAAGGGCAGCTCTCATCTCAGTCCTTACTTTATATAGGGTTTTCATGTTTTCATGTGTAGAGTCAATTGCTGCACGAACACGATCTGATGCATCAGGTCCTAGCCTTGGTTTCGCTGATTTAACCCATTCTTCATGATTGGTTTTGAATTCACATCTGAAACGAATTTGTAGATGCCAATGAAGTTAGTACTAACAATTTCAAGTCCTCAACCAAACTGCAACTATCCTCCTGATTCGAGAACAGAAAGTGCGGAGGGAGGGAGAGAGAGAGAGAGAGAGAGAGGAGAGAGAGAGAGAGAGAGAGCTAACAAATCAAATTCCATTTACAATAAAGAACTAGAAATTTATGAAATTTGGAGAATTTGAAAATAAATAATTGACTTGAATAATCTTACAATACCTTTGTAACAAAAGCATCACAGAAGAGAGAGCTTTCAAAGTAAATATTTCATTTTGATGTTTTACGGATTCTTCACGAAATCCTTTTAAACCGGGTACATTTGAAGCAATATACTGACTAAAATTCATATGCTTCGGAGGTTGGTCTGCAGAAACAATAAAAGAAGCAACTTCAACACAATTATGCTTGGTTTTATTTTTTATGAACAACTCTATCACATTATGACAACAGAGATATCTCATGGTAGACTTTAACATTGATATTTAAAAAGTAAAAGAAATGGTAATGACTATAAAGCCCTATAAATACAACAAATCTCAATTCAGGCAACTTACACCCAGATAGATGTTCAATTGCTTTGGTGACAACCTGTACTGTCTTCTCTGTAGGAACTTTAGAAAGCTGAAAGAGGTCATCAGCAAAAATAAGGCGCCTTGCCCTTTTAGTTTCCACTGACTTTAGTTGAAGCAAAACATGTCCAACATGGTGTAGAATAGATGGATCTCTGGTAAAAATTCCTAAAGGACCAGCACATAACAAAATGAGAAAATGAAAGAATAAAAAGAAAAATTATAAGCAAGCAAGAAGAAGTTCCCAGCATACCAACAGTGTCTAAACTCTGTGAATTTGGTGAGACTCCAATCATAGATACAGCCCCATGTGACGGTCGGAACCCAATGACGCCACAAAATGATGCTGGAATTCTCACACATCCAGTCGTATCAATACCTATAAAAGCATAAGAACTTCAAATGATCAGTTTGTATAATTAACAAGCCAAAGCACAAGGGTAAGTGCTATGTGCATGATTACATATTGAGTCCAATTTGAGTCCCTGAGCATGTCCTTGATGTCTAAAACCTTTTCTTTGAATGTGACTTGAGACAGATCACTGAAAGAGTGTGAATTTCAATATGCAAGATACGCCATGTAATCGAACCAACAGTAAAACGAAGTAGAAATTTGGCAAAAACAGTAAATGGGTGGTACAAACAGCAAACTAAATTGGGCAAGTAACATATTCTCCAAAATTAACAAAAAGGAACTTACCAAGAGCAAAGTCAACGAGACCAGCCGCAACAGCCACAGCAGAACCACTGGAAGAACCTCCCGGGATATGCGACTGTAATTGCGGATTCACAGGCGTTCCATAATGCACATTCTCACCAGTAATCCTGTTACGAATCAAAATTTCATTGCTCTTAGTTCCATTTCTTTCTTTCTAAATTTATTTTCTTCATTTAATTTTTAGGTTTTTATCAATGTGAACATAAATTCGTCTAACATTACCCAAAGTTGAGTTCGTCCATGACTGTTTTTCCAACGCAAGTAGCCCCATTCTTCAAGAGAGCTGTCACTACCAACGCCGTCTTCGTAGCCGCTTCATGCGTTCCCGCCCAATCCGGGCTCCCAAACCCCGTCACATACCCTTTCACATCAAATCTAGATACAACAAATAATCAACCAAATCAAAATCAGCACAAAATACAAAGTAAATAAACCGAAATTGAAAACAAACAAAAACAAAGAGAGAGAGAGCGAGAACGACATGTCGCTGATGGCGAAGGTGAGGGAAGCAAGGGGTTGTCTGGCGGCGGGAGGAGGGGGCTGAGGAAAGGGAAGAAGGTCGAAGCGAGGCTCCAGAAATGGTTCTCTGAGCATGATTTGGGCTCTGCTTCGTCGTTTTCGCCGTTGAGTCTCGGCCACGATCACGATCCCGGCGACGCTAAGACCGATGACGATCCAGGTCCTTGGGTTGGAGGACACATTGGCCTTAACAACCTGCAAAGGCTGCTTCCACATGGTGCCAATGGAATTGAGGAGGACCGAAGCTTCAGAATTCTTCTGAGCGAAAACAAGGGTTTTGGCAGGGTTTTATTTGCCTCTTTATTTTGTTTATTTTGTTTTATATTTTTATTTATTTGTTTGTTTGATCAATAAGTTAATGGCCGCGCGAATCTTATTCTTTCCGAGAAAATGTCAGCTCAAGTAAGGGAGTAATGTTTGTATGTTTTGGATAGGGACTATTCATTAGGAAATATTTATTTTTTTTTTTTTTTTTTTTTTTTTTTTTTTTTTTTTTTTTCTATTACTATAAATAGACATTTTAAAAGAATTTAAAAGAATTTCGTTTTGGTACGTTGGACCATACTGACTAATTTCTGTCAGATTATATTAATCTATTATGGAGAGTACTAACTATTTATCCATAATATTATAAGACGTTTGGTGTTGTTCCCGATAAATAGTCTAACTAAGGGCCAGTTTGGAATTGCTATCACTTTTTTTTAAAAAGCAGCTTCTGCTGTGCTTTAAAAATAATCAGTTGTAAAGGAGTTTCATGTTTGATAAACAATATTTGTAAAGTGCTGTTATTATAAAAAGCAGTATTAAAACCGTTTGGTAAATTTTAATATAAAACTGTTGTAATTGTGAATAATGACTAAAATAAACATAATGTTAAAAGTGTTATGTATGCTAATCATGTGGTGGTGGTGGTGGTGGTGGTGGTGGTGATGGTAGTGATGATGGTGGTGGTAGGGGTGGAGGTGGTGGTGGTGATGGTGATGGTGGTGATGAAGGAGGAGGAGGAGAATGAGGTGGTGGTGGTGGTAGTGATGGTGGTGGTGGTTGTGGAGGTGGAGGTGGAGGTGGAGGTGAAGGTGGTGATGGTGGTGGAGGTGGAAGAGGTGGTGGTGGTTTAGGGTTTAGGGTTAGGGTAAATTGAAATTCAAATGACATGAAATCTTTTTGGTAAGATTCATACGACAAATTTTTTTTTCATTTGCTTTTGCCAAGATCTATAAGATAAGATTACATGAACGTTATCATAATTGTAGTATCTCATACATAATTATATTGACCAAACACATCAATAAGATTAATCTCAAAGGGAATTGACTATTAGTTTGAAGTCCTCAACGCTAGCAGCCCCATCTCCATCTATATCAACATTGAAGCAATAATCCCCTGGCAGTCTTCAAGAGACAACTCAAAACCAAAATCATCCCCCATAACCTCATAAAGCTCCTAAGCAGTCACAACCTCATCCTCATCATCTAGGATGATTTTGGTGACCCTAAGAGCTATTTGGGGGTTCAACTCATTAGTATCATTCCCACACCCATTATCCAAGGTTAGGGTTTTCGAGTTGAACCCCCAAATCGCTCTTAGGGTCACTGAGCCAAGTCCTAGTTAGTTGGCTTTGTCCAAGAACTCCTCTATGCTCAGAAACCCATCTTTGTTTGTGCTCCTTGTTGCCTCATTGCCCTCACATCTTGCTCACTTGTCTTGTATCCAAGTGACCCCAAAATCCCTCCAGGCTCAGCAACATTGATTTTTCCATCATTGTCTACATCAAAGGCTTTGAATGCTTCCACCAAGCCTAGGACTTGGCTCAGTGTCTCAATTTCTACACACAGAGAGCTTATTTGAGCCATGTAATTAGGTTTATGATCAAGTTGGTGTGTGAGAATTGTATTTAGATTTTGCAATTTTTATTGGCACATCCCCAACTATATATAAATGCTGCAAAAAAGGATTCCTAGCTATGATTTTTATTGGGGTTTTGATAAAGATTTGGAAAGGAACAAAAGGTGATTCTTATGAAGAAAAAAAAATTCACTTGAATTTTGGAAAACTGAATAGAAGCTTAATCAAATATACGAGAACTTTCTTTGTAAAGAAGAAAGTAGAAAGCAAAACGGAGAAACTAGAAAGCAAAAATGCTTCTTCTTCCTCCCAAAAGACAGAAAAACCCAAGCTTTTTGGTTGCTCTCTGAAACATCGAGTTTCAATTCAATGCAAAACATAGACAAATAAATAATTCCATGATGCAATTACATTCACAACCAAATTTCCACAAAAATAAAAACTCATAACCTAATTTCCACAAAAATTTAATAAAATAGGAAATATATAAAGAAAGAGAAGATGAAGATAGAAGAAGAGAGAAGAAGCATTTGGAGAGAGTATGAGAGAGAGATGGACACCTAGAGAAGAGTGAAGAAAATAACATGTGGATAAGATAGCAGAAAAGAACCTTAGGGAGAAGAAGATGAAAATAGGGTCAGATTTTTTACGTGAGCGGGTGTGTTCTTTCCCTAGCCGTATAATTAAGCATGTATTATCTAAATCGGGGTGTGTGGGTTGTATTAGTTCATTAAGTAAGGAGAGTATTAAAATCCAAACCCACTTAAAACAGTCAGGTAATTAAATAATACAAGTATACACCAAACAATTGACATGGATTATACTCCTATACAAAGTCTAATACGGTGTACCAAATGAGCCCTTAGAGCACCTCCACTGCGGGCCCCCAGCCTTGGCAACATGCCCTCTTAGGGGCGATTTGGACCTTTAGCACCCAAAAGGCAGCCAGGGTAAGGCATGGGACCCACTAGCCCGGGCAATTCTTGATTGGGCTCAAGTCCGAAGGCCCTGATGTCACACTAATTTCAACCGCTCATGTCAGCGTGATGTCACCGCTGACGCTAGCACTAATAGAACCCAACGAAAGACGCCACGTGGCACTTCCTAGACTCTCCGATCAAATTTTGTTCAAAAATTCGACGGCTTTGATTTTTTTGGCCAAAAAAATTGCAAAAAAAAAAAATCCAAAAAATTATGAATTTTTTCCCTATAAATACCTAACAATTTTATTCACTCTCCACACCAAATCTTCATACAAACTCTTCTCCTTCCATATTTTTTACTTTCCACTCACATTTTTCTACTACTTTTCATTTGTATCAAAAAACAAATGGCCTCTTACATCGAAGCCGGAGGCACGTGGACAACTCAAGAAGATATTGTATTGTGTGAGGGATGGATGAATGTTAGTCATTGCCCAATCACGGATCACGGGCAATGAGATGATGTTCTGTAATATGTGGAGAAAAATTCATGGAGAATTTTGTGAAAGATCGGGTTCGCCTCGGATAGAAATGACCTTAGCTAGCAGGTGGAAAATTTTGAATAAAGAGTTAGGAAAATTGAGAGATGCGTTGGCAAAAGCGATGGACAACATTCGAAGCGGTCAAAATCTTGCCGATGAGGTAAAATATTTATAAATGTCGTTTTATTCAATTTAATGTAACTTTTTTTTTCCTTGCATTTCCAATTTGTTTATATTTTGTTGTATAATAATTTTGTTTTTCTTACATTTCCAATTTGTTTATATTTTTTTTGCATAATCTTTTTTTTTTCTTGCATTTCCTATATGTTTATATTTTATTGCATATTCATTTTTTTCTTGCATTTCCAAATTGTTTATATTTTCTTGCATTTACAATTATTTATTTTTAATAGATCATACAAGCACAAATGTGGTTTGATGCCATAGGCCAAGGCAAAAAAAGTTTCATGAATCACCAATGTTAGGATGTTGTGAAGAATTGTCCAAGATTCAAAATAATTTCCATAGGTCTGACGGTTGTGTTGAATGAGACGTCACTCTACGATTCGCTGGTGTTCACCCGTTTTGATTTTAATCCTGTGATGGTAGGGTAAAGTTCCCCATTGGTGGTCAATAAGTCAACTTTCTTTTGTGTGTGACCGTGCCACTGCTAGTAGTTTAAAACCCTAGTAGACTTCTAAAAAATAGATAACTTGCGCCCCAAGTTACTGATTCTTAAATAAGCAATTGTGAATTTGGGTGAGGAATATCTCCCAAGTAAGTTCTTTTCTTGCCTCAGACTGGTGAGGGTTTCACAATTTTTCATAATACAAAACTGGTAGTTCTGGCCAGAATTGATAAAAAGGAAGACAAACTGTCTAGGCAAAACTGCATATTACAGGACTCAAGAGAGAAATGGCAACTCTGGAAAAGACAACAGAACTTTGGACTTCGATTTCTGTCTGGGTAGCTACCTCTGAATTGGGCTGGACTGGATATGTCTGTGCTGGATTGAATTATCAACACCTTCAACTGATGAGTTTCAGCTGGAAATCGATACCAACGTTTGAGTTTGGCAGAGTCTCAATTTATTTCGAACTGTGGAAGGCTTGTTGTATGGGCAAAATTGAGGCCTCTTTAGTCTGAAGAGGATAGAAGTGGCTGGATTAATGGTCACTGAGCTGGAGCTGCGCTATGGTACCTGCTTTGCTTTACCAAGGCTTTCTGTAAATTTGCTGAGGTTTTCATATTGTACAAACCCAAACTCTACTTGACTTGGCTTGTGCTGAACCAAATTTGTAACGAGAGAAGTCTCGCTTTGTAAGACTATTTCTCTAAACTGTACTGAAATCCGAGATTTGAATTCTAACTGATTTGTTTCTTGTGGATCAAAGAGCTTTGGTTGCTTTAGTGTCTGAAATTTTTTGAGATCAGTTGATCTTTTGAGTTTGTTAGTTGTGACTTTGAGAGTTTTTGTCTTGATTGATTTTTTGGTTGTCCTTTGATCTGTTCATCTCCTCTCATATTTATAGGAAATGCTGGAGTGGGGTTTTTAATCTTTAATAATGGGCAGCAGATCTTTCAAAAGATCTTCCTTTCTCAATTTCGTAAAAGGAAGTTTATTCATTTTGGCAGAGAAGAACTATCAACAATCAGCTTTCATGGAGGTCTTTTCCTTGATTTTTCTGAAAGAAAACCAACTCTCTTTTGTTCCATGTTTGTTTTTTTTTGTAAAAAAGAACACAATCTGTGACGATAGTCAGTTTGATTTTTCTGGTGAGCAACCCCCTTGCTATCTACTTATCTCTTGAAAACATAGCCTGCTTATCTCTTGGAAAGGTAACCTGCTTTGGTGCAGAGCTTTTCTGTATATGAAAGGGGATTTCATCTTCTTTCCCTGGCTAAAAAAATGGAGAAGTCCTCCTGTAAGATATGCCTTCATTAACTCCCAATCACCTATTCTGTGATAGTTGAAAATTTTGACTTTTTCCAAGGTCAGAAAGTCATGTGGAATTTCTTGAGAGAAAACCTATTTTTAGAAAGATCTACTAACTTGCTTTTTCCTTGTGTAGAGTGAGATTTTTCTAAAAATGGCCAATAACGACACTTCATATTTTAAGACTAGGGCTATATTCACAATATGCTAAAAAGGCATGGGCTTTATTTATCTTCTTGGTTTGATTTCTAATTCCCATAGATAAAAAGCCCAAAACGTTTTCTTCATGGGCCTTTTGATAAAAATGGGCTGGCGTGCAATATTTTGGCCCCAACAGCTGGCAACTGATTCGCCATTGGACTCCCCAATGGATCAAGACTCACTAGTCCAATGTCAGGCGAGACCTATTGGGAGAAAGGCGGCAAAGGCCAAGAGATGGAGCACTTCGAACCATGAATGTGCACAATTTTTGGAGCAAATTGCTTGGAACGGCACACTGAGAATTGAGAGAGACTTGAAAAGAAAAGAAGCAAACAAGGCACGACATGAAGCATTTGCAATTCAAAGGCAGCAGGCACAAGAACAAGACATGGATGACAGATAGATGAAAATCATGGCCATGGATACGAGCCATATGTCTCCTGAAATGAAGTCCTATTGGAAGCTAAAACGAAGGGATGTTATGAGAAGAAAGCTTTTCCATGACGATGGACCTAGCAACACAGATTAGTTAAATGATCAAAACCATTAGGTTGTATTGAAAGAGTTTTCATATGTATTAATATGTTGTATTGTTTCCCTTTTATTCAATATGTATTAATTTGTTGTATTGTTTCCCTTTTATTCAATAAAGAAAGCATTACAAAATATAGATATTTATTAAAAACATTTCATACATCAAAACTTCACATAATTAACAAACCACACACAAAACAAGCATAATTAAAAACAAAGTATTAAACTTCACTTCATCCACAGTGATTGCCTTTCATTTCCCGTAAGTGCTCGATCAAGTCAACTTGACGTCTCTCGTGAACATAGGAAGATTGCATTTCCTGATAACGATCAATCATAGGGTTGTTGTATCGACCATCTCGAATTAACGGTTCATGCTCCATTGGTTGTCCATTTGCTCCCATTGGCCTTTCATAAATTCTAGTCAATTCCATATTCATGGGATCGGGTTCGAACACCTCTGTAGCATCATAATCATACTCATCCTCCACAATCATGTTATGGAGGATGATGCAAGTTATCATAATGTTCCGCAGCACCTCCTCATCAAGCATCCGAGCAGCACTCCTGATAATTGCCCAACGAGCTTGCAAGATACCGAAACATCTTCCCACCTCTTTCTTATAACCTTCTTGAAACGCAACAAAGCTTTTGTTCGCGCTAAATCTGAACAGATAAGAGTTTAGGCTAACTTACAAGTGTGCTGATGGACGAGGACCAGGGTGACCTTATTCCGTGATGTCCGAAGGTTCGAGCGGGGGATGGATCCGAACTGAGGAGAGGATACCGGTGTGGTACCTGCCGAAGGCACTCCGATGCCAAAGTTAATAACTAAGAGCGATTCTATTGACAGTGGAAGCACTAGTCAAGTAAAAAAATCTTACCACTTGGCTGGGCCAAGGGGCTCTATTTATAGAGAGCATTTGTGATGCTCTTAGCACTTAGTTTCGATGTGGGACTCTGTTGACTCAATTCCTAACAACTAAATGAGTTATTAAAAACAGCAACTTTAATTCTCGCAAGTGCACGAACCATTTATAGTATAGCTTATGTAAATACGAGGTCGATCCCACGGAGAATGGTAACTTGGTTCCAAGTTAAATTACTTAGAATGCTAGAAAAACATAGAACAAGGAAACTGACTAACTAGCTAAAGGCAAGGTCGAATTCAACAATGCCTCTTGCTAATTACTCAAGGTCTAGGACAGAATCCTAGCACCACACACACACTCAAAATGGGGGGTTTTGTTGTTGAAATGAAAAGAAGAAAGTGAAATGAAAGTGCTCGAAAGTAAACACTGGACAGATTGTGAAACAATAATTGAGAGGTGTTAGAGCCTTGGAATCCACCACTAGTTTTCTTATCCAAGTTATGAATGCATAGAAATTGACTCAAGCTTCATCAACAACAGATTATCGCATACAAGCCTATGGTATCTAGGTGCAAGACGCATGATTCTCCTAAGGCATGTAATTGTGCATGGTATCTACACAACACGTGATCTCTAATATGCAACCTAAGCATGGTATCTACTTAGAATAAAGCATACAAGAGTCATTAAGCTCCTTGAGAATATGATAATCACACAAGTCCTAGAACATGGTATCTGTCCTAGTCAACCTATGGTTATTAACCCCTTGAATGATTCTTAGGCCATTCATGTGTTGCTTGTGAAAGGAGAGTAGAATTGGTGAATCTAAACCCCCTCCCAACCTGTGCTAGATGCATAAAATCCTAGTTAGCTACTCTAAGAAAACATACATCAAGCACATAATAAACTGGAGATTAACAACTTGATAATGAAAGCAAGGAAATCAATTAACTATAAAATCATCCATAACATTGAATATTCATGACTAGGGCTTCATCCTAAGCCCTAACTAAATGGATTAGTTAGACATAACTATGAATACAGAAAATAAGAAATACATAGATAGGATAAAAAGAGGAGAAGAACTAGATGATGGCAGCAAGGAATTCCCAGGACAGCTCCAAGCTCTCTTCTCTCTTTGTGGTGAATCTGAATTTGTGTATGAGAGTAATGGGTGAAGTGAAAATGTGTATCTGACTCTCCCCCCTTGAATGAGTGTGCAGCCCTCTATTTATAGAGTGCAATTTCGTCCTCCCCTTTGGCTGGTGAAGCACACCTCTCTTAGCTGCTCCCAACAACTCCAGCAGCCCATACTTGCCACCTGCTCCAGATGCCCATACTTGCCACCTGCTCCAGCTGCCAAATACATGCTTTGGTATGGTTTTTTAATGGAAAACTTGACTTTTGTTCATCATTCTGAGTTTCTAAACTGATTTGACTCCCATGTATGGCTGCCCATGCTTAGCACATGGCTCTAGGGATGTAGATGTGATGGCAGCCAGTCATGACATTTCTGTGAACTTGGTTCAGTCTTTGACGTGCTGAGGGCTCCAGATTTATCCAATTGGGCTGTGTAAGTTGCTGAAATGAGGACTGCAAAATGACCCACGAAACTGGACTGACAAGGAGTGTGGCCCAAATTGGGTTTGTCCTTAAGCTCATATTCCTCTTATCCCAATCAGCCCTTATCAAGCATGGATTGCATCAAAGGTGATCTCTTGCTGTCTTAACCTACAAAACACACAAACATAGGTAAGAGACTCAAAATAAAGAGAAGCTAAACAAAATTACTAAGCAAAGAAGGCATGCAAATGTGTGAAATTGTGACCTTATCAGACTCGTGGGAGTGTCTTCGGAGATCGACACGTGCTCTGACAGGTACTGGCAGGAGTTTTGAGACGATCTGTCAGAGTTGGATTGACGTGATGGTTGGTTGCTCAGTAGACCATGCCGAAGGTTAGCGAAGGGACTGATGGTGCATAATCGACCCCCTGAATCGGTACAGTGTGCCGAACGAACATTCGGTATAGCCCGGTTGAGCTGATCTCGGCTTTGAGGGTGTTCCACGTGTCACGACGTGAGTGGGCGGTCAGATATGGTACAAACAGTAGTCCCCCCAAGTTTCCGATCGAGGAGGAACTTCTTGGTTAGGGACTTGCTTGTCCCTGAGCTCCGGCATTTTGACCCGGGTGATAGGCTTTTTAGTACCTGCGCAAACAGGGTTAAAACTCCTACAAAACTTGCAAGAATGACAAGGTTATTGTAGTATAAATGATTCTCGCAAGGTCGTTCTCCGCAGGGATTATTAAATAACTCGTAGCAACCAAATTCTAATTAATTATTGCAAAAGAGAAAGTTGAGATGTTTGAATTGAAGACCTTAAATTAAAAGGAATTTAACTAATAAAAATAAGGCAATATGCAAAATTAAAGCTAAGAGCAAGAGAAACAGTCGTGTTTTTAGAAATCAAATTAAGAAAGCACTAGGAATCCGCCGTCACCTTAACAATTCTATATAGTTTCCCCCAATTACTTATGACCTATACATGCATATTTCGAAGGTTAGGTATTCCTAATATATGCCTACTTGGACCCCCAACATAGAGCGTATATCACACATGCAATCCGTCTGTGGTATTCAAATCAAATCTAAACACACATGCAAAATTAAGTTATGTGAAACCTTTTGAAAAACCATGCAACCCTTAAGACGTGGTATTCATCCTAAGGGAACTTGCACATATTAATCACAAGAAGCCTTTGTCAATTTCAGGGACCGACCTCTGACCAAAACTGCATCAAATTACTTTTCTAAACATCCTAATGGTGATCAAGCATCAAGACACTTAGATAGTTTAACCCAGTGATGAATAATTCGAAAACTTGCATGCATATAATCATAAGCAAATTGGACAGAAACTACATATTCTTGCTAAGGCTCGTGGCCTCACCCTAGCAAAAGAGAGTTAGTTACGCATGTTCACAATAAAAATAATCAAGTTCTTCATTAAAATAATAAAGATCGAAAACACCTTGAAGTAGAAATTCTTCCAAAATCCTAGCAAAGTTGCTCAAAAGCCAAAAGAGAAGTCAAAAGGGGCCCTAAATTTCTGTGAAAAAGGAGTTTAAATATCTCCTCAAACCTAGCTGCCCAATCCCCACAAGGAAGCTAAGTTAAAATAAAATAATACTAGGAAATAAAGTCCAAATGGGATTAAGAGAATCTGCCAATAATCTGGTCAGCCACGTTTTGGCCTCAAATCTCCTCCAAATCTGGCCCAAGATAGCTCGTTTTAAAGATAAAAATATTCCTAACACTTCTCCAGAAGGCCATGAACCCATCCGAGTCATCTTGGGCTCCAAACACGCAATACAAGCCCAAAACGTCATTATTCCAGCACTGCACATCGCTCCTTCATTTATTCGCCAGGAAGAAATCATCGCTTGGTGGAAAAGTCTGATATTTTGATACGATCAAGCTAAGTGGCTCACGAACGTCCTCCACCTGGAATTACTCCAAAATTCTTCCATTTGATTATGTTTTGCTCCAGAGGAAGTCGAAAGTCCCATATTGGAAATATAATTCAAAGTATCAAAATTCTTCCAAAATATTAACCAAATATACTAAGAATGAGGCTAAATATATAATATAAAATCGACTCATCACCGGGAACTAGCGTCTGTCGTTTGTAAGCCGGTGAAAGCCGATGATGATCATGTAGTCCCCCAAGTCCCCGAGACAAGAGGTTGATTTGAAGATTCGAAGGGAATCGGCAGGAAGAGGTGAGTGAAAACTCGACCATGCGCACCTGCTGTTCGGCACGAGGGGTAAGTGAAAACTCGACCCATGCGCACCTGCTGTTCGGCACAAGGGGTAAGTGAAAACTCGACCCATGCGTGCCTGCCGTTCGGCACAAGAGGTGAGTGAAAACTCGACCCGTGCATGCCTGCCGTTCGGCACGAGGGGTAAGTGAAAACACGACCCATGCGTGCCTGCCGTTCAGCACGAGAGGTGAGTGAAAACTCGACCCGTGCGCGCCTGCCGTTCAGCACGAGAGGTGAGTGAAAACTCGACCATGCGCGCCTGCTGTTCGGCACGAGGGGTAAGTGAAAACTCGACCCGTGCGTGCCTGCCGTTCGGCACAAGAGGTGAGTGAAAAACTCGACCCGTGCATGCCTGCCATTCGGAACGAGGGGTAAGTGAAAACTCGACCCGTGCGTGCCTACTGTATGCTGTGAAAGTTGTGCTCTGTCTCAAAAAGGAGAAGAAAGGGAGAAGGCGAAACGTTCGAAGTGTAGGCGCAAGTGGGGAGGTGAGGGCGATTGGGCTCCCCTGTGCATGGGTGCCATGTGTCGGCAAGGCTGCGAAGACTTGTGACGTTTCGGTTCCCGATGCTAGGCTTGTCCTATAAATTGAAGGAAGAGGCGGTAAGAAGAGGTACTTGAGGTTTTGAGAGCAAACGAAGCTTGTGAGAGGCGATTTCCAGCGAGTGCATTGCGGCGTTGTAGGCGATTTCCGGCGAGTGTTTGCGAAGGCAAAGCGATTTCTGGCGACTTCTGGCGACTTCCACCACCGTGCAAAACAAGGTATGGTAATGTTGTCCCGCCTAGCATGAATCAAATGCTTGTATATTTGTATGAACACGTATGAACACGTAAGAACATAGATGAGCGTAGGTGAATAGCAGCTCTTGGGCTCTAGGATAGGGGTTTGATTCGAGCATGTCGTTTAGTTTTGCTGTGCTTTTGTTTGTAGATGTCAGACACCGAATCAGACTATAGTCGTAGCCCAAGAGCGTTTGATGGAGAATCGGCATCGGAGAGCTCGACTGCAGGGCTTGATAGTGCCGATTTAGAGGAGACCGAGGGGGGAGAAGTGCCAGAGGTGTCCACCGATACGGGGAGCACTTTGAGCGTGGAAGTAGTGGGGGCTGACGACGCCCACTCATCGACATCTGGTCGTCGAATGGAAGAGGCCGAGGCCGATGTGTCGGTTGCCAATCCTAGGGAAGACGTGCTGATAGTGGTCACCGACTGACAAAGGATACCGATGGCGAAGCCAAAGGACCTTGTGTTTGGGATGGACCATCTAGAGCCGAACGTCCTGACCGAGGCGGAGGTGGCGAAGATCCGGGCCTTGTACAACATTTCGGAATCGGTAAAGATGCGGAATCGGGGGAGGTGGTCTTCTTCACGGATGTCTTCAAGCACGGGCTTAGGCTGCCGCTAAGACATTCCGTGCAGAAGATCCTAGCAGCGATCGGCTACGCCCCTGGGCAGTTTAATCCAAATTTTTGGATTACACTCTTAGGGATGGTCACGGCCTTCGGCATAGCGGGTGAGGGGGAGCCGAGCTATGAGCAATTCGCCCATCTGTACAGTGTGACGAGGGCGAAGAGCGCCGATCAAGGGGGTGGGTGCAGTCGAACTGTCTGTTGGGGGCAGAGGGGGCACTTCGTAGTCGGGGTGCCGACCTCGCAAAAGACCTGGCGTCGGCGTCGGGTGTTGGTGTCCGGAGCTTGGGAATCGGCGCCAGGAGTGATTGTGGAGAGGCATATCCCCACTTCCTTCCAGACAGTCGGTAGGCCCATAGGGTGCCGTTCGGTAGCAATAACGCCCCCTTTTTTTTTCCTTTTTTGTTTAAAAAATACCGGAGCTAACTGGAGGTTGTATTTTTGGGTTTCAGTGTCCTTGAAACGGCCGATCCGCTACGAAGAGGGAGATAGAAGTGATCTAGCGTGTTCGGTCAAGAATAGCTGAGGAGGGTCGTGTGCACAAGGCTCTGCTAGACTACAAGAACCTGTTCAAAGCAGGTCTAATCAGCAAGTCTGAGTACCTCCGAAGAAAGGAGGAGGAAGAAGAGGAAGAGAGGCAAAGTAAGTAATGCCGTTGTGGCGTATGCCGAATCTGCGCTAACTCCCCTTTGCGTTGTGCAGTGGCTGGTGGGAGGGCAATGACCGAAGCGACGAGGAGGAGGCTCGAGTCGCGAGCCCCTCAAAAGAAAAAAACCGGTTCCTTGAGGCCTAAGACGAAGCCGCCCCGCCAGGCCGAGGGTGCGTTGGCATAGGAGGGCACGTGCGTGAACAGGCCATACGTGCCTTCCGCCTCCAAGCTGCCGTAAGGGTGCTTACCTTAATTTTGTCCAAGGGTTGAGGTGATGGGAAAGTGCTAACGTTTGTGTTGTGTTGCAGGCTAACATGGAGATGTGGCTTGGCATGAAGTGGGCTATCAAAGCGGCCGAATGCGTCCAGAGGAAGTACGAGGAGGGCCAAGCCAAAATTGCTGAGGCTGGGAAGCTACTCCAGCATGCAGATCGGCATGTAGAGGAGAACGCTCCCAAGATAGCCGAGCTATCCCCCAGGTTAGCGGAGGCCGAAAAGGTGGCAGTGGATGCCGAAGAGGCGAGGGCGAGGGCAGAGGCGGCGAAGGAGGCCGAGCGTCGGTCCTCGGGCGACGAAGTTGGAGGAGGCCAAGAAACAGGCCATAGCTGAGTACCAAAACTCGCCGGAGTTCGTGGCATTGCTGGACAAGGAGGTGATGGAGCAATGCGAGGATCTCATCTACCGGTTCAAATGCTTCAATGCCGATAAAAAATTGAACCTGAACTTCGTCCGGGATCCACCGCCGTTGCCCGATAGGGTAACTGAGCAAATGGTCGAGGCGTACCTCGGGGATCGAAGTCGATTCCTCGAGCGGCTCAGAATCGGACAGTAAGGAGGAAGAAACGACTCCCCCTGCCGAGCCGTTGAGTGCCCGAGAGGATGAGGGTGGGCCGGCACCACCCGAGGCCGATCCTCCAACTCCTTGACTGCTGCCCTACTTGTCTCTTTTGTTATTGTAACATATAAAGTTAGTGTTTGGATATTGATGTCGTTCGGCCAATTTTGTAAAGACAATTGCCCAGTTTGAGGCGTTAATTATATCCAAGTCTAATTTGAATCAGCTTCGGTGTTTGTCCTTGTTGCCGAATATAAGCATGTATGCCGAATTGTGTAAAAATAGGAAAACAATAATGTTGTTGAAAGAAAAATTGTACAAAAGTGTAGTGGCCGAGGGTTTGACCGTCGGAGCCACGTAATCTGTAAGTGCCGGGTCGGCAGATGCTGACAATTTCATAGGGTCCTTCCCATGAGGGGCCGAGAGTGCATTTAGTAGGATTTCTCATTGCTAGAGACACTTTACGCAGAACCCAGTCCCATAACTTGAACGATCGGTGTTTTACGCGCGAGTCGTAATACCGAGCCGTTCGTTGTTTGTAGGTAGCGTTCCGGAGCTGTGCTTGCGATTGGCGTTCGTCAATGAGATCCAGATTGAGGGCGAGCTGCTGTTCATTCTACTGAGGGTCGTAAGATGCCGTTCGGCATGTGGGCGCATGTACTTCTACCGGTACCGAAGGCTAGGGAGAACGGTGTCTCGCCAGTTGACCTTCGGTATGAGGTATTGATGGCCCATAGTGCTTCTGGTAGTATGGCAGGCCAATTGCCCTTGGCGGCTCTCAGCTTCTTCTTCAATGTTTTCTTGATGATCTTGTTGGTGGTTTCTACCTGCCTATTAGATTGCGGATGTGCCGGAGATGCAAAGAAGATGCTGATGTTGAATCGGGAGCAGAGATGCCGAAACCGTGAGCAGTCGAATTGCTTGCCGTTGTCCATCACGATGGCGTTTGGTAGGCCGAATCGGCATAGGATGTTTTTAGCTGCCGTTTGATCTTAGCTACCGTTATTGTTGACCCGTGCCTTGCGGCATTGGGCCGATGAGATCGAGTCCCCACTGGGCGAATGGCCACGGGCTAGTCATCGGACTGAGTGGTTCGGCCAGGACTTTCGATACAAATCCGAAACATTGGCACGGATCGCACCTTTGCACAATCTGGGTGGCGTCAGCGTGGATAGTTGGCCAACAATAACCTTGCCAAACGGCCTTGAAGGCCAAGGATCGGGATCCCGAATGGTCACCACACGCGCCTTCATGTATCTCATGCAAGATGTAGTCTCCTTGTTGTGGTGTAACACATCTCAACAACGGCAGGGAGTAGCTGCGCCTATAAAGGATGCCTTGCAACAGAAGGTAGCGAGCCGATCATCGTCGTACTGCCTTTGCTTCGGCTTTTTCAGTTGGTAGGGTGCCGTCGGTGAGGTGGGCATGGATCGGGTCCATCCAACTAGGGTCCTGATGGACGGTGTTGACATCGGCTTTGGCCGTGCTCCGCCGAGCGAGAACTTCTATGGGGACGTGGCATCCGACACGGTCTTCGATTGCCTAAGCGAGCCTGGATAGAGCATCGGCGTGGCTGTTCTCAGATCTGGGGACCTGGCGGATGTAGTAGGTTTTGAACTGTTTGAGCAATCAGCGGGTCTGCGCGAGATAGGCAGCCATTGATTCGTCTTTTGTTGCGAATTCGGTGATTACCTGGTTGACGACGAGTTGGGAGTCGCTACATATCATCAGTCGTTCGGCCCCCTAGCTTTGGGCAAGCCGAAGGCTTGCTAGGAGCGCCTCATATTCAGCCTCGTTGTTGGAAGCACAAAATTGAAAGCGGATAGCATATTCGATTGTGGTGTCATCTGGAGTCTTGAGGACTAGGCCTGCGCCGCTGCCTTGCCGATTGGATGAGCCATCCACGTATAATGTCCAGTGAGGGCTGTTTTGATTGAACGTATTGTCGGCCGAAGGTGAATCTACAGATGCTGAAGGTGGTGCCGTGACAGGGTCGATTAGTTGACCGTTGTTGGTTGGAAGTGTGAATTATGAGATGAAATCGGCCACGACCTGTCCTTTTTCGGAAGGCCGAGGGTGATCATGATGTCAAACTCGCCAAGCTCGATGGCCCATTTGATCAGTCGTCCTAATGTCTCTGGCTTCTACAAGACTTGCCATAGGGGTTGATTGGTTAATACGTCGATGTTGTGAGCCTGAAAGTAGGGCCGAAGTTTGTGCGCAGAGAGGACAAGAGCGTAGGCCAACTGTTCAAGTTGGGGGTACCTTTGCTCTGCGTCCTGTAATGCATGGCTCATATAAAAGATGGGGAGCTCAATGCCGTTCGGTCGACGGATGAGTACGGAACTCAGGGCCGATGCCGAGACCGAGAGATAGATGGTGAGGTCTTCTCCGGGAAGAAGGGTGGACAGCAGAGGAGCTCTGCTCATGTAGGCTTTCAGATCTTCGAACGTTCGGTCGCATTCGGAAGTCCAATCGACCTGCTGTTTGCTCCCTTTGAGAGCTTTGAAGAAAAGGGTGCACCGGTCGGTGGCCTTTGATATGAAACGAGCAAAGACGGCGACTTGGCCGGTGAGGCTCTAAACCTCCTACTTCGTCTTGGGCACCCGCATGTCGATAAGCGCTCGGATCATCTCGAGGTTGGCGTCAATCCCCCTTTGGGTGATTATGAAGCCTAGGAATTTGCCGAAAGAGACACCGAAGGCGCACTTGCTCGAGTTCAAGCGCATGTTGTATTTTTTCAGCTTGCTGAACATGAGTGAGAGGTTTTGAAGATGATCGCCGGTGGTCCGACTTTTGACTAGCATATCGTCTACGTAGACTCTATTGAAGTGCCAATGAGTTCGGCAAAGATTTTGTTGACTAGTCGCTGGTATGTAGCTCCAACATTTTTTAGGCCGAACGGCATGACGTTGTAGCAATAAAGCCCTCTGTCGGTAATGAATGCCGTATGCTCACGATCCGTAGGATGCATGAAAATCTGGTTGTAGCCAGAGTAGGCGTCCATGAAGCTGAGGAGCTCATGGCCAGCCGTGGCGTCCACCAGTTGGTCCATTCTTGGTAGTGGAAAGCTATCCTTCGGACATGCTTTATTCAGATTGGTGTAATCCTGGCACATTCGCCAGGCACTGCCGGATTTCTTCACCAAGACTGAGTTGGCAAGCCAAATGGGGTAGGTGACTTCGCGGATGAAGCCAATTGCCTGAAGCTTGTCTACTTCGGTCTTCATGGCCTCGTATCGTTCGGCGTCATAGGATCGTCTCTTCTGTCGGACCAGCTTTAAAGAAGGGGAGATGCTGAGCTTGTGGCTAATGACGTATGGGGAGATCCCAGGCATATCGTTGTAAGACCAGGTGAAAACTTCCAAATTGGCCCTTAGGAAGGTAATGAAGTCGGTTCGGAGAGACAGACTGAGGGAAGTGCCGATTCGGACCTGCCGATCCTGTGTGTTGGAGATGGAGATCGTTTCGAGCTCTTCGGCAGGTTGATCTTGCAGCATGACATTGTCGTCCCGAGGGTCATCGGGACGTTCGGTCCCTCCTTTGCCGTTCGGCATGCTTGGGCGGGTAACGGCCAGTGTTTCGGGCGGCCTTTGCCCTGACGTCTGGGTTGCTATTCCGCCGTGGATGACACGTAGCATACCTGTGTGCTCAATTGGTCCCCCCGAACCTGACCGACTCCTGAGTGTATTGGAAATTTAAGCAGTAGCATATGTGGTGACAAAATGGCTTTCATTCGGGTGAGGGCGGGCCTGCCGATGATGGTGTTGTATACGGTCAGACAGTTGACTACCAGGAAGCGAGTGTAGATGAAAGCCCTTCGGGAGCCGGAGCTGACGGCAATGAGAAGCTGGATGCTCCCGATTGGCTCGACCACATCGCCCGAGAAGTTTAGAAGAGGAGTGATCTCCTTGTTGAGGCTTTGATGGTCGATTCCGAGGCCGTTGAAAGCATCGGCAAAGTGTACGTTGACCGAGCTTCCGGTGTCAATGAGGATTCGACCTACGTCGAAATCGACAATGCCTGCTCGAATGATCATGGGATCGGAATGGGGGAAGATGATGCCCTTCTCTTCTTCTTCGGAAAAGGTGATAGGTTCTCATCCGAATCGCCGGATTTTGCTGTTGCGCTCCTTAGTGAGGCTGAGAACCTGAGGGTGCCGAACGGCACGTACGTAACTGTTGACGGACCGAAGGCTACAGTCAGCGATCGGTGTACCGCCGCTGATCACGTTGATCTGACGATTGCCCTGGTGCTCGAGACCCGATTGTGCACTCATATACTGGTCTAGTTTCCCCTCGCTGATCAGTTTTTCAACGATCCTTCATAGGGCGATGCAGGACTCGGTATCGTGGCCGTTGTATTGGTGGTATCAGCAGAAGACTCCTGTATCCTTGTCGACTTGCCGAGGGAGCTTCTGGAGGCTTGGCTTCAGAATCATCTGATTTTCGACCATGAGGACATGTTCGTAGGTCGAGTTAAGAATGGTGAAGACCTCCGGCGGTCAGTCGCTTTTGGTGCTTCGGAAGTTTCGGCCACCTGACCCCTTATTGCGTTTGCCTTCGTTCTACCGACCCTAGAACAAGTCCCTTCGCTTATCCCCAATTGTGCAAGGTGCAGGCACAGTGGGTGCCGTTCGGCAAGGAGCTTGATTAGCGGTCTGGTGCGGCGGCAAACGGTCATAGGTGGATGCCGAAGGCTGACTTGCGCTTGCCGTCTGGCCAGGAGATGCCGAAGGCATTCCTTTAGAGTTGAAGTGTTCGGCCTTGGCGTGAATGACTGCCTGCTTCATGAGTTCGCCATAGGTGGTCCAATTGCTGCTGTGTACTAGGTAACGAAATTGGGAGGCTTGGAGACCACTTTTGATGGCTCCGAAGGTTGCTCGGTCGTCGGTTTCTGGGCACCGAGAATACTCATGGCTGAATCTGGTTGCGAACTCCCAAAGGGGCTCACTGTCTCTTTGCCGAATGGTGTAGAGGTCGTCGGCAGAGTATAGACGATCGGTCTGTATCATAAAATGATTGAGGAAAATTTGTTTTAACTAGTCGAAAAAGTCTACCGTACCTCGTTCCAGCCGATAAAACCAATTCAGAGCTGCCCCAGCCAAGGTAGATGGGAACAACAGGCATTGGCCTTCATCGGTGAGTCCCTTGCAACCCAAGGCCGATTGAAATGTGTGAATGTGGGTGAGGGGTCTTCCACTCCCGAGTAGAATGAGATTCGGAGGGCCTGTACCTCTTTTTCAGGTCGGTAGAATCGGATTCGGCTGGTGAATGGTCCCGATTGTACCTTTCCCCAGGTTGGTGTTCGGATCTGATTCTGCTCTTCCTCGATCCGATTGACTTTTTGAAGGAGGAGGCGGATTGTAGGGTTCTGCCGTTTGGGGGCCGGTTGGGAGGCGACCCTCGTGTCCTTGTGCCTCGTGGCCCGCCGTCGGACGTTCTTGCCGCCGATCGTTCCTTCTGGCCGATCCGGATGTCGTTGACTGGCGTGAGAGTGTCGTGCCGAGGGAGGTCAGAATGTAGTCGGATTCGTCTGTCTCCTCTAGGCCGATCACGTCATACCTCCGTCGAAGGGGAGATTTTGGTCCCAGTACGTCCAGATGCCGATCGTTGAGTTTTGCTTGGACGGGAATCGGTGATGTCTGCTGTTCCCGTCGTCGGTCGTTGATTCTGTCGCGGCAATCGGAGTAGACTTGGTATTCCCGGCGGTGCTCAGCTGGAGTTGGCACGAACAGTCTTCGGGAGGCGGACAGTTCGCCTCGAGGTAGCTGCTTTCCAGCCTGTAGATCTTTAGGCCTTGGTACGCTCTTTAGTGATCGTTCCTGCCGAAGCTGCGTGGTTTGTTCCAAACCGTCCTGCAGTTGGGCTGAACATGATTGTTGCTCGTGAAGCTGTTTCTGGGTGTCGTCTAGTTTGGAGGAGAGGATATCGTTGTGCTCCTGCATCCTGATCATTTCCCGCTGCAGGGCTTCCATCCTGTGTTCCAGGGTGCTTTGCCGACCAGGCGTCTCCACTCGGGGTGTGCCGGGTGGCACAGCAGCGTTCTCTCAGTCAGCGAGGCCGAGGATGGGACCGTCGGCCGCAAGGGGCGAAGGCGGGTTCATAGTTTCATAAGTAAAAAGGAGATATGGGCTGATTGTCAATCGGCTTCCCACAGACGGCGCCAATCTGTTCGCGCTAAATCTGAACAGATAAGAGTTTGGGCTAACTTACAAGTGTGCTGATGGACGAGGACCGGGGTGATCTTCTTCCGTGATGTCCGAAGGTTCTAGCAAGTGCTGGATCCGAACTGAGGAGAGGATACCGGTGTGGTACCTGTCGAAGGCACTCCGATGCCAAAGTTAATAACTAAGAGCGATTCTATTGACAGTGGAAGCACTAGTTAAGTCAGAAAATCTTACCACTTGGCTGGCCCAAGGGGCTCTATTTATAGAGGGCATTTGTGATGCTCTTAGCACTTAGTTTTGATGTGGGACTCGTGGGAGTGTCTTCGGAGATCGACACGTGCTCTGACAGGTTCTGGCAGGAGTTCTGAGACAATCTGTCAGAGTTGAATTGACGTGATGGTTGGTTGCTTGACAGACCATGCCGAAGGTTAGCGAAGGGACTGATGGTGCATAATCGACCCCCTGAATCAGTACAGTGTGCCAAAAGAACATTCGGTATGGCCCGGCTGAGCTGGTCTCGACTTTGAGGGTGTTCCACGTGTCACGACATGAGTGGGAGGTCAGATATGGTACAAACAGCTTTTTTCCTTCTTGGATTGGGGATTTGGAATTGTTTTCACGAATGTCGTCGACCTCGGATAAATTCTATCGACGAGGTAGTATGCACCTGAGTATACGGTATTGATGATTCGGTATGTGATCTGGGGGGAATGACCTCTCAAGACATCGTTGAATATCAGGGATTGACCAAGCACATTGAGGTCATTCTATGATTCAGCAACTCCGAAGCAGGCATGCCAAACCCAAGTGTCGAACGAAGCTACGGCCTCTAGAGTTATACTTGTTTGGCCTTTTCGATTCCCATAATCTCCCTGCCCAGTAGTTGGGCAATTTTTCAACTGCTAATGCATGTAATCGATGCTTCCAATCATGCATGGGAAACCTCGAGCCTCGACTTTTTGTACAAGCCTTCGGAGGTCCCTAGCCATAGGTTTGCGGATCCCCCTCATAGAGATTTTCTATTACATCACAAAATCTGACCAAGCACTCTAGGATAGTGGATTTTCCCATCCGCGCAATCTCATCCACCTGCTCTGCAGATGCCCCATACGCAAGCATCTGCAAAGCAGCTATAAGTTTTTCCTCCGGAAGAAGACCCAAAACCCCAACAACATCATACTTCTAATCGAACTATGTGTCGTAATTGCAAATATCATGTATGATTTTTGGAACAAATGAGGCTGCATTCTATATCTCTCTCGAAAATGAGAAACATGATATAATGAATTTGGGATAAAGTAAACTTCCAAGAGATTCTTACCCCGAGACTACCTATGTCTGTCCACGTTCAGGGCACGACGACGGTGGTGTTGCTTTGATTCATTGAGCATACACACCGCTACAACCATTTCTTCCTCCTCTTCATCGGCCTCTTGATCTTCTTCAGCACGTCTGCACCTGATTTATTTCTTTTCTCGCTCTTGCCTCTCCAACACCCTCCTCATGTTAGACATTGGGAGTAGAATGTGTTTTGTAAAATCTGAGAAATAAAATAATAGAGAATATATGGTGTGAGAGGTATGAATTGAGGGTGTAATTTTATAGAGGGATTGAGAAGATAGAGATGACACGTGGTGCAATTTTAGAGGGTGAAAATCTTATCTAAAATCTGATTTTTTTAATTTTTTAATAAATATCCTAAAATCTTATCTAACATGGGACGCCTGGCGCAATTTTAGAAGATGAAAATCTTATCTGAAATCTGAGATTAAATTTTTTAAATAAGTATCTGTAAATCTTATTTGAAATAAGACACGTGGCAACCAAGAATCTCATCCGAAAATCTTATTTGAAATTTGATGGACACGTGGCAATCGAAAATCTTATCCGAAAATTTAATTCAAAAATTTTATCCGAAAATGTTATCTGAAATTTTATGTGAGAATTTTATAATAAATAGTGACACGTGGCAACCGAAAATATTATCTGAAACAAAAATGCTAGGCTTACCACATTTTTCATACCACAATTATACCACCTCTCTAATAGAGGTGGGCTCCATTGTATTGGTGGGCTCCACCTCTATTAGAAAAGTGGTACAATTGTGGTATGAAAAATGTGGTAAGCCTAGCATTACTCTATCTGAAAACCTTATCAAAATTAATGGTTTAAGTATAAAAAATAGAAAATAAATTAAAATGAGTAATGTTTGCCCTTGCTCTTACCCTTTGGGGTGAAACCAAAAAAGGCAAGGCTGCCGCTATTCACATCAATAGTGTCAAATCTTGCATTGCCTTTGCCTCACCCTTACCCTTTGGGGTGGAGGTGCTCTTAGAGCAACTCCACCCATTTGCCCTTTGCCATGGCAATGGAGGCTAGGACAGCCACTATTCACATAAATAGTGATTGCCCTTACAAAAAGCATTGTGTGTTTTCACCCGTTGCCATGTGTTGGACCAATTCCTAACAACTAAAATGAGTTATTAAAAACAACAACTTTAATTCTCGCAAGTGCACGAACCGTTTAAAGTATAGCTTATGTAAATACGAGGTCAATCCCACGGAGAATGGTAACTTGGTTCCAAGTTAAATTACTTAGAATGGTAGAAAAACCTAGAACAAAGAAACTGACTAACTAGCTAAAGGCAATGTCGAATTCAACAATGCCTCTTGCTAATTACTCAAGGTCTAGGACAGAATCCTACCACCACACACACACTCGAAATGGGGGGTTTTTGTTGAAATGAAAAGAAGAAAGTGAAATGAAAATGCTCGAAAGTAAGCACTGGACAGATTGTGAAACAATAATTGAGAGGTGTTAGAGCTTTGGAATCCACCACTAGTTTTCCCATCCAAGTTATGAATTCATAGAAATTGACTCAAGCTTCATCAACAATAGATTATCACATACAAGCCTATGGTATCTAGGTGCAGGATGCATGATTCTCCTAAGGCATGTGATTGTGCATGGTATCTACACAACACTTGATCTCTAATATGCAACCTAAGCATGGTATCTACTTAGAATAAAGCATACAAGAGTCATTAAGCTCTTTGAGAATATGATAATCACACAAGTCCTAGAACATGGTATTTGTCCTAGTCAACCTATGGTTATTAACCCCTTTAATGATTCTTGGGCCATTGATCTGTTGCTTGTGAAAGGAGAGTAGAATTGGTGAATCTAAACTCCTTCCCAACCTGTGCTAGATGCATAAAATCCAAGTTAGCTACTCTAAGAAAACATACATCAAGCACATAATAAACTGGAGATTAACAACTTGATAATGAAAGCAAGGAAATCAATTAACTATAAAATCCTCCATAACATTGAATATTCATGACTAGGGCTTCATCCTAAGCCCTAACTAAATGGATTAGTTGGACATAACTATGAATAAAGAAAATAAGAAATACATAGATAGGATAGAAGAGAAGAGAAGAACTAGCTGGCAGCAATGTAGTTCCCAGGACAGCTCCAAGCTCTCTTCTTTCTTTGTGGTGAATTTGAATGTGTGTATGAGAGTAATGGATGAAGTAAAAATGTGTCTGACTCTCCCTTGAATGAGTGTGTAGCTCTAAATTTATAGAGTGCAATTTCGTCCTCCCCTTTGGCTAGTGAAGCACACCTCTCTTAGTTGCTCCCAACTACTCCAGTTGCCCATACTTGCCAACTGCTCCAGCTGCCAAATACATGCTTTGGTATGGTTTCTTTATAGAAAGCTTGAATTTTTTTCATCCTTCTGAGTTCCTGAGCTGATTTGACTCCCATGTATGGTTGTCCATGTGTAGCACATGGCTCTAGGGATGTAGCCACATTAAATGTGATGGCAGCCAACATGACATTTTTTGTGAACTTGGTTCAGTTATTGACGTGCTGAGGGCTCCAGATTTATCCAATTAGGGTGAAATTTGGATATGTTATAATAGACACCCATTGGAACAACTTCTATCAAGGATGTCTCCTCATCCAACTTGTGTAAGGTTCTGAAATGAGGCCTGCAAGATGACCTACGAAACTGGACTGACAAGGAGTGTGCCTCAAATTGGTTTTGTCTTTAAGCTCATATTCCACTTGTGCCACTCAGCCCTTAACATGCATGAATTGTATCAAATGTCATCCCTTTGCTGTCTTAACCTACAAAACACACAAACATAGGTAAGAGACTCAAAATAAAGAGAAGCTAAACAAAATTACGAAGCAAAGAAGGCATGCAAATGTGTGAAATTGTGACCTTATCAAATACCCACAAACTTAGATTTTTTTAGTCCTCGAGCAAAACAAAATAAAACTACAACTTAGGAAACAAGAAATAAGCAACTAGCCTTCCAAACAATATCCTCAAAGAATCACCAACGTATATGGTTCCAAAGAAACACAACAATCACAATCTAAGTTCCATACATGATTCACGAGAAAGCAAAGCTCACAATGACACCCTTAAGTGTAGTGTCTGAATGCCGAATCAGTACAACACCTGCAACTCAAATAAGTACATGCGCACACACTTAGAGCAAAATCAAGAATTCCGAACACCATAAACTCATTATCAAATCAACTCTCCACAATAATGCCATATAATACCAAGGATCAAAAGGACTTTACAAGGGTTGTGATGAGGCTTAGGGTAGTGATTGAATGAAAGAAGGGATATGGATGTATAACAACATCTTGAGCACAACTAATGCATAAGTAAGAGCATGAGAGATTACTGATCTTTTAAACGAGCAAGGAACACTTACATGAGCAGATTTTCAACATAATTTCAGCACCTTCATATATGTTTATTTGGCCTAATTTTGTGGCTCTTTACCCTAGATCACCATGATCTTCTCTTTTATAACACCCTAGGGCTGTGACTATATTGGTCACACTTCATTACCTCTTTTGATTAGTTACCAATACCCCCAAACTTATTCTTTCCAACACTTGGGTTATGGCACTAATGATTCACTTTTGCTCTAAAAACCTTACATTCTTTATAACTCTCTTTTGAAGATAGCTTTAATTGCTCATAGAATATGTAAGAATAAGAAAACAGAGGTTCATTATGGTAGGAATGGTTTACACAAAGAAAGGCTTAACGTAGGCTCAAATGGGTTGACTAGGGATGAATACATGTAGAGGGATGGTTAGAAAGGCTCAAATGGTTCAAACATGGCCTAAATCACTTCCTAAGCATTGTATGACAACAAAATGTCTCAAGAGATATTCAAATAAGTTCAAGAGTACGAAACCAAGATCATGAGATAAGTAGAATTGCATAACATCTCCAAGTAGCAAGAAATTGGACTAACTTGGCAAAGTGCTCAATAAGTGCAAGGATGGCATGCAAGACAGAGTTAACTCATAACCACACAAAGTCCTTAAACAATGACTATCAATTTTTGAGAAACCATATTAGTATTAAATCCAAGTCTTATCACAGGTGTTTGGAAGGATAACGAAACAACACACAAAATCCTATGTTTTTGGCCATTAGACACACTCAAAATTTTAAAATCTGACAATTTGAAACAACAAAACTAAATCCTTCCCCCCAAACTAAAATGAAACATTGTCCTCAATGGTTAGAGTGTAAGAAAAGCAATGCCTCAAAAATGAAAGGAAAGAAGACAAGGGAAAGACATAACCAAAGGTTAGAGTTCAGAAAAACTCCCCTTTGAAGCGATTAGGACGCAAGCAAGCTTCCTCGCATGTTCTATCTTCTCCTCGTCACCTTGGGTTGCCTCCCAAGAAGCGCTAAGTTTCACGTCTTCAGCCGGACGTCCAAACTTTCTATAGTGAATCGGGGGGTTTGGGCTCAATCGACACCTCATGCAATGCAAGAGAGTTCACCAAACTTGTTTTCCTTTTCCATTGCTTCCTTGCTCCTTTTCTTTTCCTTTTCTGTTTATGAATAGAATCACATTGAATTGTAGGAATGATTGGAATATTCACATCTCCAAATTTGGGCAGCCCCTTCTTCTATGTGGCAATTGTAGCATTGAACATGTGGGCTGCCTCCTGCTCCTCCTTGTCTCCTCTTTTCAGCAAGCATGATTCTACTGAATATGGAAGGCCATCAAATCTCTCTTTCCCTAGATTACCAAATACTTCAATTTGAAAACAATCTTGTACAACATTTGGCTTCAGGGCATCAAACACTTTGAGGGCAACAGTTTCTCCATTAACGGTCATGGTGAGAGTGCCTTGCTCTACATCAATCTTGGTCTTAGCAGTAGCCATGAAGGGTCGGCCAAAGATAAGGGGCAATTCATTATTAGGAATTGGTGCTTCTTCCATCTCTAGGACTAAGAAATCAGCTGGCAAGATTAAACCTTCTACGTTCACCAAAACGTCTTCTAGAATGCCCTTGGGGTACCGAATAGTTCTATCTGCCAATTGAATGCTCACAGTTGTGGCTTGCAACTCACCAAGGTTAAGTTTCTCATAAACATGACATTGAATAAGATTTATAGAAGCACCAAGATCAAACAAAGTTTTTTGAAACTTAAAATCACCAACTATGCAAGGTATAGAAAATGAACCTGGATCCTTTAGCTTTGGAGGTAGCTTTCTTTGTAACACTACACTTACCTCTTCACTCAATGCAACTTGTTCATGCTATTTGAATCTCCTCTTGTTAATGCATAGATCCTTCAAAAATTTTGCATACTTTGGAATCTGAGTAATGGCATTGAGCAATGGGATGCTGATTTGCACCTTCTTGAATGTTTCCATTATCTCATCCAAGCCTTGATCTTTCTTTGACATTGATAACCTGCTGGGAAAGGGTGCAATAGGCCTAAAAGCATTAGTTGAAATTGGAACTTGATTAGCATTAGATGATACCTTAGGGTTTGTGATCTTTCCAAAAGGATTGAGGGACTGTTTGTTGGAAGCTGTGGGTTGCCCATGTGGTGGCTAAATGATCTCCACGTGTTCTCAATCTTCTTGCTCTTCATTGGCATCTCCAACCTTATTATCAACTTTTTTACCACTTCTCAAGATGTGCACTGCTTTAACTTGCTCATGATGCCTTGGATTCACCGTCGTTTGGCTCGGAAAAGTTCCGGATGCTCTATTGCTCATGGAGGATGCAATCTGCCCAACTTGCACTTCTAGCTTGTTCACTGCATTTTGAAGATTTTGATTGGTTTGCATCTGTTGCCCCATAAACTTCTTGAACATGTCTTGCAATTCTCCCATTTGATCACCCCTTTGCTCTTGCACTTGTTGGGGAGCTTTCCAGAATTGCCTTTGTTGTATTTGAAATCCTGGGGGAGGTCCTTGAGATTGTTGCACATTTGGATTGTTGCTCCACTTGAAATTAGGATGATTTCTCCACCTCGGATTGTACGTGTTTGAGTAAGGATCATTATTAGGATTCCTTCCTTGAAGGGAATTTTCTTATTCTAGCATATGCTCTGCAAAAGATTGATCTTGAACTTCCACTTTGTTTCCTAGAGGGCTAGTCACTGCTTGTTGAAGCAAAGAACACATAACATCAAGTTTTGCAGCAATCTCATTATTAGTACTTACCTCAGAGACCACAGCTTTCATAGGAGCTCCTCTTCCTTTATTGTGGCTCCATTGTTGAGAGTTAGCACTCAAGAATTCAAAGAGAGTGAAAGCCTCATCTGCTGTTTTGTTCATCAGTCCTTCTCCACTTGTTGCATCTACCATCATCCTTTCGGAATCAAGCAAACCTTCATAGAAAGATTGCATTTGCATCCAACTCTCTATGTTGTGGTGTGGGCAAGAACTTATCATCTCCTTGTACCTCTCCCAACATTCATGAAAAGCTTCTCCTTCCTTTTGTGTGAAACCAAGGATTTCCTTTCTAATCTTGTTAGTCTTTTGAGCTGGAAAGAATTTCTGCAAAAACTTATTAGAAAGCTCTTCCCAAGTATGAATTGAAGCATTAGGCAAAGAGTATAACCAAGACTTAGCCTTATCTTTTAAACTGAATGGGAATAGCCTCATCTTAATCTGCTCATCATCAAGGCCTTGAATTTTGATCGTAGCACATATTTCAAAGAATTGCTTAATATGCATGTAAGGATCCTCAATGGTATTACCATAATAAGTTGGAAGAAGATGAATCATACCACTTTTAAGCTCAAACCTGTCAACTATGACTTAAGGATAGACGATGCATGAAGGTTGATCGGTGACTTTGGGAATGGAAAACTCACGGGGGTTTTCGAGGTTGGACAACAAGCGCACCACCTCCTTCAACATTATTGTTGTTGTTTGGAATCTCTGCCATCTTGCTTGAACCTTCAGATTCGTAACTCTTAGAATCAGTCCTTGAAGAACTATAATTCCTCCTCAAACCAGCACGTACAACAGAGGTTCTTGGTGAAAGTGGCTTAGGTGAACTTTGCTCCTGGTCAGATTCGGACATGCACACACCAAGGAACTCAATTCAGTGCTTTCAATGGAGATAACGACTAAATAGAAAAACTGAAAACTGAAAAACCAACAAAAGGAAATGAATGTAACTTAAAAAAACAAAACAATCAAAGTAATCTAACTATAGCACCATCGTTATTGGTTCCCCAGCAACGGCGCCAAAAACTTGCTGAGCCAATTCTTAACAACTAAAATGAGTGATTAAAAACAACAACTTTAATTCTCGCAAGTGCACGAACCATTTATAGTATAGCTTATGTAAATACGAGGTCGATCCCACAGAAAATGGTAACTTGGTTCCAAGTTAAATTATTTAGAATGCTAGAAAAACATAGAACAAAGAAACTGACTAACTAGCTAAAGGCAAGGTCAAATTCAACAATGCCTCTTGCTAATTACTCAAGGTCTAGGACAGAATCCTACCACCACACACGCACTCGAAATGGGGGGCTTTTGTTGTTGAAATGAAAAGAAGAAAGTGAAATGAAAATGCTCGAAAGTAAACACTGGACAGATTGTGAAACAATAATTAAGAGGTGTTAGAGCCTTGGAATCCACCACCAATTTTCCTATCCAAGTTATGAATGCATAGAAATTGACTCAAGCTTCATCAACAATAGATTATCGCATACAAGCCTATGGTATCTAGGTGCAGGATGCATGATTCTCCTAAGGCATGTGATTGTGCATGGTATCTACACAACACTTGATCTCTAATATGCAACCTAAGCATGATATCTACTTAGAATAGATTATACAAGAGTCATTAAGCTCTTTGAGAATATGATAATCACACAAGTCCTAGAACATGGTATCTGTCCTAGTCAACCTATGGTTATTAACCCCTTGAATGATTCTTAGGCCATTCATGTGTTGCTTGTGAAAGGAGAGTAGAATTGGTGAATCTAAACCCCTTCCCAACCTGTGCTAGATACATAAAATCCTAGTTTGCTACTCTAAGAAAACATACATCAAGCACATAATAAACTGGAGATTAACAACTTGATAATGAAAGCAAGGAAATCAATTAATTATAAAATCATCCATAACATTGAATATTCATGACTAGGGCTTCATCCTAAGCCCTAACTAAATGGATTAGTTAGACATAACTATGAATAAGAAAATAAGAAATACATAGATAGGATAGAAGAGAAGAGAAGAACTAGTTGGCAGCAATGTAGTTCCCAAGACAGCTCTCCAAGCTCTCTTCTCTCTTTGTGGTGAATTTGAATGTGTGTCTGAGAGTAATGGATGAAGTGAAAATGTGTATATGACTCTCCCTTGAATGAGTGTGTAGCCCTCTATTTATATAGTGCAATTCCGTCCTCCCCTTTGGCTGGTGAAGCACACCTCTCTTAGTTGCTCCCAACTACTCTAGCTATCCATACTTGCCAACTACTCCAGCTGCCCATACTTGCCAACTGCTTCAGCTGCCAAATACATGCTTTGGTATGGTTTCTTTATGGAAAGCTTGACTTTTGTTCATCCTTCTGAGTTCCTGAGTTGATTTGACTCCCATCTATGGCTGCCCATGTGTAGCACATGGCTCTAGGGATGTAGCCACATTAAATGTGATGGCAGCCAATGTGTGAAATTATGACCTTATCACCATGGCAAAGGGCAATTACTATTAATTTTTTTGTTTTTTTCACAAATTTTTTTACCTCAATAATTAATGTGGGTAATATTTTCGGATAAGATTTTCGGGTTCCTACGTGTCATGACTATTCATATATCATAATCAGATAAAATTTCCTGATAAGATTTTTGGGTTCAAATTTCGGATGAATTTCAAAATTCAAAGTTCAGATAAATTTCAAATTTAAAATTTTCAGATAAGATATCATACTTCATGCCCCTTCGGTTTCAATAGAGGAAGCCATAATATGATAGTGAAAAATAAAACTTGAAAGTGAAAAAAAATTGAGTAGAAAGTGAATAATAGTAGAAGGAGAAGAAAATGTATGAGGATTTGGTGTTAAAAGTGAAGAGTATTGGTTGGTATTTATAGGAAAAAAAATTCAGTAATTTTTTTTAAAATTTTGAATTTTTTTTCATTTTTTTATTGCACAAAAATTGGTTGCCGTTGGATTGGAGAAAAAAAATATGATCGGAGAGCCCATAGTGTGACACGTGGAACTGTAGCGGCATTGTAGTGTTGTAGCACTGTAGCATCACTGTAGCGCTAACATCATGGTAAAACTCTGGCTAGAGCTCGGGCCAGCCCAGTCTGCTGGGTCCTACCATCTGCCTGGGCTGTGTTTTGCCGCTGGAAACAAGATTTTGCCCCCCCCCCCCCCCCCCACCACCACCACAAAAGAAAAGCCCCCCCTCCTCCTTGCTAGAAATGCTCTTAGGGCACTTCCAGCAGTGAGAATGTTGCCATCGCAAGGGGGGGCTAGGGCTGACACTATTCATAGGAATAGTGTCTGCCTTTGCAAATAGTAAGTTCAAGTTCCAGCAGTTGCCATGGCAACGGGGGGTACTATTCAATTTTTGTTTTTTTTTCACAAATTTGTTTACCTAAACAATTAATTTGGACAATATTTTCGGATGAGATTTTCTGATAAAATATTCGGATAAGATTTTCAGATAAGATTTTCGGTTTCAAATTTCAAATAAATTTTTTTTTCAAATTTCAGATAAATTTCATTTGAATTTCAACTTTTCATTTGAATTTCAATTTCAGATAAATTTCATCCAAGTTTCAAATTTCGGATAAGATTTTCACCCTATAAAATTGTGCCACGTGTCATCTGAATTTCAAATTTCAGATAAATTTCATTTGAATTTCAACTTTTCATTTGAATTCCAAATTTCGGATAAGATTTTCACCCTATCAACTTGCGCCACGTGTCATATCTATCGACCTAAATTTTTCTATAAAACAAAGGCTCAGCTCACAAACCTCTCACACTACATCTTCTCAAAAATTTCATTTCTCAGATTTTAGATTTCATATTTCATCTTCCATTCACAATGTCAGACATAGAGGAGGTCTTGGAGAGGCAAGAGCGAGAAATAAGAGAAAGAATGCGTAGACGAGCTGCAAGCAAAAGAGCGCAGAGAGATCTAGATCAGCAACTTGTCATGGCTGTGGCCATGCTTGATGAAGAAAACCAGAGCAGTCGTGGTTCACATGAAGGCCGTGCCCTAAATGTTGACAGACATAGGCATTCCCGGGGTAAGAATCTTATGGAAGATTATTTTATCCCAACATCTCTGTACTCTGATGTTCATTTTCGAGGGAGGTATAGAATGCAACAATATTTGTTCAATAAAATCATGCATGATATTTGCAATTATGATGAATACTTTGTTCAAAATAGAAATTGTGCTGGTGTTTTGGGACTGCTTCCCGAACAAAAGTTCACAGCTGTTATACGAATGTTGGCGTATGGTGCATCTGCTGATCAGGTGGATGAGATTGCCCGGATGGGGAAGTCCACGGCCTTGGAGAGTTTGGTTAGATTTTGTGATGCAGTCGAAACTCTGTACACTAGGGACTACCTGTGCTGACCCCAGGCCCAGGGACCTGCAACGACTTCTGCAGAAAGCCGAACGGAGAGGATTTCTAGGAATGATTGGTAGCATCGACTGCATGCATTGGCAATAAAGAATTGCCCAACTGCTTGGCAGGGTGATTACGGAAATCGGAAAGGCCAAAAAAGCATCATCCTTGAAGCCGTTGCAGGTTTCGATACATGGGTCTGGCACGCCTTTTTCAGAGTTGCTGGATCTCAAAATGACTTGAACGTCCTAGGTCAATCACCGGTGTTCAATGATGTTTTGAGAAGAGAAGCCCCAAAAATCACATATGAAGTCAATAATACCATTTACCAAACTGGGTATTATCTAGCTGACGGGATCTACCCGAGGTGGATAACATTCGTGAAATCACTTCTGCATCCCCGAACCCAGAAGCAAAAATTATTTGCTACAAATCAAGAGGGTTACAGAAAGGATGTGGAGAGGTGCTTTGGTATCCTCCAAGCTCGGTGGGCGATCATTAGGGGTGCGGCGCGTATGTTTGATGAGGAGGTGTTGAGGAGCATCATGATGACATGCATCATCCTTCATAACATGATTGTGGAGGATGAGTATGATTACGAAGCTGAAAAGGTGTACGAACCCGATCCCATGAACACGGCCTTGACCTGAATTTATGAAAAACCAATAGGGCCAAATGGAGGACCAGTGGAGCATGAACCGTTGGTTAGAGATGGTCTTTTCATGAACCGTATGATTGATCGATATACGGAGATGCAATCTTCATATATTCATGAACGCCGTCAAATTGACTTAATGGAGCATTTATGGGCGGTGAAAGGCAATGACGGTGAATGAAATGAAGTGAAGAACATTTTTAAGATTTTAATGTTTATGTTTTATGTTTAGTTATGTTTGGTTTTTTTATGCTTTGTTTGTGGTTTGTTTGTGGTTGTTTGTTTTTATATTTTTAATGCTTTGGTTGTGGTTAGTTTTTTTATGTATTGAATGTTTTGAATAAAAAGGAATTTTATTTAATAGTTTCTTTGGAAATTTATTTTTCCGGTTTCTTGAGAAAAAGCCATAATGATAGAGAAAAATTAAACTTGAAAATGAAAACAATTTAGAGTAAAAAGTGAAGAAAATATTGAATAGAAAGTGAATAATAGTTGGAGAAGGAGAAGATGTATGAGAATTTGTTGTTAAAACTGAAGAGTAGGTGTTGGTATTTATAGAAAAAAAAAAGTCAGTATTTTTTGGGATTTTTTAAAAAAATTTTACGATTTTTTTCATCATTTTTTGCCTGGAAAAATTCCAGGCCGTAGGATTGGCTGACAAGGCGAAATCGGAAGGATGAGAGGCCGCCACGTCGCACATATCCGTTGGGCGCAAAAGCTGATGCGCAATTTTGAATTTTTTTTAACGTTGGCGCGTGCATTTCACACGCCAACAGTAAAAAAAATTTAAAAACCGCATGTTGACGTCACGCTGGCATCAGCGATTACGTCAACCGCGCACTCGGGCTCTCGCTCAGGCTCCCTCCGCCTTCAGGCAAGTGGACCCCACACTGCCCGAGCCAGCACTTGTTGCTGGAATCTCCCCGAGGAGAGGCAATTGGCACATAAACATGATTCTTTTAAAGCGTTTATATTATAAGAATGTTTAAAAGAATTTAGGGCTCGTTTACTTACCAGTAATGAAGGAAGTAAGGAGCATTCCCATTAAACTGTTTACTAACCATATGGAATTAGCACAAGAATGAAGTTGATTCCCATTGTCATTGTGTACTAATTCTCATGAATCATAACCTAAACTAATTGGATGGTGTTAAAGTCATATGACAAATCATGAATTTTGAAAAATTCAGGTGACATTTCTCTTAAATTTTTCTTTAAAGTGACCAATTGAAACTGATGTATAAGTTCAGGTAATATATCTATAAAAATCTCATTTAGAAATTCTGACTTTTCTCTAAATTCCAAGTTTATTTCCCCTATCCAAACACACCGCATAAGAAGTTTATTTAGTCAATCATCTATTATGTTGACACAAAAAATTGGAAGGAAATGCATTCCATAGTGGGTTTGATAATTTAACAAACTCCGTGACTTAATGTGGAGTAATTAATAAAAGAAAATTAAATTCACCCTAATAATTTATTTATAAACTCTACAAAACAATGATTATATTAAAAATAAAAGAAACGCCATTGAGTGAAGAAAGCATATAATAAAATCCAAGGTCTCTCTACTTAGAGCATCCACAATGGGCTCCCTAAATCATCTCCTTAGCTAAACTTTAGGGAGAAATTGAAAAACCCACCTCCAACCATGCTCCATATCTAGCTCCTAAAATAAAAGAGCTCTAGAAGCTCCTAAATCTGAGGAGAGAGAAAGGACTCCTAATGAGTCCCTAAAATTAAATGCTCCCATATTTTAATATTATTTTAATCATTTATTTAATTCTAACTATTTTTTTATTGTTGCTTTTGTGTCTACACTTCATTCAAAAATTGAATTAAAAAAGTATATAAACATTTATGACTCTTTAAATTAGGGAGCATGGTTGGAGTATAAATTTTATAGAGAGCTCTTAAAATAGTTTTCTATTGTTTTTAGCTAAATTTTAACTAAAAAATATAGAGCATGATTGTGGATGCTCTAATATGCAGATTTGAAATTGAGTACGAAATTTTAGTTTTAGGTGATGTGGCATATGTCACAATCATTAAAATACAAATAGTGACATCATCTTAGTTCAAGCATTCAAAACCCCCGAAAATACCCTTGGTTAATAGAAAACAACAAAATAAAAATATACAAATTTATAAATAAACCCAATCCAGACATGTATTTATAAATAAAAACCCAAGCACTATTTAAACATAGAAACACACCCAAAATCAACAATTGTATATTTTTAGGGTGTGTTTATAAATGGGTTTTGAGTGTGTGTAATGATGGATTTTTAGTGTGTTTATAAAGTGTTTTGGGTGTTGGGTTTTTTTATAATTTCAGCCCCCATTTTGGGTGTTTTAGTGAAACTCCCATAAAAATATTCAAGATAAATGGGGCAAAACAGTCAAATGCAATCAATAAACAAAACTGAAAAAAAATTAGAAAAGAAAAAATAGAAAAGATCGTGTTGCCAGAAATAAGAAAAGAAAAGCACACGTTGTAGAATTGCAGTTCTATTTCCACATAACTGCTGCAATTCCAAATTTCAAAAGAATAATCAAAACTTCTTCAACAATCTTCACAAATGAGTTCTTCATTATATTTTTGTTCTTCATTTTTTTTATGTTCTTTAAACCTCTTTCAGTTTCTTCTCCTGAATCTTCTCTCTCGAAATTGCTCTATTATTTTTTTTTGTTATTTTTTTTTTTCCGAATGCAATTTCTTTCATTATTTATGATACAATTTTTTAAACGGTTTCAGATATTTGATTAAGGTGAGCGGTTGCAGTTTGTATGAAATAACTTTGTTTGTTAATCTCTTCAATTGTATTGATTGGGTTCTTAACTATATTTGAATTCCCACCTTTATTCCATTGTAAAGTTGCACGTGGATTAAATGTAGAGTTGTAGAGTTTCGTCAGTATTAGGGGGAGCGTGCCATTGGGGGAGGCATACTCCATGTATGGTGGACATCCTAGGGGGAGTGTTATAAATACACAAAATGTGGATGACCACCATTACATCCATTACCTCCACCTTTTGATATATTGTAACTTATGTAATTAGTAGCCTTTAACTTATAATTTGTGAGTTCGCTTCCTATCATTGTAAGCCTATAAATAAGTGATTATGAAAGAAGAAGATAACAAGTTTTTTTTAGAGACTAATTTATATTGTCTTCCTCTACTCCTCATTTCTCTTTACAAATTCCCTTAGTTATATAACAATTGTGGAGTTAAAGAGAATTTTCTGTACCAAAAAAGAACAATTTTTTTTTGTTTGGGTAAATACCACGAGGTGTCCCCACACCTGAAGGGTGGGACTAATCCCCACTCGGGGTTTGCCTTGCCCTTGGCCACAAAGTGCTCCTAATTGGTTTATAACCCCTGCCAACTGGAGGTGGTAGTTTGCCAACCACACCACACCTTGTGGTTCCCAAAAAGAACTATTTCACTTCACTATGTAAGGAGTTTAGAGCACTTCCACCCATTTTTCATGGTAAAGGGTAAGGGCAGTTATTGTTAACGTGAATAGTATCTGCCCTAACAGTATTTTTGTTACTTTTCCACTCATTGCCATGGCATCCCAAGGACAATTACTATTTACATGAGATTAATTTTATTTATATGTATGAGATTATTATTATTATTATTATTATTATTATTATTATTATTTAAACATTGTTAGGTATGTATAAAAAAATATTATGTATTTTTTGGTAATTTTTGGTAATTTTTCAGAATTGTTACAAGACATTATTTTCTTTCCTAACGTCACAGCCTCAGGCAACAGCTCTAGCTGTTCTTGCCTTCAGGCCTGCCCAATCTTGGTGGAGCCTACCATTTACCCGGGCTGGATTTCATTATTGAAATTAGGGCTGGGCATTCAAACCGGGTTAGTTTGGTTTTTTTTCAATCTTTTTTTGGTCATTGGTTTGAATCCAAACCAAACCAAAATATATGGTTCGGTGTACGGTTTGCAATATTCAAAATCACGGTTTAACCAAACCAAACCGAAGATATTAAATATAATATTATTATAAGAAATATATATCTATATATATAATACATAGTTTCAATCTTTTCTTTTTCTTCTCTCTCAATCTCTCTGTTTGTCTTATCTTCAATAGTCCCTCTCTCTCTCTATTTTTTTTTCTCTTTCTTCTTACGTCTGTCTTCACTCTCTCTCCCCGTCTCCCTCTTCTTCTTCTTCTTCTTCTTCTCTCTCTTTTCTTTTTTTCCTCCTCTTCTTCTTCTTCTTCTCCATCTCTCCCTCTTTTTTTTCTTCTTCTCCTGTCCATCGCTTTTATTTCTCTCTCTCTCTCTCTCTCTCTCTCTCTCTCTCTCTCTCTCTCAGAAAGCCAAAAAACCGAAACCGAACCAAACCAAACCACCAAGGAAGTGGTCGGTTTTCATCAATTATGGTTTGGTTTCGGTTTTCAAAATAACCAAACCGAGGCCTATGGTTCGGTGTTCGGGTTGAGCCCAAAATCGAACCAACCAAACCGAGTCCACCCCTAGCTGAAATGGATTTTAAGAACGTAGGGGGCCTTTTGCCTGAGCTAGATTATAAAATTCTCACCTAACAATTCAAATAACATTTTCGGATAAAATTTTCAAATTAAATTTTTGGAAAAGATTTTTGGTTGCCACGTGTCCATATTTATTATAAAATTAACTTCTCACTCATCATAAAATTGAAATACCTACTCACTCATCATACAATTGAAATACTCTTGGTTCTCATAGTCCGGCACAATTGAGTACAAGGACGACTCAATCATTGGCGGAGGCGGTTCCACCGGATTACGACGTGGGGGAGTATTTTCCTTAGGATGACGTAATAGTGCAATTATTTTTTACCCGTAACGCACCACTGGAGCTGACTACCGACATTGTTCACTTGAGGAGCCATGTGTAATGGTTTTCCTCTTTTTTGTTTTGCCTTGAATAATCTATTAGAAAAAATGAAATTGGAAATGCAAGAAATATATATATATATATATATATATATAAAGGACATTAAATTGAATAAAACGACAATTAATTTTTTTTACCTCGTCACCAAGATTTTGACTTCTTTGAACGTTTGTCCACGACCCTCCAGCTTCGATGGAAGATTTGGTAGTAGAAAGTGAAAAATATTAGAAGGAGATGAATTTGTAAGAAGATTTGGTGTGAAAAATAAATAATATTGGTAGGTATTTATTGAAAAAAATTTACAGAATTTATTGATATTTATTTGATATTTTTTAGCCAAAAATTGGATAGCCATTGGATTGGGCAAGATTTTTTGATCGGAGGCTCCAAGAGAAGCCACGTGGCTTGTAGCCGTTGGGCTATGGGGGATGATGGGTCAGCACTGACATCAGCGGCTGATTTTCATTTATTTTTTTTATTGTTGGCACGTGAAAGCCTTCGGGCAACAGCCCAGTCCATTTTTGCTTATGGGCTTGCCCGAGCTAGTGGGTCCCATTCCTTGCCCGGGCTGCGTTTTCTGCGCTGAAGGTGGAAATCAAGCCTGGGGGTACTTTTGCCAGGGCCAGGCTGTGGAGCTGGACTTGCTCTGATGGCATCTGACAGAAAAGAGCTCAAGAGAAAATAACGTTGTTAACAGCATCACGTGGGCAACATAAGAAAATACAGAGAGAGCTCAAGAGAAAGAGCAGTGAGCCAGTTATTAAATTTAAAGCAAGATAAAGGGTCAAAAATGTAAGAGTAAAAATAAAGATAACAAGAATATAACATCAAATAACAGAATGGATTTATTCTCATTAGGGGCATTTCAAATCTATAATAGGATGCTTCTCTATTACATGCACATATAAATCAACCGATGATTCAACATTAACCCAAAGCCACAATGCAAAATACAGTATTACAGCGATGTATGTATCTACATGTCCAAGAGATGAAGAGATATTATATTAATCACACAACCTGATTGCAAGAAAGTAAAATTTTACAGAGGAAGCCAAGGGAGAAATACATAGACTATATATTGACAAGGATTCCACACTTGCGCTCGTTTCATGAGATTTCAACGCTGGAGTTGGATCATAACATATGTCCTTGCATCCTGAGCCAAAAGAAACCCTGATATACAAATCCCAGAATCCAAGTGAGTCGTTTCGCTTCTATTTCACCCCTTGAGACGAACCACGATGCAGGATATGTCATCCTTGCTGTCTCTGTTTAATGCCTCGGCTACTAATTGTTTGGCTGCCTTATGCGGGTCTTTTGTCTTTCTGGCAATATCAACTGCCTCTTGATTAGACATGACCTGAATAAGCCGGAAAAAATGGGAAATAGACAAACATGTTTAAAAGAAAATTGCTGCGAGCATGTCATTTGATTAGAAACTAATGGAATTGACAGCAAAGAGAGAGACATATAGCATGGATGAATAACAGTTGGGAAGGAGTAGGGCGGAGAGAGATTACCTTCCATAGACCGTCACTTGCAAGGATGAGAACATCAGTTTCTGATCCAACATCAGAACTTCGGACATCTGGATCGGACCTCAAGTGTGTCTTGAGATTCTTGTCTCCGAAAGCTCGAGATACAGCCAGCTGACCATTCACCCTTGCAACATCTCCTAATATAATATCCAACATACATCAGTTACATTGAGTAAAGAAGGAAATGCAAATCAAACAGCGGTCAATGATAAAAGATCCAGCACACAGGTTTTGAGCTTCTGTACAAATTCAAAAGGGCAGTATATAGCTGCAAGCGTGTCATTTGTGCGTAGTGGAGATAAACTCTATACTTTCACTATATTAAATTGCTAATGAATAGAATAAAATAATTACAAACAACAGAAAAATCCCCATATAAGAACACTCACCAGATTCAAGTGATATATACCCACGTTTATAAATATGACATAACCTCCCCCAGTTCGAAATACCAGATACAATAATTTCAAGAAAATAGAACCAGAAATTTCTTTCTGCTAACAGCCTATCATTGACCAACCTCAAGTAAATCAGCTGAGTATCTAAAAATTCATGTATCTAAGAATATGAACATCAAGAACTACGATACATATCTAGATAATGCAGTTATTCCATCTACAGAAACATTGTTTTAGACAGAAAAAAGAACCCCCAAAAATTCCGGTACGCAGCACCAGTATTTCATTTGCAGACAATCTTATCGGTATAACAAGCACAACATTGTGCCAAGACTGAAGAAAAGGCACTAGGCTAATTCCAACTATATATTTCTAAAAAGGAAAATGATAATTTAAGTATATTCCAACATCCTTTGGAACACAAAATTACAAGAGATTCAGCCAAAAAAAAAGGAAAATTCTGATTTTTCTATTTGTTTTGTATGGCTCAGGGTATACAGGTCTATGACTATGTATCCAAGGGGAATCGAGCATGAGACCGCTTCCTGAGGTGCTTACCTCGGCCTGACCTACCACTGGACTAACCCTAGGGGTTAAAAGAGAAAATTCTCATCGAAATGAGGCACAACAAAAAAATAAAAAAACCAAACTACATACCCCCCTCTAGCCATTTTTACGTCTCTTTAAGAAAAATTCCCATGTGCCATTGCCCAATTTTATCATTTTTGAAGGAAGGAAAGGGTGAAATGCTTCAGTTCCTAAACTCTTCACGGGATGAGGCTGATGTCTTACAGATGTTCATAACAAAATCATATGTGTGCTCAAGTGTGTTCGTGCAAGAAAGTTCACATAGAAAACTCTTTGGGATACACAGGGACATATGCAAAGAGGAAAACCTTAATGGTGTTCAATTAAATTTTAAATATAAATTAATAAGCCACAGTCATAGTAATAACAGGTTTCTTAGCCATTAGATTGTCAAGAAAAGACCTCATGAAAGTCAATCTGGGCCCAACTAGACGCATGAGGGAAAAATACGAGGTACTAGGATTATAGGATTCAAAAAAAGGGACCGACCTGTATTTTGAAGTAGAAAGCACTTTCTTTGTTAGATAAATATGTTGCAATTTCCAAGTCCTATCTATTAAACATTTGAATGTACCTGATAACATAGATGTGTTGTCTGAAAATCTACATAATTGAATGTTCTAAGTAGACACCCTCATAATTTATTTATTTTTCAAACAGTACAAGGGTGTCAATAGTTAGGCAATGAGGTTTACTTTGAACCTTTGAGTTAATTTCATTATCAAATACGTGTCCTAATTACTATTCATGTAAAAATGTAGTGACGTACACAATCTAAAACCTAAAAATAGAGGCTAGATCAATCAGTAGGGACCATAAGTTCTTTAACATGCACACATGCACACATACACACATGTGAACACATATGCTTCAGAATTCAGGATCTGTGAGATGTTAAAGAACCTGGTTGCCCGCACCAAAAAAAAAAAAAAAAAAAAAAAAAAAAAAGAAAAGAGTTAAAAATTAAAAAAAGAAAAAAAAGAAAACCTCTGGCACTGGGCATGTTTCGTTTCGTCCCAGAGCAAACACAGTCCTCACCCACTGCCTCTGTCCTCACGATCGGGGGTGTTGGGTTCGTGATCAATGCTCATCTGTACTGCCTGCCCTCTCCTTGAAAGAACTGCTCGTGAGTCTCCAACATTGGCAATCCATAACTTGTGGCCATTTATGAGAATTGCGGTAACTGCAGTAGATCCACCTTCGTCCCAAGTCAGGACTATGCGATAGAATTGCCTGGTCTGTTCTCTCGTAGGCTTTCGAAATGGACCTGTTGGGATCAGTCCAAAACTCCTCCTAAAATTGAAATAGCATGATTAAGTAATAAAACTTCGAAATCAATGTATGTAAATGCGCTATGAATTCCTACTGCAAAATCAAATTATTTTGTACCCATATATTCATATATCATATGACCATCTTTGCACGTTTTCTTTTTACATATTCCTTCTTAGGGAAAAAAATTATTTTACCTATAACTTCAACAAAACCAAGTTAAAATAGAACTTCTTAAAGGTATAATTTAATTTTATTGCAAATTTCTATGATCAATGAAAGAAATCAATTCAATTGCCATGTGAAACAGAATGATAAATCTCCCTTGTGGTGTCAAAATGCCACTTTCAGGTTATGATTTTAATATATAACCAATAATACTTCATCTTGGATCAACAACTCACATCCTTTAAGATATTCGGAAACAAATGCTTCTGAAGATAGGCAGGCACACTGTCTCCCAAGTGCCCATCATAGATGGCAAACAGTCCAAGTTCATGGCCCTGGGAGTGCACAAATTTTGCAACATGAAAATCTTCCATTGGATGATTTGCTTTTCCTTTTACTAGGCTAAAGCCATACTTGACTGGGCCCTGATGGCTCCTACCCTTGCCGGAGCTACATGAAGATCGCCCTCCTACAACCTAAAATCAGAGGAACTTTTAACTTCCAACTAAATCCTGCAGAACCAATAAAGTATGCATATGGGAATAATAGAAAAGGTAAAACTTGTAGAAGTCAAGATCATAGTAACCTCTGAGCTGCAGACTGAACAATATTATTTGAAGAAACAGACTTTGAGACAATTAATCCAGCTAAAAGTTACATTCTGGCAAAGACTTGCAATTTAAACCAATGAACTAAGCTAAATATCGCAATATTGCTTCTGCAGTTCAACTTAAGTGGTAAATTTAAAGGTAGATTTGGTTTTACATTCACGAGAAATTTCTACTGAGATAAGTAATAAATCTGTTATGGTCTACCACCAGTACCAACCATCAATAATTTTTTAAAATAAAGTGCCGTCTAGTTTCACTTTTTGCAAACCAGCTTGTATATATGAATCTTCACAAATATGGATAGAATAATGTAAAAGTACATTCTTAATTGTGTTTTTGAAGTCTGTTCCCAAACCATATTCTTTCTTTTCCCCCAAAATATGGCGTCTTCACCAGCAATGGACCAAAAGTTATTTATAATTCATTTCAAATCTCTTTATTTTGATTTCTAAAAAGGAAAAACTACGGGAAAGAACAGCTTAAAATGGATTAAAGAAGTATTTTTGTGAAACATTAAACATTATCCTTTCCTTTCACTCCATTTGAGAAAAGCAAATATAATAAATGAAGTTTACCAAAATAATTCAGTAAAGGTAACGCATACTCATTCTCGAAATTTTTGAAAATCTGCACCATTTTGAAACAGACATAGATATGGCCTGAACTAAAGCAGTGATTTATATACAATGTCAAAATATTAAGTCCCTCAAGTTCATCATAGAATTGCCATACAACGGTAGATCAAAAGACCACTGGAAGTTAAACAATATACCAAATAACAAATCCCCAAAGTATCTTACAATATAAACAAAACTAAGCACCCCTTGCAGAAAGTAAATATGTGTGCAATTATTAGAGAGGAAAAAAAAACATAAAGGAGAAAAAGCTAAGATATCCTCACCTGAGAATAGACAGAACTGAAGCAACACAAGTTATCCATATAATTCAATCCCACCTCAACTTGTTCCTCTATCACTCAACATCTACCTCTTCTGCAAGCCAAAACAGAAAACACAAAAAGGAAAAGAAACTTAATCCTTCAAAAAGAAATCTCAGCTGATAAAAATTTCAACTTTTCTGGAAATTCCACAAAATACAAGATGAAAACCATAATTACTGATCAATTTAAAACAGACCCATCATCCAAAACAACCAAAGGACCCCATGACAATCCAAAAACCACATAAGTTATACAGAATTATGAAATTTGTAAACTCAAAATTCTCCTTACCGATCCACCAATCTCCTAGCTTTCCCAGAAAATGAAAGAGAAAAAGCTGCACAAGACTTGAAAATTGGACGCTTGACCCTCTCTTAGAGAGAGAGAGAGAGAGAAAGAAAGAAAACTCTACGAAGCCACCACTTCAACACAAGAAAAAAAAATCAATCTACTATTGAAAAAAAATCATTATATATATAAGTAAGTATAAATAGGAAGCACTGGTTGAAGGTGTGTAACCGTTGGTAGTCTTCATGAGGAGTCTTTGAAGGGCAAATGATGGCTGCCAAAAGGCAGAGCTTGCCCTTATTGACTTTGCAGGATTTTATTATTTATTTATTTATTCTTTTAATTTTTTTGGTTTGCTTTGTTTACTTGGTTTTGTTTTGTTTTGGTTTGGTTTGGTTTGGTTGGGTTACTGTGACTGTTTGTTTGATTATTACAACAATTTACAACTGTTTCTTTGAGGTTTCATGGATTTGTTGTTCTATCTTTCTTCTCATTATTGCCAAGAGGGGGTATTGGTTCGGTCGTCATCTCCCTGTGTTATGTGGGGACCTTTTCTTCCAAAAGTCAGCCCATTTTTCCTTCCTTTTCTATTTGGAACCTCGAATTGTCCGTATCATTTTCTACGCGTCTTTAGTTGGAACATCTCAACTCTAAAAATAAGATAAATGAAGGATTATAATGGCATGTAAATATATTTGTTTTACTTTGAGCACCTTGATAGATGCACAATTGTAACAAGGATTTTTAACACGAAAGAGTCCCTGAGTGATGTTCCTCCCCTACAACTCATGCTCATGTATGAACTTTTGATATGAAGATGTGGGCTCTCGTCAATTTTGACCAATATTTGAATCGCTTAAGTATATATGTTGTGGCTTGCTCTCCCAAACCCATGCTCAACAAATTCCTTCGTTGGTTTCCTTGGACCTTCTTTTTTTGGTGGCTACTTCTTGTTTCTAGGGTTTTTGTGTTTTTTTTGTTGTTGTTTTGGGCAGGAATTATTTATGTTTTGGATTGGGCCTTTATTTTATTTGATGGAGCCCTTGCTTTTATTTTTTTACTTTGTATTGGAACGGTCTCTTTATAGACTTAAACAAGCCCCATCAACCTGGTCCCATTGTTTCCATTCATTTGGAGCAATTGGGGCTTTACAACTGTTGACTTTCAATTCTTTCGGCCCACCTGGTCAATTGTTCGAATAAAATAATACAAATTTATAAATAAACCCAATCCTAGATATGTATTTATAGAAAAACCCAAGCACTATTTAAACATAGAAACACACCCAAAATCAACCCCAAAGTCAACTTTTTGGGTGTGTTTATAAATGGATTTTGAGTGTGTGTAATGATGGGTTTTGGGTGTGTTTATATGTTTAAATAGTGCTTAGGTTTTTTTATAATTTAATGCCCCATTTTGGATGTTTTAGTGAAACTCCCATAAAATAATCGAATGGGTCGAGCGAAAGTGTAACAAAGGTGTTCTTCTTGGTGCGAGTATGTGTGGTGTGCCAATACCAGTCACAAAGTGGTCTTTGGGTACAAATGGAGGATGCCTATTCTTTCAACCAATTGTGGCCGAGTTAGGAACATATTCTCGTCCATGAGGTTATATACCTAGGCAACCCTATAAAATGGATGTGTTTGGCGTTGGTGTCACTGAGCTTGATAGCTCAATGACTCTAGATAACTTAGGAAACTCAGGAAGCTTAAGAAATCTATTTCGGGATGGATTGAATGGTGCTCAAGGGATGACTTTGTAAACGGGAAACAGAAATCCTTGTTGACATATTGAATGAACGATTACAATGGATGCTGCTCAAAAACTCGGAACTTTTTCAGAGTTCTCGTTGATATCACTACATGAAATTGTAAGAAAGCACTAAAACTTCAAAACTACATGATAAAAAGTTAAGAAGTGCATTGAGCAGCCTTTGGGCTTGATTTGTTGAGTTGGTGTTGGCCCCCTACTTCGTTCTGCTTCCTTTTATCTACGGATTTTGTGATTTGTGAATCAAGGGAATGTGTGCTCAATAGACCTCCAATCCAACATCACTACTTCCTGCCTTTCGTTTGTGATTGGTCAGGATTGATTGATTGGGCGGGGAAAAGGGTAGCCTTGGATCTAGTTTTGAAAACTTGGGATGTGGGAAACTAGCCTCATTCAACTTCGTTGTTTGTCCTCTTGGTGAGAAACATTTCTCAACCTTGAAGAGTTCAATCAGACTCTTTTCATCATTTAGGCCATCTCCAATCCGTGAGGTCAAACTCAAAATATCCCAAATTTTAGCCCAATTCATCTCCCAACTCAAGAAAACTATTGCCTTGACTGGAAATTTTTTTGGTGGAGCCCACTCAAGGTTAATGCAGCCCATGTGCAAAAGTTGTCACACTCTCGTTGCACAACACTTTTTTTTTTTAAATTCCAACATAACCCAAATCAACCATTCATATTAAATCCAAGCCATTTTAACGGTAAAAAAAAATTTCAATGCTGAAATTTAAATTCAACAGTTAAAATACTATTTTAAATTAATCTAAATCATATGCAACCCCAAAACCTCAAAACTCTATAAATACCCACCTATTTCTCAAATAAAATTATATTTATGAAATTTTTTTTTATGTCAAATTGTTCGAAAAATTAAATTATGAAGTTATTTAAAAAGATTAAATAAAGAAAATGTATGAATGCTCTTCATCTACCCTTGCTAATTCATATAACTGGTTAAGCAGACCTACACGTCTCATACCATGCTTATATCACTAGGTCTCAAATGCCCATTTATATGAACTAACCCCCATTTCAATCATCACATAGTTCCCCTTTTGTTAGTCATCTTGTTGTGGGAGCGATTTTCATCCCATAGAAATATTTGTATAAGATTCCGTCTTCCTTTTCGTCGTCTCTTTCTCCCTACAAAATATATAGGAATAAGTGGACCACACCTAGGGGGTGTTGGCCAAAGGCCCTCCGATGCCTAAGTTAGTTCAAGTGATTCGTAGAGAAACAATAGCTAACGGAAAGGGTACGGAGTTGTATGTATGGTGTGAACCGAGAGGCCGGAGCCTTGTGTGAGAGAGAGAGAGAGAGAGAGAGAGAGAGAGAGAGAGAGAGAGAGAGAGAGTGTGTGGCGACTAGGGTTTGTGAAAAATAATTTCTGCAGAGTTTCAGAGAAGAATTTAGACTTACCTCAACTCTTATGTGTAGCCATCTATTTATAGGAGCCTCGGAGGCTAGGGTTTCAGAAGAATAATTCCACAGATGGAAAGGAATTATTCTTTCTTGATTTGGCTAGATTGGTGTAATTAGGGATTTGATTTAAATCAAATCCCTAATTAAGGCAAGAATCAAATAAATCCCCAATTTAATCAGGTAACTCCCAATTAAATCGAGTAACTCCCAATTAGGTCAAATAATTCCCAAATTGATTGGCTTAATTATTTGACCTAGGATAATTTGCTTCCACAAATGCCCCCTAGCTTCTGCATGGCACGTGGTGGCATGGAGGAGGTGTGAATTAATCGTTGGGCTATCTAGCTGTAATTGGGCTTCCTTCTGTGACTTGGGCTCCTGAGTAGATGAGGTCTTTGACTTGCTAATTTTCTGAAATTAGACTCCCAGTTGGAATGGGCTTGAGATTCCTTGTAGGTTAAGGTACTCCAATCGCTTTAAATATGAGGCTCCTCACTTTTTCTTGCAAGAAACACTTCCCATATTTTCAGAGAGAGAGTTCTTAAAAGATTGCCTGCTTGTCAAGGAGGAGAGAGTGCATCTCTAGGGTGGCTGATTAACTCCTGTCTTCTGCTTGTAGCGAGAGAATTGGAACTTGGGTCGGACATGACTAAGGTCGGCTGAGCTTTGAACATCCCTTCGAAGTTTCGTGAGTGGCGCTAGCTGTTGAGCGAGTATCGGGAGGAAGTCGGTGGGCTGCCCTCTGCCCAGGATGTTGAGAGATGGAAGCAACATGGTCCTGACCATGATGATATGCTTGTCGGGCAGGAAGAGTGTTCTACTGAATCCCCCTAAAAAAGGAAGGTTGTTGCTAAGTCTTCAAGAGATGAATTTATTTCTTCGCAAGCAAAGAATGTGTCTCCGTTGAGGAAGACGCCAAAGTTCCCTTATGCGGAGAAGACTCAAGTAGGGTATGTTTCATCGTCATCTGTTAGGGTCAAACATCTCATTGGTGCTAAGGGTGGGCATAGTACGATATGATATGGTATTGAGCCCGTACCGCTACCAATACCGGAAATTTAAATCGGTATGGTACGGTATGGGATTATAGTTTGCCAAAATTCGTACGGTGCCAAATCGGTATTGGTACGGTATCGGTACCATTTTGGTATCAACATAGTCATTCACCATTTAGGTACCAAGCCCATTGTGCTCCTGATGCTTACTTGATTAAGACTGCATGACAATATTAATAAAAATCAGAATAAACCCTTATATAAAGTTTCTGCTTCACATGCAATGCATATAAGTTATAACACAACGGGCGCCAATTTATACAAATAAAAACATAGCATCAACAACCAATAAAAACATCAAGCACCAATTCATGATGTAATTAACAAAAACAAATGCAGATTTTGTATGTGAAGGAGAATTTTCGAGTCCTATGCAGCTCCATACCCAATAACAAAGCTCAATCAATTTTTATGATGCATACATGGAAATTTATGCTAATACAGTCTATGAAAGAAACCATATACATGAAACAACTTTTAATTATCAAATGAATCAAAGAAAAAGGCTCTATAAACATACACACAAAGGCTATCAAAATATAGAAAAAGCAAGAAATCAACAACATAGCACAAATGGCATAATCCAAAATTAACAACACAACACAAATGTCATAATCCAGAAATACATGACCTTCTCTTCTGTCTTGTTTTCATCAACATTGGAAAAAAAGTTGTTAGACTTAGACCCACAATATTCCTAGCATACAATCAACATTCTGGACAAGGAATTTCCTCAACTTAATTCGTATTTAATTAACCCTAAATAAATTAACAAAAATCACAACAAACTTACCATTTGTCATTTCGTCGATTTGGGGTTGCTTCTTATTCCAGAGAGCTAAGAGAGAGCTGAGAGCTTGAGAGAGATCAGAAAGATGGAGAAATTGAGAGATTAAGAGAGTGATACAGAGACAGATCAAGAAATCCAAAGACTGACAGTGAGACAGATCAAGTTTGAGAGAGTGAGAGACAGAGAGAGCTTGAATTGAGTGAGAGATCGAGATGAGATGAGAAGGATTTGGCTTGGAGAGAGCTTGAATCAAGTGAGATTGAGAGTGAGACAGAGAGCTAGGTCTAGGTATGGAGGAAAGTTCGAACGGGCTAAGTTTAAGAGTCTGAGAGAGCGAGAGCGTTTTTGTCTGAGGAGAGTGAGGGTTTGGCTTTGGCGTTTGAGAGGCAAGCGAGAGACAGCGAGAGAATAAAAACTATATATATTTCAGTACTATTTGGTACGGTACGGTATTGATCGGTACCAAAATCTTGATACCGCTACCATACCATACTCTATTGGTACAATACAGTACGATATCGAATATCTCCCCATACCAAATGAAACGGTATGGTACGGTACGGTTAGGGTACAGTTTCGGTATTTCGGTTTAAGATGCCCACCCCTAGTTGGTGCAGATAGCAGGAAGGTTGGTGGTACTTGCAGTGTTAGGGATGTTCTACTCAAGCCTTATGCTGACAAGCTTGAAAACCATGATTTGCTTCATAGAATAGCCTGTGCTCAATATAGCTCACTTGCTGAGAGGCAAAGAGATGTAGATATTCCTTTTTGAAGTTCGGGTCGTCTGCATCAGTTAAAGGATGAAGATCGAAGCGGGAGGTCTGCTCATAATCCAGCTGTTAAGTTACAAGCTATCAAACGTGGAGTTGATTCAGCATCGTTGACTTCTTCAGAGGTGAGGTTGGCAGAGGCTAAATAGATGAGAGAGTCATCTGCCTAGGCGAAGGGTCCTTCTTCAGCGTCGACAATTGATCCCAAGGTGGACAAGTCTAACCCTACAGGGGATGCATGCGTCTGATCTGCTTAAGACGAACTTTCTATCAAACCCATCCACTTGTGCTGAGTTGGTTGATCAAATCCATCAGGCTAGCGATCTTGGTACTTTCTCAAGTCTTTCCTTGAAAAAATAAAGGGAAGCAATATTTCGTCTACTTAAAAAAGGAGTAGCTTTTGCTGTTGAAACTATCCGAAACTCGTATGTTGTTGTCCCCTCCTCTGGTACACACTTGGTTAGTCGAAAAGATGCATACTTTCGTCTTCAGCGTAAGAATGCTAACATCTCTCTTGGCTATGACAAACTCCTAGCTGGATTTCGCACTTATCACAAGTCTGCTGAAAAATCCAAGTCTGAAACCATCATAGATGCATACAAGTTGGGCTACCTGCACTGTGCAGATGGGACTGCTACTTTCTATACAATTGAAGATGAAGACATCGAGACGCTCTACCCTGACTTGTTCCCTATGCGAGGAGGAACTGAAGAGAAAGTAGCTGAAGAGGATAGAGCAGAGGAGGACGTAATTGATGAGATGGTGGCAGATGTCGCAGAGCAGGCAGGTGGAGCTGCTGAAGGCATGACTTATCAAGTGGATGCTAAAGAGGCTGCAAATCAAGGGCCTACTACCGAAATCTCAGAGTAGATGAAGACTTCTTTATTTATTTTCAGCTTTTGTAGTTTGCTTTATTGCTTAGAATAATTGGTCTTATTTGACCATCTTCTTTTTGTTGAACTTGGCCGGTTGGTCAGCTTGCTATGAAAATTTAGTTACTTTTTCAACTTCAACTTGCATATCGACTTGTGAACTGCTTCAATAACCAGCCAATATATTGATTTTGTGTCTCCCTTAGGAAATTTATGAGTGCCAGGGTCACCCTTGAGGGACTTCAAGTATGTTCTGCATATCGCATATGATGTTTTCCTTTAGGAAACTTGACAAGTGTCAGGGTCCCCTCCTGAGGGACTCCGAGCATGTTATGCATATCCCGTAGGATGTTTTTCCTTAGGTTGTGGCTTGTTTGGCCTATGCCCAAAGACATGTTGATGAGAGTGTAGGGTCCGTTTGGCCTACTTCCGAAGACGTGTCGATGAGTGTGGCCCATTTGACCTACGTCCGGAGACATGTCAATGAGTATGGCTCGTTTAGCCTATGCCTGGAGACATGTCAATGAGAGTATAGGGCCCGTTTGGCCTACTTCCAAAGACATGTTGATGAGTGTAGCCCGTTTGACCTACGTCCGAAGATGTGCCAATAAGTGCAACCCATTTAGCCTATGTCCGGAGACGTTTCAATGAGAGTGGCTCGTTTGGCCTACTTCCGGAGATGTGTCAATGAGAGTGGCCCGTTTGGCCTACATCCGGAGGTGTGGGCTTCTAGAGACGTGTCGATGAGTGTGGCCCGTTTGGCCTACGTCCAGAGACGTATCGATGGGTGTGACCTATTTGTCCTACGTCCGGAGACGTGTCAATGACTGTGGCCTATTTAGCCCACGTCCGAAGACATGTCAACATCTTGAGACATGTCGACGTTTAGAGATGTGTCAATAAGAGTGACTCGTTTGGCCTATGTCCGGAGACATGCCGATGAAAGTGACCCGTTTGGCCTACATCCGGAGGCGTGGGCTTCTAGATATGTGTCGATGAGTGTGGCCCATTTAACCTACATCCAAAGACATATCGTTGGGTGTGACCTGTTTTGCCTACATTCGGAGACACGTCAATGAGTGTGACCCGTTTACCCCACGTCTGAAGGCATGTCGACATCCTGAGACATGTCGATGTTTGGAGATGTGTCAATGAGAGTGGCACCATTTGGCCTATGTCTAGAGTCGTGTTGATGAAAGTGGTCTGTTTGGCCTACATCCAGAGACGTGTCGATGAGAGTGGCTCATTTGGTTTACATCCGGAGATGTGTTGATGAGAGCGACACGTTTGGCCTATGTCCAGAGATGTGTCGATAAATGTGGCCTGTTTGACATACATTCGGAGACGTGTCGATGAGAGTGGCCCATTTGGCCTACGTCCGGAGACGTGTTGATGAGTGTGACCCGTTTGGCCTACGCCGGAGAGGTGTCGATGAGAGTGACCCGCTTGGCCTACGTCCGGAGACGTGTTGATGAGTGTGACCCGTTTGGCCTATGTCCAGAGACATGTCGATGAGATTGGCCCGTTTGACCTACGTCCGGAGACCGGTCGATGAGAGTGGCTCGTTTGCTTGGTTGGTTGATTTTTCTACTTGGTAGACTTCTTCGCGGCGATTCGATCCTCATCCCGAAGTGCGTAGTGTTCTGCAGTCTCGAAGACCTCTGCTAGAGTATGGCAGTGAGTGATAGTCAGCTCGCAGTATAAGTCGTGCTCAATTGGAAGACCTTTCTTGAAAGCAAAGGACGTGATTTGATCATCGCAACCTACAATGTTGGCCTTTTCTGCTTTGAATATCTTGATGTAATCTCGAAATGATTCATCGGACTTCTTACGCAGGTTGAATAGGTGGCTAGGATTCTTCTTAATCTTCCGGTAAGTAGTGTGTTCCTTGGTGAAGACACAAGCTAACTCATTGAATGGTAGAGTGTGGAATCAGTCTTGGGTTGCTCCTCGCAAGGTCATTGCAAACACCTTGCACATTAGTGCGTCGTTGGCTTTGTAGCGAATCATGACACTTTTGAAGTGCCTTAGATGGCTTTCAGGATCAGAATCCCCTTTGAAATGCGTGAACAAAAGAGTTGAGAATCGCTTCGGCAGAGCAACCTGCTCTATTTCGGCTGCGAAAGGCATAGAGTTTGCTTGGTCCACCTCCCTACATAAAGCATCTTCGAAATCTTTGCCAATCTTTAAGCCTCGAAGTTGGTCATTTACAAACTTCTTTACGTCTTCTGCTCGCATGGCTTGCCAATCACGTTGGTAACCTTCATGATTCGGGTGGGAATGGTTGACTTCCTCGTTGACTCGCAGAGGTCAACCTTCTTGGTTGCCCTGCCTATGAGGCAGATGAGTGGATTAAGCTTGCGAAGATTACACTACGAGTTGTCATCGCAAGTTGGTTCTCGAGTGAGTTGGCGAGCATCGGTCGTTGCTTTCTTCACGCAATTGTTCACGAACTCGTGCCCCTTGTGAGCCTAGTCTTGAATGGATACTTCTTCTCGGGCCCAAGCGAGTGTGGATATTGGAATATGGGGCCAACCTCTCTCGCGCATTGGCCCTTGGACCTAGTCTCGAACGAATCGTTGACCGGCTGAAAGTACGGCTCGCAGCTGTCTGCATCTTGTCTGCACAATCTCGTTCTTTCCCCTGCTTATTTGTCCTTGTCTGACCGGCCTGGGACCTCTCAAACCGCTCGCCGGCATGCTCGAGCGTCCTCCTCTCCTCGTGACGGGATCCAAGGTTAGGACCTTGGTCCAAGTTGATTTGCCTAAGTAACTGGTCAATCAGGTTGTTTTGATCGTCGACCTTATGTGTGAGTTGATCAACTCGTGAGTTAGGGTCCACTTGACTGTGCGGGTTGGGTAGAGAGGTGTGCATTGGACCTAATGGCATATGGGCTAGGGCTCCATTAGACGTGTACATGGGTGTATACGTCAAGTGTGGTTGCAGATCAGAGAGAGGATGATCTACTCCAAGACTGGGGCGTCGTTGAAATAGCCTTGGGGCTATGCAGCAAATTCCACAACTGAGTGGTGCAGCTGCTGCTGTGTTTCAACGGCAGGATGGTGCTGCCAAGTAGCTCATGCAAGATGGCGGGGAAGAGCAGCTCTGGCAGTCAGAGCTTGCTGCTGCAAGGCTATGCAAGTCACGGTACCATGTGGTGGTTGTTTTACAATTCTAGCAGCTGTCTGCGACGGCTGTTCTGTGACTCCAGCAGCTGAAGATGACTGCAAAGCACTAGAAGGCCACAGCAACGTGTTGGCAGCCACGGTTCTGTGCTATTGCATCATGTTTTCCACCATGAAACCATGAGACGGGCCCGTCGTGGTGGTGTTACTCTTCGTACATCTTGTATCAACCATGGTTGTTTGAAACAAAGTGTGGAAAATGGATTTGGAGCACGCTTTGAATATTATTTCGCGCTCTCAATGAAAGCACCAATTTGTGGGAGCAATTTTCGTCCCACGTAAATATTCGTCTAAGATTTCGTCTTCCTCTTCGTCGTCTCTTTCTCCCTACAAAATAAATCAAAATAAGAGGACCACACCCCCGGGGGGGGGGGGGGGTGGGGTGGGGGGGGGGGGGCCCTCCGATGCCTAAGTTAGTTCAAGTGAGTTCATAGAGAAACAATAGCTAACGGAAAGGGTACGGAGTTGAATGTATGGTGGTGAACCGGGCGGCTGGAGCCGTGTGTGGTGGCTGGAGCCTTGTGTGTGAGAGAGAGAAAGAGTATGGTGGCTAGGGTTTGTGAAAAATAATTTCTGCAGAGTTTTAGAGAGAAATTTAGACGTACCTCAACCCTTATGGGTGGCCATCTATTTATAGGAGCCTCAAAGGCTAGGGTTTCAAAAGAATAATTCCACATATGGAAAGGAATTATTCTTCCTTGATTTGGCGAGATTGGTGTAATTAGGGATTTGATTTAAAAATCAAATCCCTAATTAAGGCAAGAATCAAATAAATCCTCAATTAAATCAGGTAACTCCCAATTAAATCGAGTAACTCCGAATTAGGTCAAATAATTCCCAAATTGATTGGCTTAATTATTTGACCTAGGATAATTTGCTTCCACACTTGCCTAACTCCCTCTCTCCAGTCCCACATCACCCAATAAAAACTATGTACATTGTGGCATCCCTGAGATCTGGTACTTGCCAAGAGTTAGACTCAACTACAAGAAAGATCATTTCCATTACCTTCTTTGTAAAAGGCCCCCAAGAAACCCCCTACCTTGTCACCAAAGCTTTTGGTAGAATTGTAAGATGACTCTCTAATTTCCACCGCATTCACATTCAATCTCTCTTTCTTTCTCTAGTATTTCTTCTTCTCTCCCTTTCTTTCTTTCCCTTTTATTGTTTTCTCATGCAAACCATGCACGCCTTGCTCTTCAAAATGAAATAATTGCTCTCTTATTTATACTAAAGGAATGTCAGCAAAGCTTATCTCATATTGGTACGCTCACTAAGTAACATATAAAAGAAATGAATATCATGGAGATTAAGTTTGCATGTAAAGGATATGTATCATAGGTAAAAGTAAGAAACATAATTAAATAGTCACCTCCTGCTATTACAAGTGCTTACAAGCTCCCTAAACTCCTTTATAATAATTATTAAAGTTGTTCCACATGCCAAGCCCAATCTCTAGACAGTCAACAAAAGAAAGTTAGAGTGCTTATCAAGTTCTAACCATCACACGACAGCAACAAAGTTTTGCAAGCAAATTCTAATTTGTTAATCTACATCAACAAGAAACCACATCACAAAGTTTGGGATGCAAGGATTTGTTTTCCAATGTTTCTAAGACACACATCCAACATAGATTACTTCACTTTTATTTACCATAAAATTCATATATATATATATAGTATATAAATAAACTAAAAATTAAGAATAATCAACAAAGCCCATTGTACTACTGCAACAACTAATAAGAAATTCAATAACACTATATATATATATAGGCTTATTTATGTATATACCCCCTGTGCTTTCAAAGTAGTCTCAGATTACCACATGTTCTTTGAAACGTCTCAATATACCACCTACACTTTTAATAACTGTCTCACGTTACCTATTCCGTCAGTATTAAGAGACATTCTATTAAGTGATGTGGCCCCCACTTCTTTTCAATCGTTTAACAATGGAGAGGAAGGGTTATTCAGTTTGAGAAAATGGGGTATTTGGGAGCGAAGGAGAAATTGGGAGAAGAAGGCTAGGGTTTATGAAAATTTGAGGTGGGGTTCAGATTTGGGAGAAGCAGGAGAAGAAGGTTAGGGTTTATGAAACTTTGAGGTGGAGTTCAGATTTGGGAGAATATGGAGTAGAAGATTAGGTTTTATGAATCTCTAAGGTGGAGTTTGGATTTGGGAGAAAAGGGGGAAGAGGGATTTCAGATTTGGAGGTCCAATTGGTTCTTCTCTATGTGAATACTGATTGAATTGAAGAAGATATGGAAACATGAGAAGCAAGGCATGCCCAACGATGTCATTGTGGGAAGTTAGCACGGATGCAAACTTCGTGGACCACTTCAAACCCAGGGCTGAGATTTCTAGTCTACCTAAAGTCAAAGGTAAGAATGTTTGAGATCAAATTTTTAGTCATTGTTTTGGGTATCACAAATTGATAGAGTTCTTATTGATCAAATTTTTAGTAATTGTTCTGGGTTGATACAGGGAAGTGGTGAAAGAGGATATAGGTTTTTTCAGTGGTTTGATGCAGAAATGTGTGAGCATTCAAAGTCTTTGATACTTAGTTTGCTGAGGAAGATTGATAGTGTGGAAAAGGAAAATGCAAAGATTTGAGCAAAGTCAAGAATATTGTGGGCTGCTATTGTTGCTTTTCTGGTTGGTGGTGTTTGCCATGAAGATAAATTAGGAGGAATTAGTAGGAATTAAGAGTAATATGTTTTGTAATTTGGTGGGTGCAATGTGATTGAGAAGCCTAGGCTACTTGAGACCAGTGGGTATAATGTAATGTAATTTGGTGGGAAAACAATGTAATTTGTCTTGAGTTTATTAGTAAGCAATATTTCATTGTAATTTTTTTTTAGTTTTGAGTTTTCTTTGTCCTGTGATATGAATGGAAACCAGAAGCAGATCTTGGATCATATCTTGTTCATTGGATATCAAACGGTGACATACTGATAAGCATCACACCAAGAACAGGTTTAAAACGATATCTTGTTCATTGGATACCAAAAACAAGTTACTCATAAGCATATCTTGTTCATACCATATCAAATGGTTACATCTCAATACCTGATCAATATAGGCATCATACCAAAAATAGGTTCCAATCATCACATTACATATCAAATAGTCAATTACATCTAAGTACCTGACTCAAAAACCTTGACAGACATCAAAGCCTAATAAAACCAACCATCACAAACATCAAAGTGTTACCAAACCAAAAACCCAATTACAACCATGAAGACATTAAAGTCTTACAAAACTAACCAATTGCATAATCCATAATTCCACAACATTCAAACCATTCTTCCATGAAACTATAATTCAAAAAGAGTTTATCCTAATTCAAAGACAAGTTGTTGCAAAAGTTCAACATCATCACATCTGAGGATGAAAAAAAGGATCTTTGACAAAATGGCTCCCCTGTTGATCTTTCATCCTCCTCCTACATTGTTGTACTCGAGATAGTTTGGCAGATTGAGATGAATCACATGTTTGAGAAGCCTGAATTGCTTGAGATGGTTGGGATTGAGAAGCCTGAACTACTTGAGATGGTTGGGATTGAGAAACCTGGGCTAGTTGAGATGCCTAGGATTGAGAAGGCCCTTGGGAACCACTTGCTTGTTCCCTTTGCCTTAGTTGCATTCTTTGTTGTCCGATACTTTGTTCTTTACCATCTCTCCTTCTTACCTAAAACAAATAATAATTAGGTAAGCATGATATGAAAATCTAAATGCTAAATACATATCAAATAGATTTTAATGTAAAGTAATTTTGGATAATGACACATACCTTACAACTAATTCAATTATGCTCTTCTCCACCGCAATTGCTACACTTTAAAGGAATGTCATACCTAGGAAGCTTATATGCATTAGCAGGTTGTTTGGGCTCATCAAAAGTTTGTTTCCTTGTCTTCTTAGGCCTTCTAGGCTGTTTGTGGTATTTTGGAGGGAGAAATAAAGGTAAATTAATCTTCATCCACTTATCTTGGCTAATCATAGGCATAATAATTGGTTCATAAGCTCTCAAATAAGCCTCTTTCTTGTACACTGCATCACAAAAGTCCTCTGGATTCCCATGAAACCAACTTGTTGTATCACAAGCATGCAAACACGGTATTCCATTCAAATCCCAAGCATGACATGAACAAGAGTAAGCATTCAAATCAACAGCAAAGTTGCGGTCACTATGGTCCATTACTTCAAACCTATTCTGTCCAGCAACCTTAGGAATGCACCATTGAGTTTTTCCTTTGTTTTTCTCTAATATCTTTCTAATTCTTGGCCCAACTTATCCATGTCATTTCTCACACAAAACCCTTCTTCCAATTATCAACAACATTATATATAACCGAATTCTTTCTAGCATAGTCATAATAGGTTTGTCTCTGGCATCCATTATGCTACGGTTGAATGTCTCACATAGGTTGTTCATAAGCATGTCACACTTGGAATCACTCTTGATATATGCCCTACTCCAATGCCTAGGATCTTTCTCTGCAAGCCAATCATGTGCAGGTTTAGACAACTCTAACATCTTTCTCATCTCTACATCAAAACATGGCACTGTTGTGGCCTAGCAATTGCTTCCATTTGATGTTTCAAAGCAAGACCTCTATGCTCCAAATAGAAGTTTCCATACAGATGTTTCAAACAATGTTTGTGCTCTGCATGAGGGAATAGAGCATCCACAACATCTATTAAACCTTTTTGCTTGTCAGTCATAAATACATAACCATGGCTATTCCTAATATTCAGATCGCCACTCAATAATTCTAAAAGCCACAGCTACGTTGAATTTCTCTCAATCACTACATATGTGTAGACAAGTGGAAAGATTCCATTGTTTGCATAAACTCCCATTGCAGAAAGCATTTGCCCAGGGTGAGGCCCTTTGACATGACACCCTTCCAAGCAAACCATAGGCCTACAACCATCTAAAATCCCCTTCTTACATACTGCAAGACAGATGTAAATCCTCTAAACCTGTGGCCTATCACCTTTCATTTCAAATTTAATGATAATTGTACTTCCCACATTTCTCGTTCTTAACTCATGATAATAATCCCACAATACTTCATATTGTTTACTGAAAGACCCCTCTACAATGTCAACTACCATGGCTCTTGCTCTGTACACTATTGCTCTAAATGGTATGTAACCATAGTCTTGGTGAAGTTGCTCTGCAAAAGAAGAAGCAGTCCAATTTGTATTGAGCCTTAACTGCCCATCTGTAACATCCCACATCGACCAACGGATAGGGAGTGATGTGCCTTATATGTACATGCCCACCTCCATCTAGCACAAGGCCTTTTGGGAGCTCATTGGCTTCGGAGTCATGGGAACTCCAAAGTTAAGCGAGTTTGGGCTAAAGCAATCTCAGGATGGGTGGAAAGTTGCTCGTGAGTTCCCAGAAACAAAACCATGAGGGCAGAGGGCCCAAAGCAGACAATATCGTGCTACAGCGGAGCCGATCCGGGATGTGACACCATCATATCTTTTAGCCAACCAACTTGCAGTGGCATGTATATTTTTAATACAAATTTATAAATAAACCCAATCCTAGACATGTATTTATAAAAAAAAACTCAAACACTATTTAAACATAGAAATACACCCAAAATCAACAATTATATATTTTTTGGGTGTGTTTATAAGTGGGTTTTGAGTGTGTGTAATGATGGGTTTTGGGTGTGTTTATAAAGTATTTTGGGTGTTGGGTTTTTTTATAATTTCAGCCCTCATTTTGGGTGTTTTAGTGAAACTCTCTATTTTTAATCCCCTTACTACAAACATGTGTAGGATTAAAAGTTTTCCCCTGTAGGTAAGTGCGACCACTAACACTTGAAACATGGATAACAAAAGGATAGCCCTCTTCACATACTACTCTTATTTTGTTACAGTCATTATTCATAAATATCAACTCCCTTCCACAATTAATGGAGTATATCCTCACAGCTTTTCTAAACATCTTAGCAGTAGCAAACTTTAAACCCACTTTGAATCCTGGGTTTGCCTTATCAATTTCAAGTTTGAAATCTTCACCTTTTGGCATTATGTTCCTCTTCCTTCTTAGTTCACCTAGTGCTTCATCTTCACTTGAAGAGCTACTTGGGCAGGTAAGTGCACTGTCTGACTCATCATTTTCCTCTGCATTAGGATCATTGTCAGTACAAGTATGATCCACATAACCTTCAAACCACTTATTATACTTCTTTAATAAGTCAATCTCTTCATCAGTCTATGCATAGTCATTGTCTTCAAAGTCTGGATCATTACTATCATCATCCTCAGAACAAGAATATTCTGGATAACTGCTATCATTCCCCACTTGGCTTAAAGTCAGGCTCACTGCTTTAAAGTACAAAACTATCACCCTGTTATTGCTTTTAGGTACCGTGCTCATACAAGATAAAAGTACTATCTGATACTATTTGAATGAGTCTACCAATTCCAAACTCTTCACTATAAAAACTCACATTGTTGGTACCGTAACTAACCGAGCAACTTGCTTGGCTAGATCATCCACGTGCCATGCTTTGATAGGTTATCATCTTATCCAAAGAAGCATTACCACAAGTCACAACTTTAAGCAAAGCAAGAAGAGTCCCATATCGGAAAACTACAAGAAGTGAAGACTACCCCTCACCTATAAAAGAAGACCACTCTCCACTTAGAAAAGGGTCTTGGATCTTGACCCTTGGGCCTTGGACTCTCACTTCTGGATCCTGGGTTGGGCTTTATCTTTAATCATGGGCTTCTCCCTTCTTATCTTTATATTTGGGTCCAACCCCATGTACAAATGTAAACATACATTATTATAATGAGAACATACTTCTCCGTGGATGTAGCCCATTCATTAAGGGTGAACCACGTATATCTCGTCTTCTGTATATTTATCGTTTTCCCTAATTTTCACACGCACATGCTGAAGGTCCTCACATTCACCCAACATCTACCATTCCATCTCTATCTAAGTTGACCCTCCCAAAAAGAGCATCAACACACATCATACCCATTGTCATATCCCAAATCTTTAGCCATTCCAAATAGCTCTAATATGGACATATAGTCAACCTCAGAATAATCAAACCAACTGACTTCACCACCCAAATACGACCATTCACTGTCACTTGACCCATTTTTAACTAGTTTACCTCCATGGAAAAACTTAAATGTAACAACCTCGTCAGCATCTTTATCTAAGTAAGAGGTATGAGAAAGATTCACTTAACAAACTGACAAAGGTAACAAAGACAATACAAGGACCACAGCATGACCAACACAGAGTAAAAACAGTATACAAAAAAAAAACTCCAACAACAATTCAATGCATATGCCAACAAGAAGAAAAATGAGTGAGAATGGGTCCACTTACATATGGGTTGACAACCTCCAGATTCTTTAAGCACCACCATCTTTGCACTTTCTAGCCTTAAAGTCCCACGCCAAACAGTGATTTCTTCTTCAGATTCTCCCAAGCCGAACCCCACCTCAGATTTTCATAAACTCTAACCTTCTTCTCCCAATTTTCCCTTCTCTCCCAAATACCCCATTTTCTCAAACTGAATAACCCTTCATTTCCATTGTTAAGCGATTGAAAAGAAATGGGGGCCACATCACGTAACGTAACGTCTCTTAATACTGACAGAATAGGTAACGTGAGATAGTTATTAAAAGTGTAGGTGGTATATTGAGACGTTTCAAAGAACAAGTGGTAATCTGAGACTACTTTGAAAGCACAGGGAGCATATACATAAATAAGCCATATATATATATATATTAATTGACTATAAATGTATATACGAATGTGAACTAAGTGAACCAAGAAAGCAACTATATATTATTTTTATATATAATTACTATAGTTTAATACTTACCAAAGTAATTATTACTTAAAAATAAAATGTTTAACCTTCTTAAATAACCTTTAAGAATACTGATTCTCACTGTGCTTGCCTTTATTTACCATGGCAATGGATGGGAAAAGCAAAATAAAAGGGGTAAGGCAGTCACTATTCACCTAAATGGTGTCTGCCCTTCCTTGCCCTTACCCTTTGCCATAGCATCATGGGACAAAGTGCTCTTAAGCTTACTCAAAATACCCATGTGGGTTGGGCCTCTGTCAGGTCCTTGACCCTATTGGGGAGATTTCGAGGAAAAACTTTGGGCTGATACAAAGATCCCCAAATTATAAAAAAAATTCGGTCAAAACGAGATAGGGATGATATTGTTAACTGCATCCTTCAACCCGGCTCGATAAGGGCTATATTTACTTTTAAGTAATGTATGTATATATAATATAACAATGTATGGTTATAATATGATATAATCAATAAATATAAAATTTAATATTTATTTAGTTTTGTAAATTGAATTGAGATGATTATGAGTAGTTGTGTTGAATTTAATAGGTTAATTAAATGTGATTGATGGTTTAAGGTGAAATTAGTGTTACAATGTAGGATAGATATATACTTTTTTTAAAACCTGAGATTCAAGGCTGGTTTGTGAGAAACCCCCCCTCTCTCAATGGAGACTAGGACTGGGATTCCTAGAAAATCCTTATCGAAATTGGGGGTGGGAATGAGGAGTGGGACGAGAACGGTATTGCCATAAACGGCCTCGAACTGGCCGACTGCCATCCCTAAGAGTGTCTGAGGAAGTGGAAAAACAAATGAGAAAGGGAGTGTGGTGAAAGAAATAACAATACAAATGGCAGTCTGGATGATAGGGGAGAGAGAGTTTTTATTTATATTTTATACAATTGATAGTTTAAATTACTCTTAATTATTTTAATATACGAGAAAAATGGATCGAACTTATGTGCTAAGGAACATGCACACCGTCTTAACTAACTAGCTTACCGTCTTAGCTAACTAGCTTAACTCACATTTGCGAGCCTCGCATAATTTTAAGGATTTCAAGGACACTCTAACGCTGACGTGGCGAATTGAAAGATGATGGATTATTTGGGCGGTTAAGATTTTTATGATATGCAGACTTTGTTAATGCACAGAATGTCTGACCCAGTGAGGAGTAAGGTATGTTGGTTGCGCAATCGACGAATATACACGACGAGGTTGATCCACGCGTGGCCCAGCACTCACTACGTGTCCTGGCTCTGCCTTGTCCACGGTCACTTCCTTGGGCTCCGTCATTTTGCCAACTTTCTCTGCTTCTCCAAACAGAAACACAAGACACACAGAGAGCTCTTGCTTTCCTCTTCCTTTTGTGAATGAATATTTTCATTTTTGCAGAGCTTTCTCAGGTTTTGATGAGGAAGAGCTTCTTGTTTAGTTACAGCGGAGGCGCAGATGATTGGTGGAATGAGATTGGTGGATCAAAACAATGGCAAAGTGGCCCAACGTACTATATCCTGTCTGCCTCTTATGCCTTGGTCTCTCTTGTTGCTCTGGTAGTACCCTACAATATTTTCATTCCCCATTTGTCATTTCTGTCAAGTTTTTTCAGTTTTTGGGCAGACCCATTTTCTGTCTTTCTTTAAAAAAATGCATCTTCAGTGAGTTTTTCTTGTTGGGTTTGTTTGTTTTAATCTCAGTTATTTTTATGAGAAAATTTTATTTAATCTAGCTTTGGAGAAGATGAAGATGATGATGAGGCTTGTTTGCTATATATTTTCAGGTACAACTTGTGCGCATTCAATTAAGAGTGCCAGAATATGGGTGGACAATACAAAAGGTTTTCCATTTGATGAACTTTCTAGTGAATGGATGTAAGGGTTGTGTTGCATTTTTTTCATACTCGCACTCTGTCTGCACCCATTTCTTATTGTATAAGTTTTCAATTCAAGCCAAAAATAATAATTTGTGTGTGTGTGGGCGTGTGCAGTGAGGGCTGTCCTATTTGGTCTCTACAAGAGTGTTCTTCTTATTAAGCCTAAGGTATGTGTAATTTGCAGCCTCCTGAATTATGCTGTCCTATTCTGGGATTTAATATGTAGTGGTTTTGGCAAAACAGTGTTTTATGGATAAGTAATAAGTTTTGTTTATTGGGATCTTTACCGTTGGAATTTGGGTTTGCTTGCCAAGGGCTGTATACAAATTATATAATGATGCAAGAATGGCATGCCATTGCAGGATAAGAACATTGATTCTTGCAAATAACATTTTCTGTCGGATATGGTCCATAGGATAAGAACAGGATAAAAACAGTGTTACTTTTTAGTCGGAATGGAAATATAGAAGAATCATAGGAGTAGTGTTAGAATGATATATAAAACTTAAAAGAAAATCCCAAGTATTATTAGGCAGTCCAAGGATGTGTGTTGTGTCCCTCTGGAAGACTTAATGAGATAATAGCTTGTTCCATGCATAACAAAATACAGCGATTTGGAAATTCTCTGTCCTGTATTTTGAAGTGCAATGTAAAAGTTGAAATATGTTTCTGTTTCTCCTGAACTTTGAGACTTGCAGCTTGCAGAGTTTGAGTTATTGTAACTTTTGAATCAATTTGCTTCAGTGCTTTGTGTTATCTGATTATAGAATATTTTTTAATTGTGCTGCCTAAATGTATTGCAGGCTCTTGAAATGCTGCTTATGGATCTTCCTGGTCTTTTATTTTTTTCCACATATACATTACTTGTCTTATTTTGGGCTGAGATCTATCACCAGGTATACCTACTTTTCTTTTTCTTTTTTTCTGAATCTAATATTACGAACAAGTAGTTGCGTGCTTTAATTCATATCGTCTGATTATTTTTATGTATTTTTAGGCAAGAAGCCTTCCGACTGATAAACTTAGGCCTGCTTATTATATTATAAATGGATTTATATACTTCACACAGGTAAGGAAAAATGATTTATTTCTCGTTGAGCATGATTAGGCACTTACGGCTGAATTTCAGTTTGTTATTACACTTGGGGCATCGCTGTTGCATGCCTGGTCATTGTGTTATGATGATAGGTGTGCATCTGGATTTTCATAAGAGTAAGCCGAAGTCCTGTTGCCGTAGAAGCTGCTAGAATCTTCTTTTCAGGTCAAAAGGCAAAACTATACTAATATCTTGCTCACTTTTGCATTTCTTTTCTCTAATTTTAAGTTTTTGTCAAACATTTGTGCAGTTGGAATAAGTAGTTCATTGAAGTATATACATAAACATTGTTAGGAAAACTACTACGTAGATGGAAAAGCTAAACTTGACATTTATTATCAACATTTGTTTGTAGTTATTTCATTCGGTACTGCTCTGGGATTCTTGATATATGGTGGAAGGTAAGGATTTATGGTTCATCTACAGAAAGTGCCCGAATTTTTTCTTCATGAAACAAGTGTTTATTTTTGTGTTGTTTATGACTTTAGGTTGTTTATCATGCTGAGGCACTTCCCCATTGAGTCAAGAGGCCGTCAAAAAAAGCTGGAGGAGGTTTGTGCTTATGTTTGAGTCACATTATGGCCTGAAACCGATGGAAGATATTAGATATTATTATAGGCATAAACGGTTTGATGAATTTTCTTACTCTATTTGATCAAGCAATGAAAAGAAACATGATCTAATGTGTTTATGCACCTTTCACAGTAGGGTTACATGATCTGCTCCAGGATCATAACCATGACAATTGTAATCCACAGTATGATTCTGAAAGTAAAGAACTAGTGCAATTTATGTAGAAAATCACAGTGCCCAACTTATCTTACATGGCAGGTTGGATGGGTCACAGGCATTTGCTGCACTTGTTTCTTGATAAGATGCTTGGTGGTGAGTTCCTTTCAATTGTGAAGCACTTGCACATATAACCAAAAAAGTTATTGATTTTTGAAGACTTATTTCTTGAGTTGTATTGCAGCTCGCAGTTTCTGCATTTGACAAAGATGCAGATGTCGATGTCGTGAATCATCCTATCCTAAACCTTATGTATTACATGGCAAGTTTTGAATCCGTAACTTCCATATTTTATATCTTGCTGCTCTGCCAGTAGAGTTCCATGTACCCTATTTTGTCTAGCTACTGCAGTCCCCTCCCTCACCGGGATGGGCCAATGCATGTTACCTAGAGCAGTCAGTCTCACGGTTTGGCAGAACTTTCCAGGAGAATATCTCCGAGTGAAAGAGGACTTCAAGCAAAATAGTTGGACTAATTGTGTCTTTGACTGCGTAGTATAGAACTATTCTTTTCTATGTTGTAAACATTTTTCATTTATTTTGGCACAGTTAGCGGAGATTGTTCCATCTGCTTTGGTGCTTTTCATCCTGCGAAAGGTGCCGCCTAGGCGTGTTTCTGATCAGTACCAACCCATAAAATGAAAGCTCTATTCATCCTTTGAGCCTATGTTGAAACCGAATTGTTAGATGATTCTGTGCTCTGCTCGAGTTGGATTTCATGTATATTCTTTACTTGGTATTTCTTTTGTATATTTTTCTTTTAACAATGGGGACAGTACGCTTTCTAGAATAACATTTCAAAATTATTGAACACATACACTGCTTCATTTCTTCGTTGTACCTTTTTTACTAGTTTCAAAATTAAATTCTATTTACAAGACAGGAAAATTGACATTAATGCTTTACAAGAAATGAACCAAAAAAAATTGGCATACACTAGATGTAGAGTCTCGGGATGCAGGACTTTGTGAGAATAGCAAAGAGCTTGTAGTTAAAGTGGTTAAGAGCAATTACCCCTGCATATGAGGTCCTATATTCATATGATGTCCCTGCGGCACACTTGGTTAAACACCATTAGTATGATGTTCCATATCAGTAAATAATTCAAGTCTTTACGCATGATTTCACAATTTAAATGCGTCTCACTTTTCTTGTTTTCATGATTATTTAGAGTAAATGCAGGGAACGTCATATTTTAAGGATTTAATTCAGTAAATAGATTTGAAGGATTTATTAATTCAAATGTACCGTGACAATATCAATGAAAAAAGAAAAAGCGCGCAGTGAATATTTTCGAGTTAATTTCCCACGTCCTAAAAATGTCACCATTTTGAAAATTTTGGAGGAAAACAAGATAAACTACGGTGGGAAATCAAATATCTTGTGACAAGTCGAAGTCTACGGCAGAGGAGGTATTTAATATGAACCAGAAAATCAGAAGTGAGTGGATTTTAAGGCCTTCAATGCATGCAAACCTCAACTAGGTGCTGTTGTATAGTAGTCAATTAGTCTAAATTTGTACACTCTACAGCGTTACACGTACTTGGAAAATTTCAAGAAAATTTAAAATAAATTACTTTTGGGTTGCTGGAAATTAAAATTTCAAAACCTTTTATGTGAATTAATGACCAAAACACACAAGAATCATGAGTTTATTTACAAATAATTAAACTCGGATGGGTTAACTAACAACTTGACTGGTAAGGCAGTCCACATCAATTTCTAACTTGCATTCAGTTCGTGGACATCCAAATATATCCTGGACCATTCAGCACTAGGATTCTGTAAGTTAAGAGTCATGTTCTTAAGCACGTCCAAATCTTTTACTTCGACAATACTCTACAGAATTTGAAATCAACTGGAGCAAAGCTCGAGGTACAAGTAAATTAGTAGTTACAACGTTTTTCACAGTATACAACAATCAAAATATTCCACTTCCTAAATAAATTCAACCACAATAAAAACTGTGTAACCTGGAGTAAATTTTGATTGTCCTACCTATGCTTCTGCAGAACTGGGTATCTCATAGATGACTTTCTACATCGATTGGATCGGACATATACACAGACAAGCTACAACCTTCAAATCCCTGTAAGGATGCCAGTCATATATAATTTACAGACAGGGCAACTCAGAGCAGGCTCAATCAAATGCTATTGACATGAAAGTGTCGTCATCCAACAATTTGTCAATATCAATCAGATCATCACCACCTTCGACCTTTAGTTCTGATCCATCCGTAGCCATATCACTTACCTGCCAGCAGATCATGGCATGCAAAACATGTCATCACAGTAAATGGCAATTGCAGGCGACGGTTATCGATATTTAGTACTAACAGTTCCATTAGTTGTCCAATAGTAAGTGACACACTGGGTGAGGACGGACTTAAATTTTCTATACTAAGATTCACAGAAAGGGCAAGGTAGAAAAGTGAAGATCTTCAATCTTGTTTTAAGTTTCAGAAATTTTCATGTGCCCTTTGTTAACCTTGGAACATAATGCATACCAAAAATCAAAAAATTCAATTGATTTGCAACTGAGGACAGTGTTCCAAAGCTTATAATTAATATGGAAAACAAGACCATACTTGGGCCTTTTTAGATATCTGAGCTAAAATATCCAAAGGGGTAAAAAACTAAAAGGGGTAAAAAATTATATCTGAAAGGGGTAAAAAATCATCTTCTTTTGAGGGGTAAAAAACTAAAAGGGATAAAAAATTATATCCGAAGGGGTAAAAAACTAAAAGAAGATGCACTTAATGAAAAATGCGACATTTCTGATTTTTCAAACAGTAACTAAGATAATTAGACTATAAAAGGGAGATGTATCAATTTGAGATGTATCAATACCTTGGTTTCGCGGAACCCTTCCACAACATTTAGCAGTCTACGATATTGAGCTCGTCCCTCGGGATATTGAACCATAGACTTTACCCTAGTAAGCGCTTTTTGTAACCTTTCCTCAGTTTGTTTCCTTCCTTTCTTAAGAAAATCATAATCGTCGTCTTTTGAGGGAACGCTTTGTAGGTTCGGAGCCTTGGCAACTGCATCCGGTCTGAATCCTCGCAAGCCAGTCCCCTTACGTCTCCAACGCAATATAACTTTCTCCAGAATTCCAACTGACCAGGTGATTGCTTTATATTGTTTCCTTACTTGGTGTCCCCGTACATGAGCCTTTACCAAATGGAAATGGAAAATTAGCATTCAAGGCTGTACAAATCTTTCAGAGAAGCAATACCCAGAAAATTAATACAGTTTTGGAAAGTGGGTCTCTAAAAAATATCTTATTGAATTCAAAATATAATATTTATTAAAGCGAAGATTGAGATGGCCAGAACCAATCAAATGATTCCAAGATTCTCAGAAGTCTCCAAGTCAACAACTCTTTACTATTTGTCTGATTTAATTGGCAAAAGAACTAACGACCAGAAGTAGAAATTTTATATACAAAACAAGCTTAAAATACTTCCACTGGGAACTTTATTTATATGAATCATTTGTTACCCAAAATCAGAGGCACCGGTAAAAGCTATCAATGATAAGACTGTTTTCTTTTAACTCAATCAACAAACAAAAAGTTGCAACAAACCTGGATTTTAACAATTCGTTGACGAATTATCAGGAACTCTTTTCTCTTCTTCCAACCACGAAACTTCTTCTGTATCTGAATTGCAGCAGTATGCCCATTGGCTGGTCCCACCTTGTGTGATTTGGAAGCTATGAGTGAAATCGCTCGCTCATCCGGCATTCCGAACTCATCAGTATCATACTCAGTTAACTGTCTCCTATCAAATGACTGCATCCTGAACATTTGATGTATGCGATCAGCAGCTTGTGTAGCATTAGTTACAGCAGTAAGTGAATCCTTCAGTGAAAGCGCATCTGGCATATCACTGTAGCTCCCAGGTGTAGCTATTCGTTCTGAAAAAGTTTTAACAGCTCTTATTCCAGATATTTCTGCAGCACCACCTTCCTTTGCATCATTCATTGTAAGGGAGTCAAGGTAACTGGTCAGCGAAGACTCTGCGAGGAAGCCTGAGATTCCTTTGTGTCTGTTAACAGAAGCCAGGTCTGCTGGTGCTCTACCCAAAGGAAATTCTGGAGATGGATCGGTCAGCGCTCCAGGAGCTGCACCAAGAGAGATAAGGATTGCAACCGTCTGCTCTCTGAATTTGGTATAGGTTCAAGGTAGGAAAACAAAAAAACAGAACAGCAAAATATGAGCAGGTGTTGGAATAGGATGCAGATTAAGAGCACTTGATACTAATTCAAAAACAACACAAGCCCAAGTGAGCAATTCATTCCCTCAGTATGCTTTTGAGCTAGCCTATAGTAATTTGCAAACAATTTATCATGAAGGAAATATAAATGAAGTTTTACTTGAAGCTTAAAAAGTGCAGGTTAAAAGAAAAATTAGGTCCTTTGTCACTAAAGTATTGTATAAATCACTAGTTTACTTGTATATGTGAATATGATGGATGTGTGTGTGTGTGTGTGTGTACATAGAGAGAGAGAGAGAGAGAGAGAGAGAAAGGAGGACTACTCAATGTTTTACAAAACAAGTCATTGTTAAATGGCTTCCCTCAGCTCTTATAATTCAGATGAGATGGGGCTTTACAAAACTTGCAGTAACAAAGTTTGATGCTTAAATGGGCTACAAAATAGATTTTATTTTAAGCCATGTCCCTAAGCTACTCTATATGTGCATCAAAGTTATAGAATATTCAAGAGCTCGATTAAAATAAAAAAGGTAGGTCCTGATGTCCTTGCCTGCCATAGAATGCAGCCCAATGAAGGGCAGTCCATCCATTAATGTCACGAAAATTGATACTAACTCCTGCAGTTACAATGGGCTTTATGGCCCAATCATATCCAAGAGCAGCTGCTAAATGTATCACGCCTTGGCCCTCACTGTCTAATACACTAGGTCCTTTACCATCTTCTATTGCTTTATGAAGGAGCCAGCTGTACAACTTCTCTTTCATCAGCTTTATGAGATGTTCCATCCCTTCATGTTGGAGCAAATCATTCACTGCTGTTGGCTCTACCAGGGGTAAGTATTCCTCTTCCTCCTTCAGTGAAATGATTTTACTAATTAAGTTTTGTTTCTCCTTAACACCTTCAACTAGTTGACCTGAAGGGCTGACAGATCTCAGAGACAGTAAACTCTCAAGACGCAAGTGAAGATGGATGTCATTTGTAGTGGCATTGCAGATATTTGTGATATCTAAATCTTTAGTGGAGCCCACTTGATACTCAAACTCCCTTACTTCACTACAAGCTAGCCTGTTGGAACAGGTTACATAGAAAGGGACTTGCCCAGCACTGTGAGGTGGAGCAAAACAAAAAAGAACTCCATTGGCTAAAACATGTGCTGGAACCTCCACTTCCCCAAACATACAAGACCAATTATACTTTGTTACCTCTTTTTGACTTACCAAGAATGTCCCAATAACCAGAACCTGTTTCACAATTAGCAAAATGAGATAACAAAAAGAAATCGAGCACATATACATATAAAATGGCAACCATCAGATCTGCAATAGAATAGACATGCCAACAAATTTGGTAACCTTTTACCAAAGCATGGAGATAATATAATATATCATAGTCAAATAGAAAATATCAGAAAGCAAATTT